TAAAATGATTGAAAATAAACAAACTGATATTGAAACATCTATCCTACCTTGCTTTTAATCATATATGGTGGTATGATGTCTATCTTTTGTTCTTCCATTAGTTTTCTACACTCCATTGTGATAAAATCCCCTGCTAGTGGTGACTTCACTATTGCTAAATAGGCAATATAGTAAAATTAATACTTTAACTCTTTTAATTCCAGAAATGCTTATAGTGAAATAGTTATGTGAACATGATTTTCTCAAAAACATACTTTAAGATTTTTTTTATGAAGTATGTTGGTATTGCTTTGGACTTATGACATATATTTCAATATCTTGTCAGTCAAAATATCTTCAACTTAAAAAGGAAATTCTTTTAAGACTAGAGTATCACAACAAGGAGCCTGGCTTTGAATTAATACAATGCAAAAGAAACATGAAAAAAGCTTAAAAATAACTCAAGAGATTTCAATACCAGCATTTCAAGTCTGATAGTGTTACAGTGGAAACTGTCTAATCTGACACCTGTGCAATCCATTTCACTGTGAATTCCAACAATCATTTTCATTCCCATCTTACTCTTTTCCATGTTTTTTACAATGCCCAATCCAACACCTTGTCTTTTCCAACCCAAAATTTGTCTCCCAGTGCATTTTGGATTACTGTAAATTCCTTATTTTTCGCGAGTACTTAATATCGGGAAATGGCCCAAGGGCGTCAAATCGCAGGAACAATAATTCACGAATCGGTGATTTTATATAGAGATTTTACATACATTAAAGCACCATAAAAATAAAAGCGAGTAATTTTATTTCGCGAGTGGTGGTCCTCGCGTAATTAAGCGATAATTTATTCCTCACGTATATTTAGGAATCTACAGTAGTGATTTCACTGCATATAGCATAGAAGATGAATTACCTTGTTGTATGACATAGCCATCGTACACAGGTACAGCTGTTGTGTGTGTCGCACCAGAGTCTAACACTAAGCCTGTAGACCGGCCATTGGCAAAGCTTTTACAAGTATTAAGGACCATTTCACAATTTACTTTAATGATTTTATCATTTAATACATATAGAAACCACTTTTTTCAACACCTGTCTCAGGCTGTCTGTCTGTCTGTCTGTTCCTCCGCCTGTCCATCTGTATGTCACTCTCTATTTCTTTTGTTGGATAAAATATTCTGTACCACTAATATTGAATGTTAATGCACCTTTCTTAAGGTTCTAAGCAAAGAGACATTGTATGTTGACCCTTGACCTACTCTTTACAAAAAGTTTATGATTTTCTCTTATTATTCTTGGATTATCAGAAGATATATAGTTTTGATATTTAGCATCTATGTTGCATATTAATAGACCTTTGCTAATCTTGCAGACCTTTTGACTTTTAACTTTAATGTTGACTTCTATAAATTACAACTCTGCCTTGTATATTTTGACCCTTAAAAAAGTTAGACCTTGACATAGCATTTACATAGACCTTCATGTGCATGTATATTAAATGTATTAGTGAAAATTGTTTGTGGAAAAAGTTGAACCCCCCCCCCCCCCCCCAGTATTAGGCTTATAGGTCTTAAACTTTCCTTGACCTTTCAAAAAAAAAATTTTGCCCTAGGTTTTCAATAAATGTTGGTGTTTGATATATAGAATATTATACTTTTTATTATTAGTACTTCATTTATGAACTGTCACTTTGAACTTGAACACTGAATTTTGTCTTACATCTTTCATGTTTTAATATAATGTTTCATTTTTCAGCTTGAAGTTAACCATTTGAAAATGTTCCTTGGAATATAAGCCTTTTGAAAATGTTCTTTGGAACACTGTTGTTTATGTATTAAAGAATTACACATTATTTCATATACCGGTATGTCTTATGGCTGTTTGAAAGGATACGCAGAAAGAACAGCATTTTTACATAAGAAGAAAGCTGGTATATTGTACTTCTCAAACATGATTTCTGTTATTTTTTCTCTCTTTGCTTTGGTGTTCCACTAAAAATTGAGAAATATTCATATTACACATGTATTGCTTTCACTAGAATAATGAGAAAATGGACAAGAGGATAATATTTATTGATATAAATGCTAGATTGCTAGATCTTTATCTTATATCTTTTCTACAGATCTGTTGCTCTACTCTGATTTTACAAAAGTATCAAACTGCTAATTTCTGTGAAAAGCTGAAAGCAAGAACAATTATATAAAAGATAAAATCAAAGATTCTTTGTTTAATAAAATAAGTATCTATTTTCAGAAATAGAAAAGCCATGGAAAATATTAAAAAAAATATATTTTTCTCCTACACTTTACCATGATAAAACTGTGTATAAATAACTTATAATACATTGTCCACTACAGTTTGTAAGTTTGTACTTACTGCAGGCTCTGACATCATGACTGGGTGGAATTGTGACTCGGATTTGATATGCCGGCTGTATGTGTGATCCAGAACTTTCTCAAACACATCCCAGTTATCAACTACAAAGCATTTAACATGTTTAACAAGCATAAGATTTCATAAAATATCACAATTTTATTTAAATATTAAGTGTAATTGCTACAAAAATTATTAAGACACAATTTAAATTTTCATTACTTTTAAGTTATATATAGGGTTGGATACTGGACTCGGTACCAATACCATACTGAATAGTTATTTTAAAAAAATACTGGTAAAATACCGGTTCATTTAATACTGGTACTAATACCGATATTTCTCAATCTCTGAAACATTTTAATACATTCAATATGATTAAAAAAAACAATTCCAGACTTGCTAAAATCGAATTCTCCGTGCATTGAAAGGGTAGGCTGATTAAAGAAATGGATGCTTAGCACCATACTTGCTTTCGACTGTCGATATTCAAGGTAAATTAATATATGTATATTTTTTAAAAAATTAAAATACATTCACATTAATCGTGTTTTAATTTTATTAATAAAAACTGATAATAAATGTAAAGAGCAAAATGTCACAAAAAATATGACGTGCATCTCTATCCATTTTCTAATGTATTGGTCCTGGCAACCGATTGAAGTGGTCAGCCCATCTGTGATTATGTATCTAGTCAAATTAATTTGTTTGAGATTCAATTTATTTGTTTTGTTCATCATTTATTAAAAGGTTAAAATATAAACATAGTTTATAAGCTCATTTTAGATCATAACATTGAAGGGTTCGTGATTGGTGAAAGCATATTTGTTATAAAATGAACCATCATTCTCATTCATCAAGGTATAGTAACTGTACCGTATCGTTAAAAATACTATATCGTTTCAAAAATATCAGTATGGTATCGTATATATATATATACAATGTAAATCTCATACTTTCTGGGAGCTTCATTCATACATTCTTCCTTACATCCATATTCTGTATGGTACTCTTACATTTCTAGATCAAATATTTGCAATATGTATATTAATATTCATTTCTTACTCATTCCTTCCTTCAAGATTGGAATTATCTCCATTCCTTTACGTGGCACTTTTATGGAATTGGTGTCCAAGAAGTACTTTTTGTCCATGCTTTTATCATCAGTTTCCATTGCTGTATCCACTTCATCTATGACTCCAACATGAGTTGGTAACTCTGCCTATCCGTATCAAGGAAAATAACAAAATGTATATCAACACCAGTTAAGTTTCACTGATACTGAGATACTGATATGAGTCAATGGGATAAATGTCCATAGATGAATTTCACATTCTTAAGAGTTATCTCCCACTGTTGAGGTAACACTCATTTTTCTCACTATATCCTTTGTAACTTACCTGTAAATATTTTCAACCTTCAAACGCTATCTGACAAATTTGATTCATACCTGTATTGCCTTTGTATGGGGCAACATAAAAATCATAATGAACATATTCATACAGATTTCATTTTGTAAAACATTGCCCCATAAAGTTGGTAATATTATAGAGGGAAAACAGTGCCTTACGCCGGTTGACCCCATATTGACCCCGCAAAGGGAAATAACTTTTGTAAATGTGAAAGTCGTCTATTGTTCTTTTATAAGTCTGTCAAGTTCAAAGGTCTTTTTTGTCCAACTTTAATCTGCAAGCTATGCTTAAATTGTTTCTATTTTACTTATAAAATACATTTCTTTTGGAAAATCATAAGCATTAAAACAACATTTCACATGAGTGAACAAAGGTATTGTGAACCTTAAAATATATATACAGCTTATCGTATCAACATTAAATTATTTTTTGAGAATCACATGGATTCGACAAAAAAAATAGAATCACACAGGTTCAAATCTTATGAAGTGTAGAAGTAATAAAACTATGCTTTAGTTTAAAAGTCCTAGCAGCATGCAGTACAACTGTGCAATAGGTATCCACAATACGTGTGACATTTACAGTATTGATCTTTACTAAAGGCTTTAGAAGTGTGAAGACTGCCCCACAATACGCCAATTCTTACCTTTGGGGAATCCTCTCCCGCATAGCCTGCTCTGAAAGAATATGACCCAACATCAAAAACAAGCGCACCGACCTCGTCTGTGGAAATACAAGAAGAGGGGAAAACAGTTAACATTTAGAAAACGAGAACACAGAAAATTGATCAGCAGACAATTAACATCTTTACAACACATAGAATCTTACCTCCACCGTAAACTCCCCCACTCATTTTCACTGTATATTAACCCCAAAACTGCAATTTAAGTGATTTTTTTCAATATTTGTTACAATATTATCGAAAACAAAGCACCTCAAGCCGGCGGAAGTACGGATTTTAGTTCGGTTGTACAATAATTAGTTCGCATTCATTTTGTATTCTATTCTACTCCCTTATTATTTTAATTCATTTATTTATTTCTATTATTAATATTTTTTATATTTGTAAGATAATTTCAATTACATAGTTTTCATCAGAACTATCTGAAAGCGTGAATTTTTGTATAAGCTTCCTCCACGAATGAATGGATGCACGGCTAGTTCGAAAAACTAAATTCTAAAATGTGGCGGCGAAATATCCGGACTGCAAGACTAAGTGTATGTACACTGTGACTGTATATAAATTATTGTTGACAGCAGTAGATTACCTTTAAAACACTGGGTTCCTGAATTAAATATTATGATAATGGCATTATCAGTTTAGAAGAAATCCCAGAAAAAGAAAGATTCCAGAAGAAAGGGTTAGTAAAAATATACTGCAATCTAATATTTGTATCAAGGAATGAAGGATAAAGAGCATCACAGGTGCCTCTTAATTTTACCTATTTATAAGATATCATACATTGATATTCATTAAGACCCAGGCACCTGCGAAAAACTTCATTGTCTAAATGTACAACTGTATTCTCTTTAGAGAAGTGGACAGGCTTTCGCCTACATCCATGGATGTAGGCTAAAGCCTGTCCACTTCTCTAAAGAGAATAGTACAACTGATGTATGCCACTATATCCTACTTTTCTTTCCTCAAGTTGTATTAGATTTTTTTTTAAATTTATATATTTATTTATTTTTTGTGCTGCACAGAATAATGATATATTTTTTCTTGTATGAGTGAATGTACAGTAAACCCTTGTTTTCTTAAACTTGATTTAAAAAAAAAATCTTTGTGACATCTGATATTTCCAGAGGTTTAAATACATCAAGAAGTGGTTGGGACTTCCTAGATAGAATGTTCTATTAAAGTTGTACTAGGTGTTCTATCCGTTAAAATGGTAAATGTCCTATGGACCCGGTTTATCGACAGAATGCAGTCCTTGTATTGGCTATGTAGAAAAACAAATATGGTTGATAACTCTAACTCCGTGCACAATCCAGAGGGTTCCAAATGTCAACAAGGTGTGTTAAGGATACACCAAAGGCTTTTTTCAAGATTTCCAACAATTTTGAGATTTTTGGCCAAGAAAAAGAAGTTAATCACTGCTTTATAATGCATGTAAAATTCTTGGTAATTATGAAATGGTTTTCTAATTATTTAACAATAATGAAACATAAACACTACCACATGTGAATGTTCCGTTATTGAAGCTTCTGATTTGATCTGTGACTGCCTGCTCATGAAAGACGTAATAAATCACTGTGACCACTTGGGGAATTCTTCACTAGCCACACAGAGGTTATCAGTAATTAAACTACAGGGACTCTAGATTTAGGGAAAGAGATCTAACAGATCACTGATGACCATAAAATAGGAGGTGGAGCTTAGCTCTTGCCATTTTGCCGGGAAATCTTTCTGATTCAGAATTGAACCTATTTTACTTAATTAAAAGCATCTAAATACAGAAAAGAACCTCCCATTATTGTGAATATGCATAGGAAATATGGCTAAGTGACAGGTATCCAAAGCTGAATCTCCAAGGTGTCATATATTCCTAGCTTTGCCAGATTTTGTTGTGTAATGGGTTTTTGCCCTCTACTGTAAAGTAAGATCAGACAGGTTGTGGTATTATTTCAAAGGATTCAGCTCCCTTATTTATGGACCAATTTCTCTGAAAATTGGATTGGTTGCTTCTCAAATGTGTGTTCACAAAACTGTATCTCAGATTTTTGATATCTAGCTTAGTTTTGGAATTATTGAGGGAAATGTTAAATTAGGCTAATAAATTGGTAACATTGAAGGACAAATGGCTGTAACTTTTGAATTAGAAGATTTATCAAAAATCTGAGATACGGTTTTTAAGTTCAATCTTTAATCTACCTTGAGGTAAAATGACCACTTTGAGGGGTTAAATACAAAAAAGTTGATTTATAAAATATTTAAGCACTAAAATTTACATTAATATTTAAATAATTTTTGAATAAGTTATTAATTAAAGTTTAAATTAGGATAATTAAATAGTAAATTTAACAAGCTTTCAAATGATTTATACTTTTATTATGTTATCTTTGATAATGAAAGAATTACATGCCAATTAAATTCTGGCATTTGGAAACCTTTGGTGTATCCTTAATTTGAAGCAAATAAAACATGTTGTGATGAGAAAGTTTTGAATCTTCCATTATCATGATTATATAGATTAATTTTTTGAATGAAAGGTATCCACAATCTCTAAAAGGTTTGTTATGATTAATTTGATGGTTATTTTCAATCCAACTCCATTTATTTTAGCCAAAATCGTTTTGGAGAGATTCTGCAATTTTCTGCTACATTGCAGGTATATGGGCATTCTAACTGTAGTGAGGGCTTGTCCTGAGACACAGTTAGGTTATTCTAACTTGAAACTTCCAACTCACTTCAACATAACTATTAGACTATAAAACTATGGTATTCAAGATATAGATGTTTGAGATACCAAAGTGCAAGTTATTTACATACATGTATATGTGTATAGATACAGTATATCATGAATGATTTTTTTTCCAGGTTGGATGCAAAATGTCAGACAAAAAAGAGATATTATTTGAGCTTAAATCAGAAAAAAGCACACAGTTCTCTAGCAAGTGCAAAGACATTTTTGGAAACTTGGAGAAACTTGAAAAAAAGCATGAGGAATTTGAAAAATCTAGATCAGATGATGACAGGAGTGTGATCAAAACAGATCCAAACGATGCCGACACAGAGACAATTACCTCTGCTTTCAAAGTACCTCAGTCAGGAAGCCTTGCACGGAGAGGTGGTGGCCCATGGAGAAGGCACCAAGAAAGGAAAGAACAGAGGGATGGGAACCCTCCACCGTGGAGGGGTGACTGCGACAGAAGATTGGAAAGGAGGAAAGATGACAGAGGAACTGACAGCATCCGACATGAACTCCAGCCGAGGCAATTCATGGGGCACAGAAGAGGGCATCCTTACCATAACTACAGGGGAAATAGGAGGCAAAGGACCCCAGATTATAAAGCTCATCCAGAGAAATGGACCAAATATTCCCTGGAGGATGTTGGGAATGAGGATATGTCAGAATCCTCCAATACAAGGGCAGCATTTGCTTTCTTGGAAGAGCGACGGAAATTACGAGAGGGTGAAATGAAAGCTGAGGCAGTGAATACAGAAGACACTTCCTGTTCAAAAGGAATCTTTACGTTTAAGAAACCAGTGAAGAATGAGAGCAAAAAGGACACATGTAAAGTTTCTTCTAAAGATACCCTTCAGCCATCAAATTCAAATGATGATGAAAACATAACTTTATCGTATGAAAAAGAAAGTGTAGAAGCGTCAAGTCCAGGAGAAATTGAGAAAGTGGAAGTTGAAAAGGTGACATTTAAGTCTCATAAAAAGTCAAAGAGGAGCATCAGAATTCGGGATACAGATGATGATTGACTTTATGTTTATCAATTCCTACCAAACATTTCTGAATTATTTTATGTTTTAGATTTCAATTCGTTCTGACTGCTCATCAATACACTGTAATAAAACATTAATTTATAATATAACATTACTGGTTAGAAATTAATTGAAATTTTAAGTAATGATACTAAGATACAGTTATGTGTCTCTTTACTGATCATCTAAGTCATGTAGTAGCTTTTAAAATAGTTAACAAGAGGCCCATTGGCCCACAATGCTCACCTGAGTCATGGCCCTCCTGTTTTCCATCAGCAGATTTTTTGCCCATATATAATCCTATAAAAAACTTTGATCGCCTAATTTGGCCCCACCCTACACCAAGAGGACTTGCTTTGAATAAACTTTAATCTACACTACCTAAGGATGCTTCCATATCTGTATGTCTAATCATGCCTTTGTCGTTCTTCAGAAGATTTTAAAAAATTTTCCAATACATGTATATACCTATGTAAAACTTGGATCTCCCATTGTAGCCCCGCCCCATGTCTGGGAGTCATGATTTTAACAAAGTTAACTAGAATCTATTCTCCTTGAGGATGTTTCTATATCTGTATGACTAAATATACCTTCACTGTTCTTGAGAAGATTTTTTTTAATAGATTTTTTTCTTATATGTTCCTATTTCAAAACTGTGATCACATGATTTGAATAAACTTGAACAAAATCTGAGAATTTCTTCCATATTGATATGACTAAACATGTCTATGCTGTTTTTAAGAAGAATTTAAAAGATTTATTTCCCATATATTCCTATGTAAAACTTTGATCCCTAAGTGTGACCCTTCCCTACCCCTACATCAACACTATGTAATGAAGCTTTCACATAAGATTCAACTTTAATGGCCCGGTTTTATTGAGATTTTGAAAGATTTTTTCCTGTATATTCCTATGTAAAACTTTTATCACCTATTCTGTCCCCACCTTACCCCTCGGGGTCATGATTTGAACAAACTTGAATCTGCACTAATTGTAATGAAGCTTTCACTTAAGTTTTAACTTTTCTGACCCAGTGGTTCTTGAGAGGAAGATTTTTAGTTTACCTGAGTTTACTCAGGTGACCTATTGCTGTCTGTTTTTGTCCATCGCCGTGCGATGTGCTTTAACATTTAAACAGTTTCAGCTTCTTCTCTGGAACCACTGAACCAAATTCAACCAATTTTAGCATATAGCTTCTTCTCTGGAACCACTGAACCAAATTCAACCAATTTTAGCATATAGCATTTATGGGTAAAGGGGAACAAAAATTATGAAATTCATGGCCCCTGCCCCCCTGGGGCCTGAGGGGTGGGACTAAAACCATCAAAATTAATGCAATCTTTAAAAATCGTCTTCTTTACTCCTGGACATTAAGAAGTCAAATTGTGTTGGCATGATTGTAATAAGCATTGAGCCCTCTACCAAAATTGTGAAATTTATGGCCCCAGGGTCAAGGGTTCTGGTGCTAGGGTGGGGTTCTGTTGAATATATAGTGAAAATCCATTAGTTTTTTAAAAAAAAAATCTTCTTCTCTGCTCCTGGGTATTCAACAAACTAAATGCATAGTTATGTTAAGCAAGGGTGCCTCTTCCAAAGTGAATTTCATGACCCCTGGGTCAGGAGTTCTGGTGTTAGGGCAGGGCTTTATTGATTATGTAGTGAAAATGCATTAATTCTTTGAAAATCTTCTTCTCTGCTCCTGGGTATTAAGCAAACAAGTTAAATTCATATTTATGATGAAAAAGGGTGCCTCTTTCAAATGGTAAATTTCATGGTCCCTGGGTCAGGGGTTCTGGTATTAGGGTGCGGCTCTATTGATTAAATAGTGAAAAATTAATTAATTCTTTTAAATCTTCTCTGCTCCTGGGTATTATGTAAAAAGACTATGTGCATGGTTATGATAAGTTAGGATGCCTCTTCCAAAATTGTGAATTTCATGGCCCCAGGTTCTGGTGTTAGGGTGGGGCTCTATTGATTATATGTGGAAAATGCATGAATTATTTGAAAATCTTCTTCTCTGCTCCTGGGTATTATGTAGACAAACTAAGTGCATGGTTATAATGAGTATAAGAATGCTTCTTCCAAAATTGTGAATTTCATGGCCCCTGGCTCTGGTGTTAGGGTGGGGCTCTATTGATTATATAAAGAAAATGCATTAATTCTTTGAAAATCCTCATCTCTGCTCCTGGGTATTATGTAAACAAAGTAAGAGTATGATTGTGATAAGCAAGGATGCTTCTTCCAAATTTGTGAAATTTATGGCCCCACGGTTGGGGGTTCTGGTGAGGAGGTGGAGGTCTCTATGGATTACATTGTGAAAATGCATAATTTCTTTGAAAATATTCTTTTCTGCTCCTGGTTATAAATCAAAGAAACTAAGAGACTAGTTATGATGAGCAAGAGTGCCTCTTCCAGAATGGCGAGTTTTATGGCCCCTGTCAATGTTCTGGTGTAAGGGTGCATGAGGATCTATTGATAATTTAGTCAAATTGTATTAATTCATTTAAATAATCTTGTCTGCCCCTGGGTATCCAGGAGATAAACAAGCGCATAGTTATGATTAGCAAAGACATTATTAAATGTTCTTTAAAGAGCCAATGTAGGAAAGCAGGTTAAAAATAGAACTGAAGCACTATTGTTTTGTTTTTAGTCTGTGTGGTGATTGTGATAACTGGGGACGAGAAGAACTTACTTGATGAGCTCTTACTGAGTACTAGTCTAAGTATTTAGTTGATTCTGATCATTCTGTTTCTCTTGTTCTTGGGCAACAAATCTTCATCTATCAATTTATTTTATACTTCTATGGATCCTCTAAATTGTTGTATTATACTCAGGTGACTGTTAAGTCCTTGAGCCTCTTGTTAAAAGATACCAATAAATCTTTATCAATTCATAAAGCTGAACACTACTCCTAAAAGGCATTGTCTGCCATATTTCTCGTTCATAGGCGCTTATCCCCTACAACCCCTATATTAGCCGCAGACCTCTTAAGTTCAATGTATTTTGCTGTAGAGGTCTGACAAGTATAGACGTATGCATAATTTCTTTGAAAATACATTTTACATTGTGTGTTACTCGGTCGCAATGAAATTATCAATTTTTATGCACTTATTCCGAGCCAGGAGAAAAGTAACATTAAATGTGATACAAGTAAATACATTATTTATAGGGATGTCAACAAATATTCGAACATTCGAATATTCATTCGATGAGTTAATATTCAAATATGAATTTAAGATTCGAATATTCGGTGTTTTTCAGATTTCACAAAAAAGAGATAACAGATTTAATTAAAACAGTGATGGAATTATCCCCCTCTAATTTTGTAGGGATCCCCTGATTTCTTTCACTACTTTCTTATATCTTATAGATTTTCTAAATTATTTCATTTTGAGTACGGTATAAAAGAATTAATGTATAACACAAAGAGTACATTCAGTAGTTTAAAATGATCGGAATTCAGAATAATGCATCAATTACTTGATTACCTGACTGGTTGAATACATTCCTAAATTCTAAAATCATGATCAGGAAATCAATGATATAAAAAATGTCTATGAAAGTGTATGATTATATTTTCAAAACAATGCATCAAAGATCATATTATATATCTTATTAAGCAGATAAGTGTAATTAATTATGTGTATTTAAATCTGAAAATTAAGTAAACGACAATCTTGCCCCTGGTGAGACGACTGGATCGTCAGTTTGAGCTTGTATAAAATTATATTTCAGTTGTATACACTTAAATCAATTACTTATTTTAACATTGATAAATATCAAATGTAGAATTCCTTATTGTATACCTACAAAAGTCACATCCAATTTTACTTCCAAAACCTACCATGAGAGTATGATGATGTACATTTAAAATAAACCACATTCTATTTATTTTATCGAATATATTCGAATACTTTCATTGAATATTCGAATGTCAATTATTGACAAAATTGCCATCCCTATTTATTTACAAACAGAAAATGCACATAAAAACAAGGAATAACCACACAAAATCTAAGACCACGAAAGGAATACTACACATTAGTCACGAGTTTCAAGTGTGAAATCGGGTGTAAAGAAATCGAAGGGTTTATATACCTGTGTGACGATGCCTATTTAAGAGTATTGTTCAGCTTTAATTATCTTCCCTTGAATGAGGCTGCAGCCATTCATTTGAACAAACTTGGATCTCCGTCACCTAAGGATGTTTTATGGCAAGTTTGGTTAAAACTGGCACAGTATTTCTAAAGAAAATGAAAATGTGAAGAGCTAACAGACAGATGGATGGATGGTAGACAAACCTCACTTGAGCCTTCAGCTCATGTGAGCTAAAATGTATGATATACAAAAGAAGAGGCCCATGGGCCTCAACACTCACCTGAGTCAAGATGGCCCTGCTGTTCTTCAGAAAAATTTCACAATCATTGCATATGATAAAGTTTAGTCTGTCCACTGGTAAATGTTATCCAAATAGGTATTAATAAAAGAGTCATGCTCAACTTCAATAAAATAGTTTTCTTTACACAATGTACTACTGTGGAATCATTAGATTTCATGGTGGCTCAATATTCGTGGAATTGGTGGATACCCTTCATCCAAAAATATACACTCTCCATGAATAAATATACAAGGATTTCAAAGTTATATTTCTTTTTGTAGATATGAGTGAATACAGGAAATTACATCTCCATGAACCTGTAAAATTTAAGCAATCCAGGAAAATTGGCCCCCACGAATTTTGATGATTTCACAGTACTTATTTTTTATGGTCAAAATATTGAAGTGAACACACGGCACTTTCTGACATCATTTTAATCCTATTTGTCACAAAATCACATCTATTCCTCATCTCTTTAATGGTATCAAAAGTAATATTAACTTCGTTATACCTCTGAACTTTTCAAATGGCCAGTGTAGCTTTCATATGAAAGTTATTATTTCAACAATTTTCCTTTACAGTATATGGAGGTTTGATTTCAGGATTAATTTTTTTTTTGAAAATCTGTTACATCTGTCCAAAACTTTGTTACCTTAGCCCCAGGTGCATGACTTCTTTGCATAGGGTGCTTCATATTAATTTGACAAATTATGATCTCATGATCATCAAATATCTAACTTTTTATTAAACTTGGGACTTTATAAAAACTACTTTCAACTGCATGGAAGCATTTGCTTTTTGGGAAGAGCTGTAGCCTTTTTCATTTCCTTTCTGTTCATTCCAAGCAGTGCTTTTCTTCAGATTTATAAAAATTTAGATAAAAAAATGATATATACATGCTGTTGTTCTTACCAAGAGAATGCTGGGGTAGTAATCTTAAGAGACAAATAAATGCTCAACACCAACACAACTAGAAATTGATGAAATGGTGTACATCATCTCAAAGGTCCCCGCTTTAAGTAAAAGCTTTTTGTATGGAAGTATTTGTTGAGGTGTAATTGAAGAGAACCGTGACTTTTACTCGGAAAATTTTGGGTTAAGGTAATATAATCCAGAAAATGATTTTATACAGAGATGTTTTTGACCTTTGACTTTTGATCTAGAAATGTGGGTCAAGCTCAAACCCTTTACCCACTGACACACTATGGAGTTTGAGCCCGACTGAACCATTGGGAGAATAAATATATATGCTCTGGAAAAAAACAAGAGGCCCATGGGCCACATCGCTCACCTGAGTAACTTTGGCCATGCTGTTCTTTACCAGATTTCCCCCCTTTTAATATACCTATTGTGGCCCCGCCCTACCCCCGGCGGTCATGATTTGAACAATTTAGAATCTACACTATCTCAGGATGCTTCCAAATAAGTTTCAGCTTTTTTGGTCCAGTGGTTCATGTGAAGAAGATTTTTTAAGATTTTTCCTATATATTTCAATGTAAAACTTGGATTCCCTATTGTGGCCCCGTCCTACCCCCGAGGGTCATGATTTGAACAATTTAGATTCTACACTATCCCAGGATGCTTCCATATAAGTTTCAGCTTTTCTGGCCTAGTGGTTCTTCAGAAGAGGATTTTTAAAGATTTTTCTTATGTATTTTAATGTAAAACTTGGATTCCCTATTGTGGCCCCACCCTACCCCCGGGGGTCATGATTTGAATAATTTAGATTCTACACTACCCCAGGATGCTTCCATATAAGTTTCAGCTTTTCTGGCCCAGTGGTTCTTGAGAAGAAGATTTGTAAAAATTTTTCTTATATATTTCAATGTAAAACTTGGATTCCCTATTGTGGCCCCGCCCTACCCCCGGGGGTCATGATTTTAACAATTTAGAATCTACACTACCCCAGGATGCTTCCACATAAGTTTCAGCTTTTCTGGCCCAGTGGTTCTTGAGAAGAAGATTTTTTAATAACCCCACCCTATTTTTATCTTTTCTTGATTATCTCCCCTTGTAAGGGGACTTGGCCCTTTATTTTAACAATTTACACTCCCCTTTACCCAAGGATACTTTGTATCAAGTTTGGTTAAAATTGGCCCAGTGGTTCTTGAAAAGAAGTTAAATGTGAAAAGTTTACAGACGGACGGACGACGGACAATAGGTGATCAGAAAAGCTCACTTGAGCTTTCAGCTCAGGTGAGCTAAAAACTGCTAAATGCCACTGAGTATTGGAGTTATACTCCTATGAAATGCATTAAAATCCAAAGCCAACATATAAACTCTCCAGTTACTATCCAAATTTCTTGATTAAAAACAAACTACAGCATTTCATATTTTGTTATGTTTTATTGGTTTTTTACCTTCATTTTTTTATGTGGCTAAATTTCTACCTAGCCTTCAGTTAGTTGAGAATAATTATCTGTGAAAGCTTTATACATAGCAACATCTAAGGCACAGACATATACATATGTAGAATGAGTTTTTACAATGCCATACAATGTAAATGGACATACATTATTGTATACAGATACTAGTATAAACTAATGATTCTTAGTGCCATTCAGGGTTTATAATTAAATAGTACAATCAGGAGTTTGAATCTTAAAATATAACAAACTAATTAATACACAATACAGTAGTCAAGACTATGCTGTTTAACCAACTTTGCATTTAGCTACGTACCATACATTATCAAAAACATTTAAGATATTTGTGTGGTTGTTTTGGGGGACATAAGTTTTAACTGAATCAAAGAAATGCCCAAATCCTTCCTCCCTAAAATTTCAATAGACCCCCCCCTCCCCCCCCCCCCCAAAAAAAAAAATTCTTCTGGGACATAATTGTAATAATGCCTCAACAAAAATTCCAAGCCAAAATACATGAAGTTATAAATGACTATAACAGAATTGAAATATTGTCACATTTATACTGTGTATATATAAAATATAGAACTAACCTAAATATGTTACAGATAAATACCCGTTGTAAAAAAAGCACTCTTTGTAAAACATTTTGGGAGAAAAAATGGGGGGAAAAAAAACAACTGTAGACTTCACTTAAAATAAAAGATACCAATCAATAAAAAAAAAAAACAGAAAGATAAACAAGAATATGCTTTGCTGGTTTAAAAAAAAGGTTTGCTTCCTTGGAAGACGAGAGTTAAATTTAAATGTGATATTTACATGCCATTCTCGAAATAGCATTCATCAATAATTATGTATATAATTATTATAATATTACTTGTCAATAAAATATAAACATGTTAATAACATCATCTTTAAAAAGAAAATAAGGTATTCTTAAACATAATTTGGCTATAAGTTCTTATAAAATTAACAGACACAAATAAAATTTCAGCATGCATCAAAGTGAAAAGAAATATCACAATTTCCTTATCTGTCACACAGAACTAAAAACAAAATTAGAAATTATTTTTTCCTTGGCTAAAAATTTAATATATATACAAGCAGCACTATGGAAACCAAACACAACAAAATAAAACTAGAAAACTTATCACAAGACAAAAACATCACAAAGTATCTAATAAAGCAGTGCTTTTCTATTAAGTCATTTTTCAACAGCCCTAAGTGTGAAAGATTTATGAAAAAATTTCGTAATGGATCTTAAATTTTATTGCATTGCTGCCTCTGACAACGTATACAGCATGTTTCAGAATAAAATAAAATCATCAGTGACAGAAATTCTACCCAATTCTGAAATCAATCACACAAAGTGCTTAAATTTACCCTTTTATCATCAAAAAACATTTTTTTTAAGTGTAGTTCATTAACTCATCAAATATGGCACAAAAAATCATATGTACATTAAACATTTAAAACAATACAAATTTCAAGGATACAACCACATATTCACTGAATACAAAATCACTTTATACATAAATCTGTTGGTCACTTGTTAACCCTATTACCAGTACTGTATTTACAGGTTTGTTGGAACAGATTAGAACTGATCAGAATGTAGTTTAATTTCCATTTATCACCTTGAGCTCAATGTTTGAACCGATTAGAAATGAATCAAGATGTATTTTAAGTCTGATCACTAGTGCAAGATATCTTATTTCATATAAAAAGAAATAGTAATACACGATGGTTAAGATATCACTGGGAACTTTTATGAATTAAGTACAGTATACATCACATTTGGTAAAAGTTTAAAATAATATTTAAAATAAAATCTTGATAAATTTTGTATCTGACCTCTTGGCATATCTTTAATCTAACATAAAATACCTTGACCTTTGACACACAATCATGTCCTTGACCTAACACTATACCTTGACCTTTACTTTAACCATTTATAGACTTCTTGTAGCTAAAATTAAAATTGCAGAAAAACAAAAGGAACAAAAAAAAAAAACAACATACCCAGCCCATTTCTGATCTAATGAACTAAAATGAGATAATTTATATTCAATGTACAAGCACCACCCAAACACATTAATAATGCTTAATGTCAAACTCAAAGATAGTGGGACAAAGTGACCAACAGATCATGTTACTGACCATGATGACTGCTCCGCAAGAGGTAGAACAAAAGAAGTTATGACCGTGAACACATCATCAGCTGGAGCTAAGAGCTAAACTGAACTCAGCAGAGCACCTCTTCACACAGAAACCACACACAGAAACAAAAAAATCCATACAACAGTAGTGGGAGAAATATACAACCTTGTTCACAAATAACGGGTTGTCCCAATAGAAAATCTCTATGAGCAAAAGGGTATATGCATCTTTATAAGCATTGTTTTCCCTGAAATTCCTGACACTTTATATTTTTGTATGTCCATTTCTCAAACATGTAATAATCCATGTAAAATTAAGCTGTTCAAGATGACATACATAAACTCATATTTTTAACATCTGGCCTAATATTAAATATGAATTTCTGTAAAAGTACTGTTTCATGAATGGGTTGAATTTTACATCAAATAGACTGAAAATTTTCCAATTCTTTCTTTTTGTTCTAACAAATTAAATAACTAAACAAACTTGAAAATTCAAACAAATTTAAGGCTGCCTTTCTGCACATCAAAAAAAATTGAATCCCATAAATTATCCAGAATTCATACAGAATCATATTTAGACCATAAGTTTTTCCATTGGGACAGCTCACAAAATGCATAAATTTAAAAAGTGCATATGCCGTATGTAACACATGTTTATATAAAGTGAAAATCTGCATAAAAATCTGCAAATATTATGAAGTATACGAAACATTTCTTCACAACAAATTGTACAAAATATCAAATACTCATTCGAAAGATGCCCATTTTTAAATTAACCTGCTAAATAATGAAGATAGGAACTGATACACTGATAATAACAAGTGCTCAAGTTTTCTCTGCCATCAGGAAGAGATTCTACAAGAAGTTATACAAAGAATTTATCATACAATGCTGATTTCCTTTTCATATGCATATAAATACTGTCAAACAATAACAGAATAATTACGTATAAAAATTTGTCATATCACACATCTCATTTACTAGCACTCCAAAAAAAAATCACATTTGACACAAGAAATATTTGAATTAAAGTAAATATATATTATTTACACTAACAATCTGAACTCTCAGCCACTGGTGAGGGGGGTGGGGGATATGGATTAAAAAAGCTCCTCTCTGTCGATGGTGGTGAAGGGGGGCAACTCATATCATCTGAAAAATAGGGGGTCGGTAAAGGAGGGTAGGGGTCATAGCTGTACAGTTCTGATATAGACTGTTGTTCGTAATATAATTTGGTAGGATAAGGTTCACTCTCCTCACATACGTCCGTGCTACAGGGTGTGGTGGGAGGAGGGGGGATATTGTGTATTCTAAGTTTGTATGGTCGATATGACCGAACAGTCGATGGACTATTAGAGGAATACCCCGAGTAGGCCCCTTTATACACCGACCGGTCAGTGACGGGACTAGGTGGGGGATTGAGGGTCTCTTTTGGGTATTGAGTCACAGTACTACTGCTGGAAGATGCCCCAGTCACATGATTTCTATCATACAGAGGCATTGTCACTGAGGATAATCCTGTTTCATGGGATTTACCGCCATGAGAAGACAGGGTGTTTAGAGTTGTCTCTCCTGTGTGCACAGAATGGTTCAATGGTTTTAACTGACTCATGTCGCTGCGCTCTTCGTATATTAATCTCGGAGTCCTGCGTCGACATGCAAACACAAACACAAACACTAACACAATTGCAATAAGACCCACCACTATGACGATGGTCCATGTTGCCACCTCCTTGCTAGGCGATGACTTTGCCACTGCAGGGGGGCAGTCATCCTCCTTGCAGTTATGAGGGGCTCGACTAGTGGGATCACAGTTCGATTCATCTGTTTGATCGTCACACTGGGCCTCTCCATCACAAACTTTTTTGATGCTGATACAGAGATCATTGTCACATTTAAACTCATCTTGTGGATGACAGACCGGACAGTTCTGTTCATCCGATCCATCAGCACATTCCTCTGTACCGTCACACCTCCATACCTTGGGGATGCAGTGAAGTTCACCACTGACACAGGTGAACTGCTCCGGTGAACAAGTCGGAGGATCTGAACAAGTCTTCAGATCAGCTTTTAACACCAGGTCTAAGGGACATGAACAACTAGCCTTCCCCCCACTATCTGCCACACAGATATGTGAGCAGTTGCCTTTATTTTTGGCACATGGGTGGTTGAGGTCTTCAGGCACTAAACCCCTTGCCACCAGAAGATCACTAAGTTGATCCAGCCTGCCCTGGATGAACGATCGATTTTTCCCAGTGGCTTTTTGCACTCTGCTAATAACATGATGTTGTTTGTCAATCCAGTAAAGAAAATTACCAAAGATGGCCATTCCACGTGGATTGGCGACATCTTGATCCACCAAATTTTTCCTATTGCCTCCAGACAAGTCTGAGCATTCAATGCGGTTAAGACGTGAATCAGCCCAGTATAACATATTGCCCTCTACATCGATAGCTAGTGGTCCAGGGCGATCTAATTCCGAATTAAACAATTTAATACTCTCTGTGCCGTCCATGGAAGCTCGCATGATAACGGGATTGCTGCCCATGTCAGTCCAGTACATGTGACTAAAAGTACAGAAGAAAAAATTGATTTTAAATTAAACAATTTAAATAAGTACATGTATATGCACATCATTCCTAAGTACAGTACTCCATAAAAAATAACAAAATAATGAAGAATAAAATATTTCTCTGAATGATCCAATATCCTCATTTCTTGAGACTGATAACTTTTTCTTGAATCATAAAGATACCAAATTCAGGCTGAAAGTACATAGATGTACATATATAAACAAGTCAAAATTTTTTTTTTTTAATGACATACCCTCCCAGTGGGTTGAGAGCAATGTATCTTGGTACATGCTTCTCTCCCTCTACTATGACTCCCACAGGGGTGCCATCCAATCCAGTGATATTTATGGTGTTCTTTTTAGCGCATGTCCAGTACAGGACTCTGGAGTACGGGTCCACAGCAATATCGAAAGGGCGGTGCTCTCCTTCTGGGTTAGACACCACTGTAGCAACCTACAATTTGTAAAGAACATGTGAAAACTGAATTCTATTAATAAAACAGAAATTTCTCATGCTGGATTTATTTACTTAAATAGTTTATCTAAAATGTATTAACAAACAGTCAACATAAAAATATTCTTCTAGAACACATACAAATTTTGAACTATAATTTTCGTAATTTACTACAGTTGTATTTTGTTATTAATCTCAATTTTCCTGTTTTTACAAAAAAAATGATTTGTTATTACATACGTGGGTTCCATTATCAGCAGCCTTCTTGATGACCATATTTTTGCCTTCAATCCAGTAAATGAAATGTTTGACGGGGTCATAGCTGAGGGCTTTGATGTTCTTGAGCTGTGGGATAGGAAGAACCACCTCTGGAGTATCAGGATCGAAATCGTCATTATTTATTACAAGACGGCTGATCGTGTTCTTCTGACTGAACAGCAGAAATGTCTTAGGAGCTGAAAGATAAATTAGGCACTCTGTCAATAAAAACTTATACACAATTTCATCTACATGGAAATGTACGTGCATTTCTTCAATGTTTTCATTACTTCTTGACTTTTATTCTGTTGATAAATTCTCTCTACTGCTGAAACACTCTGCTCCTTCCTATGCATAGTGTCTTCATAGTCTTTTATAAAAACATGATACAGCATTAATTTTTGTCTTCTATCTCTTATCTTGGCTACTCTTTCATACATTTTTTCTTTATATCAACCCTACCTGAGCATGTCTTATTGTCCCTGTTGAGTCGAAAGTGTGTGGGACATGCACAGTGATGAGGTGTTCCAGAGGAGTGGTTAACAGGGTGTGCCAGACACAAGTGTGAACACCCCCCATTATTGTCTTTGCAGCTGTTACTCCCTGTAAGAAAAGACAGTTCTCTTTCATTTTTTCTTCCACATACATTGTGTGATATGAACTCATATTGAAATATACTCAGGTTTCTGTAATAAGAGTGTTTCTTCGAAAATAAATAATTACAACCAAGTGAGGCAAAAAGTATAGGTGTCTTTCTTTCAGACACTAGGACAAGTAATTACTACTTGTATCTATTAGATATGCAAGGCTTCAACTAAATGCATTTATTTTCAGCAAAAAGAAATGCATAAAAACAGTCCAGATCCAACAAATTTCAAGAATTAAATTCTTTTAATCTCAATTTTGTTACTCAGCCAAAAAAGTACTGTCTTGTACAAGACAAATTTAATTATATTTCTCAAGAACAAATTCTCATGTATTGTTATTATAATCTCCCTGTACTTACCAGATTGTCTGGAGGAATGAAAGACCAGTATGTCTCTGACACTGTCTACGCTGGTCTGAATGGTGGTGCGATTGGACCCAGATGACTTGTTAGCCCGCTCTATTGTCTGTCTCTGCCAATCCGCCCAGAATATAAAGTCATGGTACAGAGTCAGACTCATGGGCTGAGGCACCTGGTCAGTGATGACCTTCACCATATCGTTTCCTGTGATAATAAAACATAGGTAATCAAAGATTACAAAGCTCACCTCGACGAATGTTATCTATAAGTAAGACAAATTTCACATCATATTTTTTTTTTCTAGTTAGTGTACATCCCAAGATCGATACCCATGCAAGTTTGGTTTAAGTAAGACTTATAGTTACTTGGAAACAGATCTGCTCAAAAAACTTTTAACCTGTTTACTAATCAAGAAAATTTTGGTCAGTTCCGACATCCAAAGCAAGTTTGGAAGTTTTCATCCTTAGATGCACCATCCATGCAAGTTTAATCATAACAGGCCATATTATATAGCATCATCCATGCAAGTTTGGTCCAGGTAGGGCTTATAGTTACTTGGGAATTGACCTGCTCCAAAAACTTTAACCAGGTCACTCATCTGGAAAATCTAGGTCAAATCCAGCATCCGAAGCAAGTGTGGTAGTGTCCATCCCCAGATGCATCATCCATGCAAGTTTGGTCTAGGTAGGGCTTATAGTTATTAGGGAATGGACTTGCTCCTAAAACTTTAACTGGGACATCGACGCTGGGGGTATAGCATAAGCTCATCTCGACTTTGTCGAGGTGAGATAAAAAAGTATCAAATCAGAGGGAAAAGTTAATATTGCTTTATCATAACAAACTACTTCATCATACCTTGTTACTACTCAATATATTTTATAGCACTTGGCTTTTTTTTGGTATATGGTATTGCCAAGAGAAGGGATCTTAAGTTCACTTTAAACATGCTCCCCTGTATCTGAATTATCACATGTAAGACTTCAGCAATAGATGTATCAAAGTACACAAACACAAAAAAATTATAATTATGCCTATTGCCTGAAACAGAATGTCATACAGGGAATGCTTTTCTGTATTAATTTAATTTGATAAAGCATTTTACACTACCGTTCAGATCAGAGGATGCAATAACATTTTGGTCTATGCTCGTCCAGTATAATCTCTTCTCTCCATAGTCAATGGTCAGTCCATGGACTTTTCCTATCCCTGTCCTAATAACTTCCCTCATTGTCCCATCCAGGGCAGCCCTTTCCAGCTTCTGAGTTGTCCAGTCTGTCCAGTAGATGTAACTGGAAAAGCAATAAATACAAGTGTAAACTACTTCCTAATGAGGAATGAATTCATAAAATAATGTCGTACCCAATTTACTGACAATTCTATCATAAACAGTATTAGCACAAAAACTCACTTAAATACATGTATCTGCACCGAGTAAAAAATCCAATTACTAATTATCATGATAACTCTCTTATTCTGAATGCTTAAAGCATCTTTAACACCTTCACTACAAATGGGAATTTTTTTAATCATACCCATCAGGTGGATTGACAGCTAAAGCCCTAGGAGCTTCTAGATCCTTCCATATGATGACACGCCGCGATGAGCCATCTAACCTAGCCACCTCAATCCTTCGTTTCTTTCCTGTGTCAACCCAGTAAAGATTCTTAGCCACCCAATCCACAGCTATTCCTTCTGGGTAGGTGAGTCCATACTGAACAATGGGCTCCAAGGAACTGCCATTTAGAAAGGCTCTGCTTATTCTCTGTGTAAAAAAAATTATCAAGTTCAGAAATGATTTTAATAAAGAAAGGGAGAATATTCAAGGCAAATAGTAATTGCTTGAGTAACCCTCCCCCCCCCCCCCCAAAAAAAAAATGGTGACTAAACAGAGTCCTCTAGAAAATTGAAAGTACAAGTTACCTCAAACACATACCAAGTACATCCTTATTGAACCATGAACAAAAATTACTCTGGATCTTTCAATATTTATCACAACTTACTTTTTTTTAAATCTCAAGACTCTATCTTCTATATCAAAGATCAAAGGGCTTATTATCTAATAGCAACTCAGAGCTTGTAATCAAAGGTTTTATTCCCAGTCTCTCATATATATGTCGTAGTTACTCCTATGCATGTCACTGGCCATTAAAACAACCAAGGGAAAAAAAACTGTTTCTAAGACATAAACATCAAAGAGATCCAGGTCCTAGAATTCCATTAATATTAGATACTAGGTGAATCACGCGATCAATGCCATGCAGACTTGCCTTCAGATCTCCGTCCGTCCAATAAATCCTATCGTCTGCGATATGGAAATCTATTGCTAGGGCGTCTTTGACCCCTTTGATCGGTATGGGTCGTATACGGTGATTGGTTTCCAAGGACATGCGTTTAATGTCATGGTGACTGGTAAATAAAATGAAGGCCTCAGGCACGATGCAGGTTTTTCCATTGCTGACAAGCTCCAATCCCATTGGACAAGCGCACACAACACCCTGATCAGCAGTGAACAGACAGAGGTGACTGCATCCTCCATTGTAATGTGCACAAGGATTGGTGCCTGAAAATTTGTGACAGATATATTGTAAAAATTATTCCTGGGGGTAATCATAAAAATTAAAAAGTATATAAAGATGAGCTCCCCACTCCCCCACCCAAATTACACACTCCATTTATAGGAAAAGATTTTGACTGAGAAAAAAACTGAAAAAAATAGTGTTCTACAAATAAATATGAACTCAGCTTGAATAATGGGAATTCCCAAGCCCAGTATTAATAATGGAAACCTCACTGCTTTTATACCAATGCATTAAGTTTATTTTGCAATTGTTGCATAAATGTAAAATATAAGTATTCTCTTGAGCTTGCAGTGAACAATACTTCCAACGAACTACTTTAATTTGTTTGAAAGTAATTTATTGCAATATAATCAATATGATTATTTTTTGAAAACTTTCATCCAAACAGAATTATTCATTATATAATAGAATGTTGCATTTTGTAATTGTAATTTTAAATAATATGCATGAGCTGATAACATCAATTCTCAAATATGTTATTGGAGTCAGTCAACCATTCCTGCCTTTGAAGCCCACCATTAATTGATTCGAGCTATGCTGAGTTTGGTTTGCCCCACTCCTCCACCCGTCAAGCTAATTCTTGTCAATTCTTTTCATACAATTATAGCTTCTATAGTCACACTTTCTCTTAAAAGGCCTTCCTCTGCTTCCAAATTGGAATTTAATTTTAATGTTTGTTGATCAATTTTAGTTTGATGCCTTTAAAACATTAAACTGTGATCTTGTTTCTGATAAACATATTTTTTTTAAAGAACATAAACAGGATAAATGACTTTGACTTTGAATGATGAGAATCACAAAGAAAGAAAGAGCCTCTTCTGAAATTTACACTGACTGAACTATTTTGTTTCATTTATAAACACATAAGTGTTATAAAAATTCAGATAAAAATCTATCTGACAACAAAGAGTAACTAAGCATCCAATTTTGCCAATGTGCATTTAATTTTTTTTTTTAAAAATCATATGCAAGTAATTGGGCTTTAAATTATTAAACAAGTCCCCGATGATGGTATTTTCAAAGTTATTTCCCCATTATGATGTCACAATGAGCATCCACTAAATTTTACGAACATAAAAATTAAACATCTAATATCTATATATACTGTTCCCAATTCATTTTTTGAATTAAGGACAATACTTCCTTTTCTTTAAATTTAATAAATTTTTGTTCAAATCGACATAAAACTAATTTCCTAAAAAAAATCCTACAGAGTTCATTACATTTACTTAATTTCTCCCATAAATCATCCAAAAGGAAATGGTAGTACAGTTAGAAAAGTGCAAAACCTCTTCATTACATTAAGGTCCATATATTGAAAATGATACAGATATTTGACAGATACTTAAATTTACATGCCTCTTTAAACATGAAGTGAACCAAATTTTATTAAATTTTCCGAAAAGTCACAGTGACAGAATGTTAGTTTCTATGTATCTTGTGGAATTATTGCTTGAATTCAAACAATTTCTTCAGAAAGTCTACTTAACTCTAAATTCAAATTCAAAATCAGGACAAATTTTAAGTACCTCAACTGACTTCTCATTGGCTTCCAAAAATTAGGGCAATTATTAGTTACTAAAGTATGTATACCTGATATTTGTCCATTGAGCTTTCAAACAAAAAAGTATACAACTATATATACATGTAATCAAGCTTCCATCGCTCTTTACCATTTCTAAAACTGATACTTACTAAGTACACTGCTTGTCAACATAAAAATCCCTACCACATGAAGTAATGTCTTCGCCATGCATAGTATACAAAGTCCTACCCTTCTCTCCTACAGCTAGTAAAGGACTGAACACATTACAATAATATTCATCGCTTCATCAATTATGTTTACACAGAGAAAAAAAAAACCTGCCTCCATTTTCACTGAAGCCTTTGCAATAGGAAAAGATAAAAGCGATACGGTCTACAGATCAAACTCTCAGACTACTATGAGAGAGAGAGAGATCAAATGTTTTATGCAACAAAAATGGCAAATTAGCTTCTAATTTGTCAGGGATTACTGCCTTACATTCAGTCATATTTAGTCATACATCAAAGAGATCATAACCTTCTATTTTGGAGTTTAATCCTCCATGCACCCTGAGCACCAGCCACCTGACCCTTCAGAATCAGATAACCAGATTTCCTCAGAATCCCATGATGGGTTTATCTAACCATCTTGATACTGAAATATATCACTCCATTTTTCTTTCCTTTTCTATTTTTATGGAACTTTTCAGTACAGAAATCAACAATTTAAATGTCATCAATGCTTATTTATCAATTAAGACTAACACTACTGGCATTTTTGTATTGAAATTTATTTATTTGCATGTAATTTTTGGAAAGGGGGGGGGGGGGCAATTCAACATTCCAAGTTTACATCCATAATTTGATTTTAAGAAGTTTATGTATAAGCATTCATAACTTTCTTTATTCATAACTTTTTCCAGAAATATTTGAGCTAAACACCCTGTGATCCTCTTTAAATCAATTATCTGTTGTTCTAAATTCTGTGTTCTTTTCCACTGTGGGTGAATGACAATTATCAATTATATTGACCAATTAAATTGCAGCATCTGTTATCTATAATTCTCCCTTCACAATTAGTTGCTGTCTGTCATAAATAAAGGTTAATTACAATAACTTAACTATTAAAATGACACTTTTTTTTGAAGTTCTAAGAATTTTTTTGAAATGAAGGAGTGGATAGCTCTTCAGGTATGTTATGACTAATGAGGAACCACTAGTGTGGGTTTAAAAGTTTGAAGACTTCCAGATACACAGCCATTAAATCACCTCTTTTCTGATCATATCTTTGTCAAATCACAGATTCATCCCCGGTGATAAAATTTCGACAAATTCCCTTTTTCTGATTCACTGATACCCCTTTTCAAAATTAAAACCTTAAAAACTTATCAATTCAATTTTTCACAAGTCATCCAGCAATTTTCAAACACTTAAACCCAATTACTAAATCATAAAACTGCAGTTTCACAGCTGACTTTCCATTTCAGAAACTCAGTTAAGAGCATGGAAATAAAAGCAATTAATTTTGAAAATAGGTATCATTTTCCACACATGAATTCCTTTTTGAAATGATAATTAATTTCCTTTCAAACATATTTTTTCAATCCTTTTGTGTCAGTAGGCTCCTTTCATGTATTTCATGAATTTTACAATTTTTGTTTTCAAAATTAAAGATAAAAATTACATCACACATTATATTTACAAAGCTACTGTCTTATTCAAAATCCCTTTTCTTAAAGAATATATAAAAAGTAAGAGAAATTTCAGCTATCTCTATAATTTGTGACATAATAACAACTTTAATTTGTTTTTCAAGTGTTGCAAACAAAATCTGTTTGTGACATACAGCGAGACAGTCAGCTCCCCATGGATAACAAATATTGATGCATGTAGTCGACAGCCATGAAAAAAAATAAATCTCAAATCTTACTGAGATTCTTAATGAGAAGTGGAATCAAAACAGATGAATACAAAAAATGGAGGCAAAGGAGTGAGCATGGTGAGAGAGCTCAATTTAGACTGCCCAATACCACTCAGTGTACATGTACTTACTGACTATATATAAAATCTATAAATGTTTTAAATATGAAAGAATTTACATCTGAATGTTAAGGAGTGCTTTGTCAATGAACTATGGTTTCAAAACATTTGAAATGGATTAGATCTCTGTACGTCTTTACATCTCTGAAATTAGATTCATAGAATACTAGTTGTATTTAATTACACTGATACACAGATTCCTACATGAATCTTTAATTTCCATGTACTGTATCCACAGTGATATAAATTGCCTGTAAATACGAACAAGTGCATATTCAAAACTGCTTCCACTTGTTTAAACTATCCAAAATCTAATAGCAAAATTTCATGTTTTATAACTGAATTATTTTAAATCCTAAGAGATACTTCAGCATAATAAAAGAAACCATCTTCTCTTTGTAATCACAAGTAACTGATACAAGTACATGTAATTACAAGTACATGTAACTGATGCAAGTGCAAAGTAATAACCAAGTGAAACCTCTGACCTCTTCATCAACACCATTGTGGGTTTCCTCTCAAACATTTTACTTTTCTGCATTTCAGAAATAAACACATATAACTATATGTGCAGTAATTACCTGAGTAGTTAAACACACTGACAGCCTTTAACCCCATCAGGTCGGGCAGCTGGTCAACAATGACCTTTCTATCCGTCCCATTGTGCTTGTTGACCCTTTCTATGGACCGTCTCTGCCAGTCTGTCCAATAGATGTAATCCCCTGGAAGATAAATTAAAATCATTGAAGATTTACAACACAGTCATTGACCTTTTTCAAGATGATGAACTTCTTTTTCATCCTGTATTAACACCAAATATTTAAAACTTCAATTACAACTCCAACTTTAAGAATAGAAAAATCTTCAAAGTGATATAGAAAATAGGTATAAAAGTGCCCGATTGTAACATTATTATTACCTTTTCAATCCAACTATTAAGGTAAAACATGATCAGAGCAATGTCAGATCCAATTAGTCAAGAAATGAAAGCTGAACAAAGAGGGATAACTCTATCACTGACATTGGACTGTATATGACAAACATCTGACTGCTCACAAATCAATTTTTGTTTGTTTGTTTGTTGTTGTTTTTTTTTTTTTTGTACCTAGCAAACTGAATCCAAACAAATGAGGGATATTCTGCTGTTCATCCACAAGGACTTTTCGGTTGGTTCCGTCAACATCAGAAACCTCTATCTTGTCGTGTTTAGCATCCCCCCAGTACAATTTCTTTGGGCGTGCATTGATGTCAATAGCCAGTCCATTCGGCCAGCCCAGGGAGGAGTTGATTAAGAGCTTTCGGCTGCTTCCATCTAAGTTGGCTACTTCTATTTTAGGTATCTTTCCCCAATCACTCCAATACATCACCCTATAATATAAAACAATGCTACATTTCTCTTGACAGTTTAGAGATTAATAACAAGTCTTAATTTTTCATGACATTTTGCATCTCTATGACATTATCAATGAGTTTCTTTATTTATTTGCCAATTCTATCACTGTGAATATTTGAAACATATTTTCAAACTTAAATGATGAAAAATTCTCAGATTTTTTTTTATTGTTTCATACAAACCCAGCTACAGGATCTAAGGCTATTGCTCTTGGTTCCTCCAGGTCATCAGATATCAAAACTCTCCGGGATGTTCCATTCAGTCTGGATACTTCAATCCGGTCAGTTCCAGTGTCAGTCCAATACAAATTCCGGGCAATCCAGTCTACAGCTATTCCATCTGGATGATCCACCCCAGTCCGAACCACCACTTCCTCCCCTATAAGTAAATTACACATCTTAGTAACTTTTAAAAAATTCTCAATACTTTCTATTTCCATCATGGAAGAGTTATAGTTCTTTGTGCACTCTTTTGTGAAAAAGTTGGAAAATGTACATATCTCACAGGATTTCTGGGACAATCGTAACACATGTAAACAATATGTTGAATGTCGATGAAAAAACACCTAACAAACATGTAAATGAGACACTACCTTACAAGCTTCAGAAGTAGAAACGATGAAGATATCAATTTATATCTATTATAGGAAGTAATTGACAAGTGTTGACGGTCCAACTCCAAATACAATACGTACATGCCTTGGAAATGTCGTAATTTTTATCAATGGATGACAACTTCAGGGCTTTTGATTTTGCACATATGTTTATTAATTCTTCTATTCTTTAATGGGAATGAAAAATACATTTAACATTCAAAATCGCATAAAGGTCGGCATGTTTTGTATTCTCAGGTACGTTATGGTTGTCCCATCAGATGACCAAAGGCCCGTCTAATTTGAAGAGTCCAGTAATGGAAATCGAAAGTATTACACTGCACTACCAAGTTTATTTATTTATGCTTCTTGTAGCATATTTAAATAAATCAATCAATCTATTTATGTATTTTTCCCACAATGACATGTATACTGTACATGTATAATGGGACTTCAGGAGAAGAAACTTTTCGGGGGAAAAAAACAGAGGCACACATCACTCAAAAACCTTATGACTAACATATGATAATTGACAAAAAAAAAACACAAAACAGCAAAGACCATGTGAAAAGCTTTATCTTTTATACTCTTCTCCATTTGCAGTTTTCTGATAAATACATAGGAATCTTTGATCTTGAAAGGGTTTTTGGAGTTCTCATACAAATTGTCATATCTAAGAAATGTTCAACTTAAGCTTGCTTCATGACCACTGATAAAAACGGGAAGAAAAAATGTTTTTGTATTCATGATGTACTTAGACAACAACCCTCAGAGGTGTTTAAACAAGATATTGAATCACTGATATATATTTTTGCTTTGAAATTCATTTAGTACACCATGCATTTAAAAGTACATTTGTACTTTTCTTTTCTCGAACATGACCTCAGGACAACTTCCCTATTTTTGTCACAAAATCCATTCATTTGCATTTCTGGAATTCCTATAATTTCCATAAGATCTTCCTTTCAATAGCACTCTATATTGAAGTTTTCAAAATATATTATTAGACAGCAGACTAGGCACTGAGAACAGTCAAAAAAAAATTTAAAATGTTGAACATTTAACACACCAATGTCATATCAGCAAACCATTGCCTAATGATGAAATTTTCTTTATTTCTGGACACCCCACTCCCCAACAATTAACATCTTTTCTCATATATATCATTTTGCAATTTTAAAAAAGGAAAAAAAATGTTCAATTTAGGGGGGGGGGATCCTAAACTGGAGACTTTTAGAAGTCAATTCACCTGTCCCATCCAAGTAAGCCCTTTTGATGGCTCTCACTTCATCGTCTGTCCAGTAAACCTGGCTTTCCACAGGGTCATAGTCAATTGCAATGGCATGTTTGATTTCATTCAGGGGCAACACAACATCTGTGTGGTCAGGCATGTCCAATGAAATTTTGCGGATATCTCTACGTCTAGCCAGCAGCAACAGTTGTTCCACGCCTACAGATTAAAGTGTTCATGTCTATTTTAGATGTAGTATGTAATTTTTCATAAACAGTTATCTTTATTAACTTAGCATAGTTTAGGGAGTCCTGCCTCCCAGAGGCTGGGTGACAATTCATGATGTGACCTGCTAAATGGTTTATGTCATATCAGTGTATCCTAAAAATCATATTTTATTACTGTGAGGTTCAAAAAGAAAGACAACAGGAAGTTTTTTAAATGACATCTTCTGCATAAAATTGGTGTCATTTAAGCTTTTTTTCTTTAATGAGGGAAATTTGTATATTAAGGGTACTGCATAAGCTTAATGAGTCATTTATTTTCTAAATTTAATTTGTACAAATTTGCTGGAGAAGAAAAATATTTATAGGACTTTGTCATACCTTTAGCACAAGTTTTACTGTCTAGAAGTCTTACACCTGTGGGACAGGCACAGGTGTAATAGGGTTCCTTGGTAGAAATCAGACACAGGTGAGAACAGCCACCATTATTAACTGTACAGGGATGCTGCCCAGGTCCTACAAACACACATATCAAATTTGGTATAAAGTATACCTTCAATGAATTTCACACAAATGAGTTAGTTTTCAAAATTAATGTGTTTTTTGATCCAACAGATTACTTTATTGTCTGCAACTTAATAGCAAGGGAAGGAAAATTTTTAAGAATAAAATTAATAATAAAATATTTCTCCTGAATCCTATACTTCATTCTATATTACCCAATTAAAAGAAAAATAATATGAGACTAAACTAAACACTATTTATTTATGTACATAACATTCTCAACTCACTCTTGGGCTGTCTGTTGGCACTGTATACATGGATATCCATAGGGGAGTATATGTTCTCCATCACTGACCGAATGTTGCTACCCGTTATTTTATCACAAGTAAAAATGGAACGCTCCTGCCAGTCAGTCCAATACAGGGTCCTGCCACTCAGCGTTAACGCAAAAGGGTGAGACAGGATCTTCCCCCCTGCTACTATTTCTCTACGATTCCTTCCATCATAATCACAGCTAGCAATGTATCGAACCTTTGCATCAGCCCAGTAGATTTTTTTGTCAGCATAATCAATAGTTAGACCGTTGGGCCAGTGGATGTTTTCTTTTATGATTATTGAGCGTGTGGTTCGATCTCCGTTCATTCCTGCCCGCTCAATCTTTGGAACTTCACCCCAGTCTGTCCAGAACATCCATCTATAAAAAATTAAATATGGCTGATTAATGAATTTTTTATCTATGTTTACATATAAACTGGACCTTCCATCAAATTTAAATAAATAACATACAATTTATTTTTCCATTGCAGAATATACTAAGGAGAGTACAGAGTAGTGTTTATACATGGTAGACAGAGTGCAAGAGACAGGTGCCATAAATTACATGTCCTTTTTTGAAAAATGGCCTCGTTAAAGAATTCACTTTTCAAAACAAGAAATCATTCAAATGGTCTTGTGGGGATTGGAAATTTGTCCCTCCTAAATATACTTCAGACCTGTTCTTTGATTATGAAAATTTTTATTTTGATCATTTTGACATGAAAGACATGTTTTCATTGTTTACTCTTATATATGTAAATGAATAATAAAAAGAATACAAATAGTATGTCAGAATGTACACCGTTAACCGTTAAACAAATTTGTACAATTTGCCATTATCATCTAAACATTGATGTAAAACACATTCATAATCAGGTCATAACAGTAAATCGACACAATATGTTCAGAATTACACAGATCATCAGGTAATTTATAATTGGTAAGGTGTTTATGGGTGTCTTCAGGCAGTGAAATCATGTCCTTGAAACACTTTAGGGTCACACAGTCAAATGTGACATCATCAGAATGATTATTTGCCTGTCATTAAATGACCATAAAATCCACGATAGCCCCTGAAGTAGGGAACCCTGCCCACCTACTTAGTGCAGGTAGATAACTATACCTGTCAGACCGGCCGTTATGGACATTTATAAATTGTGTGTCAAAGTTTATTATTTAAACCTCCGATCCCCCTTTGCCATGATTGCAATGATTTTTGTTTCATTCTGATCTCCATGAAAAAAGTAGTGTTAACATCCGTAATCAATTTGCACAAATGCCACTGACATGCATCTAAAAATTTAATTCATAATTTGACAAACAGGAAATTGAGTTCTTTCTTGCCTTAAACTTTGGAATCTTTATTTAAAAGTCATAAACAAACATAACAGCCCTGAATGACAGGCGACATAACTTCTGAATGGCCAAACAAACAACAGGTATTATGACACCTTCATTCAAATGCAAAAGTAAATGTCCTTAGTGATTGACTGGCAGTTTGTGCAGGAGACCATATATATATATTTATATTAAATGTACAAGCACGATTAGAAATGACATTTAGTCTTCAATTGGAAGGTCTTCCCAACGTCCGTTAAATTGTATATATGGCAGTGAAAAATGATGCGTAAGAGCCCTGCTCCTCATAGAAGGGTGCACTGCACTTATGTTTTGACACTTGTCATTAAAAAAAATCCTTCTTCTGGCAGCCCTTCTTGTGTCATTGCCACCAGCAATCATCAATTTTGGAGGAAAACCTACAACTTCACTGGCTAACCAACAACTTCCCAGACTGCAATCTGGATTCTCTCTTTGTGTACAGGCACTCAGGTGTATGTAGAATCAACCTATTTACTCATTTTCAATTGACAGTTTGGTACACAATCTGACACAAATGAGATCACTACACAATATACAAATGTAGGAAATTAGCCTAATTCTGTTCAGGGGTTGAAAACCACTCGCATTAGCATGAAAATCTTCTTCGTCATTATCACATTTATATGTGTCATTCATTCATCCCTAAAATGCCACATAATTTTTTTGCCCTATAAAGTTGGGGGAAAAAATTCTCTTATAGCTTTTGTGGTGCAAGAATATGTTGAATTTTCAAAGGCAATTAAATTAACTGACCCATTCCATTATGATTTCCCCTTCCTCTCAAAAGGAGAACCAGGACTAAAGCTATTTAAACTCGAGTTTTACTCCTTAATTTGATTTCAGAAGAAACATTCTTTAGTTTGCCATGTTCAACTCTTCATCTACAGCTGTACATCAAAAGTGAAGAAAACTTACAATTCTACCATCACTTACAATGAAAAAAGTATCTTTAACTAAAAAAAAGTTCTAATCATTTTTTAAGAAGAAATGAAAAATAGCGAGCTTAGTGTTTATTAGCTTTGTAATCATATCTTCCTGCTATATCTACCAAATACATATATTTTACTCTAAGTACTCTCATTGTTTGAAAAATAAGTTGTTATACATCATATATGAATCAAAATTATACAGGACAAAATAAAAGAAAACAAAACAAAAAAACAAACAAATGGCCCCAAAATTTTGGCACACAACTGTACTTCCTCTAGAATTAAATGAATCGAATAACCTAGGTACCTAGCACTTCAGAGTACAATTAGTGTCAAAGGAATGGCTTGTTCAAAAGTCAATTGCAGTCACCTCTTTTTTTTTATTCATTCAGGATGTCTTGTGTCCCACTTTTAATTAACTGCCCCTAATCATCTGGGGGCCTTTGATGTTGACAGAACGACCTCCTTTAAACCAAGAAATCCCACATTTCAGCTATGTGAACTATTTCTCCAATAATGACCCTTCTCTAAACTGACAAAAATCATTATTCATGCACACATTGTTGGAGACTGAAATATATGGCATGCTGTAAATTTCACAGATAACATTCCTGTCAGAAAAATGTTCATTTTTTAGAACTCTCAGTAATAGAGAATATGCAGGTGTTTTGACAATTTTGAATAGGTGTTTTAATGGGAAATGTTGTCTTTTTTAGTACATTTAATATATTTACATGTTCTAATATAAACCTATGTAATTCCAATTTTCTGCATATCCACTGAAAATTGATGTAGACAAATATTCCATTCATGAGTAAACCTTAAGTCAACAAAGTAAAATTTACTCAGAAAACTTCTAGCACTGATGAACATGATAAAAACCTCTCTTCCCAGGGTAAAAACAAAGAACCTTTTCTCCCAAGTCAGTTTAACCTTTGGCTTCATTGCTCTGAATAGAGCTTGCAGTGGGCAATCTTTGGGAATAAGGGGGAAAAACTACCTTCCCTTATCACTCTAACCTTTTAAGCAAGGTCTGCATTTTTTCAATTTATTATCCTATTCATTTATAAATTTTATTTTGTAATGATGTCTATAGAGAAAATGTGTGCACAACCCTCTATATCTTTAACAAGTAACAATGTCACTGTCACTAGCCATGCTATTGTCATGCAATTTTCTTTTCTAAACATCCTCCTCCCCCCATCCCCTTGCCTCTGGAAAAGTATCCAGCAGCAGTGAATCAAAGTGTGACAATATTTATATCTTACCCAGAGAGAGGATCCAAAGCAATGGCGCGAGGCTGATCCAGTTCTTCCCAGAACAGAACACTTCGATAACTTCCATTTAAATTGCTGACTTCGATACGATTGGTTTCCGAGTCTGCCCAGTACAATTTTTCCGCGATCCAGTCGCAGGCAAGGCCATCTGGTGACACCAAACCTGACACTATGACATCCTCGCTGAATTTTGGCCGGTCGATCTGTGTCCTTTTGATTCTGGCCAGACTTACGTCTGTCCAGAAGACTGATTTATCTTTGAAGCAGAAGTCTAAGGCGGCCGCATCTTCCAGACCACTCTGGACAATAGTGGAATTGGCGCTGTATGCAGCATCAATAAGTTGTACATCGGCACGGTTTGCAAGTAATAATAATGGTTTAGCTGAAAGACAAAAAGAAAAAGAGATGGTATTAAGATTCAATGAAAAATATGCTACATGGAACCTTGAATCATAACTAAAACACCACATCCACCTTTCTCTTAATGTTTAATACAAAGCAAAAAACACCAAAGACCACAATACATGTAATACTTGAGATTTACTGCATGTGTACCAGCAATTTAGAGTTAAATGTTTGTTGTGTTTTTTTTAACATAACAAAATAGTTACATACATTAGTTTAATTACTGAAGTTGCTGTCAACTTGCTTATCAAATTAAAATCATAAAATTTAAAAAAAAAAATTCTTATCTCTCATCACAAAATATTTACATAAACCAGATTTCTTCCAAACAAACATAAATCTGAAGAGATGATACTGTGCATCTTGTACAATTGTAAACTACTAACAATTACACAATCTTACTCCTAGGAAAGACTTTTTTTCTGCATTTTTATCACGTTTCTAAGATAAAAACTATTTCAGACATTCATCATGTCAAATATCCTACTACCCTGGTGGTAGATGAATGGGATTTAATTTTTTGGACCAAGTACAAAATGATTCTTGGTTACGTAACTTTATGCATGGCGTCTCACATTTTAATTCTAACGAGATGTTGAACCTTCCCTTCCACACATTTGAAAACTTTTTTTCTCTCAAACATATTACATATAAAAAAAAAACTCCTGTACCTTACAATTTTACTTCATCAGTAAAACACAGAAGAAACATTTGTTCATTTTATTCTTTGTATATTTTTTTTCTCTCCTTAAACTTGTTCAAGATTTCCCATTGAAGCATTTCATTTTTTCTTAGCAATATATCACAGCTAAAAACAAAACTATTTTTAGGAATGTTTCTAATAAATTGGATTACTCTAATCAATGAGTGATCACTTTCAGTTGAGTTTTTGCTTCTTCCCCTGCTCATGCTTTTTGTAACACTGACAAGTCTTACGTAACAGCTATCAGAATCAATTTAGTAAGACGGGGCCCCCTCCCCTTGGAAAACATGCTGCAATTATTATCAAACCTGCAGCATCTCAAGTAAGGGATTAGGTCTGCCATAAAGAATTCTTGTTTGGTCACCCTTTGATGAGTGTTTTGACCCATGGGTTTGCAAATAGAGATTTTTGGGTCCATAATAAAATGAACAGACAAACAATTAACTACTGCAAAACTGAAGTTAAAATATATACCCAAAAAAATTGGTTCATACACACATGATGTACATTATATGTGTCATACCATCCTTACATGTACATTAAGCATCATGTGACACAAGTAAATATATATTCAATATGTACCATAAACCAACAAAGAATTTCTACACATGTAGAATACAGTCAGCAAGAATTATGCTCTGTAATGCAAACCTATCTAAAACTTCATTTAACTAATAAAATAAGGACCCAAAATGTCCCAAATTAAGAATTATCTATTCTAAAATCATGAAATATGTAATTAAATGAAAAAAAAATTCAGATAGAAAAAAGATCCACAGAAAATAGTGAACAAACAAATCAATCATTCTCTGTTCTGATTTAATAACAAGGCATTAGGTGGAATTCATGCACAAAATTGGCTCTAACTTCTTTTTGTCAGTGTAAAACTCTTAAAGTTAAATTGCTCAATATGGATAAATCCACAGATTCTAAAAGTTTTATTATGTCATGACAGTCCCTGACACTAAGTTGTGGCAGGACTCAAATACTGTAGGCCTTTTGTACAGTGCTGCTAATCTGATTTGTGTCAAAACAGCTTTCAAAATCAATAAAGAGTTTTTCTTCATTTGTTTGTCCTTATTTGTATATAAACACTCCGTAATACATACAATCTTTCTGAATTTTACTACATTGTTTCACCTGTACTTCATTTAACAATGGTTAAAATTATTGAAACTGATGCTACACCTTAAACTTTCATAAATATATTACCGTATTCTCCCTATTAAGTGTCCCTACCCTAGTTATTAAGCGCCCCCTGGAGTATTTTCTGATTGTCTGAGAATAAGCCCCCTCCCCCAATCCATCAAATTTACATCCAAAACTGAATGAAAATTGGAATATGTTTGATGAAATTGACCAGGTCATTGATCTGTGTAAGTGGAGGAAGATTGAATGACAATTAATTTTACCCAAAAAACTTTTGATAGATAGGATTAGGGCATAAACTTGAATTAACTTTGATACAATTAGTTCATTTAATTGCAATGTTTAGTGATGGGACATTGGTTAATTTTCATAATCGATCAATGTTTGGAATTGGTTACTGCTTTCTATGTGATTTTACCGATTATAATTGGATGTCATAGTTTTGTATATAAAAAGCAGACTATTACAAGTATTTCTTATTATTTCTTTAACATGAATATATTAAAATATAATATAATTTATTGTTTCAGTTGTTGTTTTTGCTCACTTTTACACTTTCTATATAATATGCACATTCTGGTTCTTGATCACCTCTGCTTTGTGCTAGTTGGCTTTGTAGCACATAAGTATGGTGAATAGTGTGTTGCATGTCCAAATGAACCATTAACCAGGCACTGTTAGCATTAAAATAACCTGGAGGTTGCAACTGTATCAGGTGCAGATGACATTTTCTTTCATTACAAAGAAATAAATTTTAAACAGGGAACAGATAATTCCGGAATGCATTTACAAGAAGAATGTTTCCGATGATCAATTATGAAAAATGATAATCCATCACTGGAATCGGCAGCATTTTTCATCAACAACTGATGTTCTCTGATTATAGGTACAACACTAATGTCTACCAAATAACCCCCCCTTTTGCAATTTTCTAAGCACCCAGGGTGCATAATAGGGTGAATATGGTATACTTTAAACTTACTATATAGATCTACAATGCAAGTACCTACTGTCCTAAAATACAATTTTTGAAGTGAACTTAAACCTCTGACCCAATCACCTAATCCCTAGATTTTGGTGTGTTTTGAAGCAGCAACAGTCCTCATACTAATGCCAGTGTTAATTCAGATAATTTTAATCAACTTTTTTACTCTCATACTACAAAACTTAGGTTTGAGCTGGTGAGTTCACAAAATCTTCGTTGTAGCTAAATGATTATTAAATTTTGCAGTGGTTAATTGTTTGTCTATTCATTTTATTATGGACCCAAAAATCTCTATATGCAAATCCATGGGTCAAAACACTCATCAAAGGATGACCAAGCAGGAATTCTTTATGACAGACCTACTCCCTTACTTGAGATGCTGCAGGTTTGTGGTTATCAGGTCACTTTCAGTGCTTGTCTATGCAATATTTTTTAAGTACCTTTATTGGCTTTTAAGCATCTCAGTGACCTTATATCCTTGACCTTTAAAAAGAAACTTTAAACCCTTTTGGTGTGTTAAAGGAAAATTTAATGACTATTTCATTTCACATCATAAAGTGACCATTGCAGCATTAAACAATTCAAACTAAGAAATGATATAAAACATACTTTTTTCATATTCTTTATGATTGTATCTGTTTTTAAAAGATCAAGATCTAGTGAATGAAAGGTGCCCACAGATTTCTCAAATTTGAGATACACATTCTTTTAATGATCCTTTACGAATGTAGCTTGGTAAAATAAGGTGTATTCGGACATAATTTTGGGGTAAACTTATTGGAAAAACATATTATAACCTTCACATTTTCAATGAAAAATGAAGAAGGTCTGGTATAAATATGGGAGTTTTTTCCATCTCAGACAAAGGAAAAGTATCAATATACTGCCTACAGTCTCTCAGAAAATGGTTTTTTGTATCTTCTTGATTCTACTTTAAAATGATATTAAATGGAATAAGGGTTTCGGTTTTACATTTGACATGATTTCAAATTGAATTCAATGAAAGTGCTTTATTTTCTACATAATTCTATTGAAGCCGTAAAGTACAGGAAAAATTAAGTTTAAATCAGTTATGATGTCATAATGAATCTAGCACCAAGAAGAAAATCTAAACTCATTTACTAGATCTTGACCTTAAAGACTAAAGAATTTGCACTAACATGTACGTAAAGAACTCTGTGTAAACTAATTGCAACTTACTTGATATTTTGTTAAACTTGAATATATATGTATATATGTTTCATCTTTAAATCTATTATTGTGTTACCGTCAGAAACAAAATATAGCCTTTTTAAGAATGGAAGTATGTTAAAATGATTGACAGGCATATTTTTCTTCATTTGTAAAAATGTATTTAAAACAATATTAGTGTTCAAAGCTGTGGTCTAAAACACTAAACAATTATTAACCTTTGTCAGTACAATCAAAGTTCTGTCAAATACATTTATACTGAATAAATAGTGTAATGCTTTGCATGTAAATCTTTTCTATAAACAGGATATATGTGATTAACATATTCGCTATATCACCTGCTTCATACCTCAAATTACCAAATTTTACCTCAATACATATAAGATCACATTTTTACTTTTTTCTAACAACCCTCTCTATGTTTTGCTTATATTCACGTTTAACAGAGTAAATTCGAGTTGCTCCAATTACTCTGGGGGCTTATTCACCTGATCAAGGTGTGTAATGTTAATGGACATAATTTCACTGTTTTAATGCCCACAAAACAAGTAGATTCATGGTGTCTGACATTTTAAACAAGAATATGGGTCATATTCTCTCACAATAACTTCTTTCAACATGGCGGACCATTATCATCAAATAAAAAACATGCTTTATATTTTTTCGCATTATAAGAATTACACGTGATTCGATCAAAATATCTGCAAAACAATGTTTAAAAAAGTGTTAAGTCACATTTTTTGTTTAAAATGAATTCAATATATAGTTTGTCACATGTTTACACTGTAATAAAACCATCAAGAAATCTAGGTCATGCAATAGACTCACCTGAACTTGTGAAAATTACTCCAAGAAAGACTAATATAAATAACATTTTCTGAATCCCTATCGCCAGACCAAAGTCTGACAGCCCAGAGATGATTTGAAGCAGACATCAATAAGCTTTAAATGAGGTACCAGACTTTCTCGTTTTTGGTAGCCCTTACATATTTCTCGTTCAATCAACCCGGCCATTACAAAAAAGTTGTGGAACTATTTTCATCGCAGTATTAATGCGCTTGACAGGTGCCCGTGATTCGGCCAAGATTAATTTGTTTACATTTTCCGAAGAAAATGAATTTTTGAGTTAAATTTAGGTATCGAAATAAAAAAGAAACTGACGAGATATTGGTGTTAATATTCTTACATATTTTTATTATCAAGGAGAAATTAAAAAGTTTTGAAGACAATTCGAGTGTTTAATTTTTCAGGCGCAATTACCTTTTGACCTTTATGGCATGAAATTTAGGCATCTGTCAAAAAAAAAAAAAAAAAAAAATAGAGGTTATACAAATTTATCTGGGATAAAATTTTTAGTTTTTGTTACTATGTTAAATTGATACCATTAACCCCCCCCCCTCATTTTTTTTTTTTTTTTTTTACTTTTTTAAACAATTTTCATATTTTTTCTCCGAGGAAAATTACATTACATGCACTTCAGTTGACATTATACCGTCCAAATACACTTTTTATCTTGTTGGTTGAACAAGAAATTCGTATACACGCATGTTGATTATGAGTATTTTTTTTTTTAAACATTGCTTTTAGTATCTGTATCATGTCGTACATTTTGAATTTACTAGGGAGAGGTAAATGCAAAATTTACAACATGATAAAATGTTGTAAGTTTTGCATTTACCTCCCCCTAGTAAATTCAAAATTTACAACATGATATCTGACTGTAGAGCAGATATCACAAAAGACGGTTACCCGAATTAGCTCAGGCCTTTTTGGGGGGAATTCTGAGATTTCCTCTGTAGATGTTACAGAAGAAAATACATGTAACGTCATGTACATGTTTATGTGAAGCGCTCAGCAACACTGAACGGATTTTTTTTTCTTTTGGTGGGAGTTTTGGTGGTTGCATTCTCAGAGAATATTCTTATATTTTAGAACATCTGGAAACAAGACTACATCACTGATCGGATTAACATTGACAGATACGTGTAGAAAACGGAATTTCAATTGGGGGGTGGGGTGTGCAACTGATATTAAGAAATTTCTTGACAAGTAAACCACGAAAAAAAGCTCAATCAGACTTTGACGGGACACATTATTATTTCAAAACATAATTTCGTATATGTTTAAAATACATTTACACATGTTTCTTTAGAGACAGCATATTCTGAACAATCTCTTACTTCACACGAGTAAAATAAAATACTGTTTCGAAAAAGATGGATGTGAACGGTATATGGGAATTAATAAAATATTTCTTGAATATTCCTATTCAATAAATAAAAATACTGGTTTAATGAAAGTCTGTTTTAATCGGAAATCAGGACATTATTTATGTTACTTTCATTATAAGAATTTATGTAAAATCTTTTGGCATCTTTCTAGCTGGTTTTTTAAAATTCTTAGAAGAATTAAATAGGATCAGATAAACGTCAGTACTATTTTATTATTAATGGACATTATGATTACATAAACTTATGTTAAATAAGAGAACAAAAATATACTAAATAACATGTTTAAAAAAATCATTTCTGGTTCAAATCTGTATACTTGATTATACTAGGTTTGCAAGAGTTATTGTCCTTTATACAAAAACCTATATAAAGAAAACAAATTTTAAAGGCGTCAAACAAATTGAAAAGGCGTAATAACGCAAAAATATGGTGTCCCTATAGGTCCATTTGCAAAAGCGTAACAGCGCGTTGTCCACAACACACCGTCGCGCTAACACACAACATGTCGTCACGCTAACACAACGTAAAACACACAACACACCGTCACGCTGACGCAACGTAAAGTTGCGTTAGCGTGACGGCGTGTTGTGTGTTAGCGCGACGGCCTGTTGTTTAAAGTTGCCTTACCATGACGGTGTGTGACATGGTGTTGTGAACAACGCGCTAGCGCGTTGTCACTTTACGCTAGCGCGTTGTTACTAACGCGCTAATTCACTTTTGCAAATGGCCCTATCGGGACACCGTAAAAAAGTATGATAACGCAAAGTGAAAAGGTGCAAAAACGCAAAAAACAAGCGTAAAAGTAAAAAAAAAGGAAAGTAAAATACGCCTTTCAAAAAAGGTGTTTTATAAAGCGAAAAAAGGCGTAATAACTCCCAAAAGGCGTATTAATTAACGCTTTTGAAAAGGCGTTATTATGCCTTTCAAACAAAGTTTTATCATACACCTATGCAAAAGGCGTAACATTGCCCTACTCCTTTCTAAGAAGGGCGTTTGTACGCTTTCAAAGAGATGTTATTGGCCTATAGTTCAGAAAGGCGTTTACGCCTTTCAAAAATGAGTCATTACGCTTATGAAAAATGCATCATTACGCCTTCTAAAAGGAGCCTTTCAAAAATGCGTTATTATACCTTTTCAAAAGGCGAAGACCGTCACGGTAGCTCAGTCGGTAGAGCGCTCGCTCCGAGATCGAAAGGTCGTGTGTTGGAATCTCGACCGCGATTGACTTAAGTCGATAAAAAAATAAGTAGCAACTGTTCATTCGCCAAGCGCTCGGCACTTTGAAGTGAAAGTTACGGGTCCTTCGGACGAGACCTTAAAAACCGAGGCCCCGTGTCACGGTAGGATTTGGCACGATAAAGAACCCTCACTGCTGAATGGCCCTGAGTGCCGGGTAAAGGTCTAAATTTGAAGCCCTTCACAGCCCTTCCGGTATGTGGTGACGTCTCTATATGAATGAAAAATTCACGAACGGGACGTTAAACAATATTCAATCAATCAATCAAAAGGCGTAGTAATGTAATGTAACGGCGTTATAACGCCTTATCAAAAAGTGTTTCATTAAAAAAGCCTTAATAAATAATGCTCATCAAGAGGATTTTTGCTAATGACTCATAGCTTATTATCATCATATATACAGATTTCATGTCAAGGTTTACATTAGATTTTCAAAAGAATATGAACTTTCAATCTATGACCAACACAGCCCTAAATGTTCCTAGACTACGTTAGTAATTTCATCTTTGAAAGGGAGTTAAACACCCATTTAAATCAGGCAAACAGTTTTCTTCCTTGACTGCCATAAGTGGTAATGATTTTACAAAGGTGAATTTTCAATACATGACTAACTTAACCCCATCCCGGAGGCTGAACCCTTGACCATTTGGACATGAATTTACCATTTGGTATAGGGCTAATTGGTGCTAAAAATAATTTAAACAGTTTGTAGTTAGATGTCTAGGAAGAAAGATTTTTAAATGTGTAATATATTTTCATTGTTTTACCAACTTGGTCCTTCTCTGATGCCAGATCGAACCTGCAAGCGCGGATCTAGATTCTAGATTGGGGGGTCCGGGGGGGGGGGGGTCAGACCTCCCTGGAAATTGCAGAGTTACTAAATGTATATACTGAAGCAAATAAAAATTGGGTTTGAACCCCCCCCCCCCCCAAAAGAAAACGTGGACCCACCAACATTGCGCCAAGAAATAAGTTTTTTCACGTTTGGGAATGGACATTAGGTTGTTGTTTTTTTTGGCTTGTTAAGGGGGGGGGGGGTCAGACCTCCCTGGAATTTGCAGAGTTACTAAATGTATATACTGAAGCAAATAAAAATTGGGTTTGAACCCCAACCCCAACCCCAACCCCAACCCCCCAACCCCCCAAAAAAAACGTGGACCCACCAACATTGCGCCAATAAATAAGTTTTTTCACGTTTGGGAATGGACATTAGGTTTTTTTTTTTGCTTGTTAAGAAACTTCATGGGTTGGAATTTATTTGACTGGGGTGGACACCCCTCCCCTCCTCCCCCCCCCCCCCCGGAAAAAAATCCTGGATCCGCTCCTAACCTGGACCAATATATTTCACAATTCTGATGGAAGACTAATTGCTCGTTTTACCCATACAAACAGTTTGCCTGCTTTCTTTCCGTAATAACGCCTTTTGAAAAGGCGTCCTAAAAAGTATCGAATAGCACGATTCTGTACAATTTCAAATGATATGTTTTGAATCCCCGAACCCTGGAACAATAATGTGAAGCAGGAAGTACGCAAGATTGAGGCATTGAATCCAACATCTTCATAACCATGAATTTTTGAATTTTTGAAATTATTGACCCCTAATGCTCTCTCTCCCGCTATACCAAGAATTTCTGCCGCTATATTGAAGTCCATCTTCTTGTGACATTTGACTTAGCACAGTTCACACTTATTTTCCACCGTTTACACCAGTTGGTATGAATATCAAGAAAATTTTGCATATCAATTTCATTTTCACTGAAGATGGCAATGTCACCGACATATAGTAAAAGGCCAATCGTTTGATCACCAAGAGGAATTCTAGTATTCAGTTATGAAATTTCTGTCGCTATAGAACGTTGATGAAGAGAGAGAATAAGGAAGGTGATAAGTAGTCTCCTTGACGAACACCGTTTGAACGCTCATACCAATTTGTGCGAAAGTCGTTTACACAAACACAAGAGAATTTTTCAGAATATACCGGTAAACTGGAAATAGCATTATATATTGGACCATTAATTTCATTCAGCTGATGTTTGTGCTGTAAAAGAGCCCTGTTCACAAAGTCAAACGCTTTTTGAAGATCAATGAGTGTAAAGAAAGTAGATTTACGACCTTGAATTGAGTTTGTAATTGTTTTTTGTTTTTGAAGATCAATGAGTGTAAAGAAAGTAGATTTACGACCTTGAATTGAGTTTGTAATTGTAAATATGCGGTCCTCACAAGATCTGTTACGCCGGAATCCATTCTGTGCGTCAGAGAATATTTCATTATCTTCGAGATACTGAAGTATTCTATTGCTTTAAAACTGAACAATTATTAATAGCATTTCGCAATGACTGATAATAAGCTGACCCCTCTTTAGTTCAAAAGTTCTGTGGATTCCTGAATAAAAGAAATGAATGTATATCACGATATAATTTCGCGAGAAGCACAACTAGCGAAATAAAATTACTCGCTTTTATTGCTGAAATACATGTAAAAGGTCTTGATCAAAAAACCTCTCACTAAATCATATTTTTGCGATTTGATGTCTACGGTCATTTTGCAATATTAAGCACTCGCGTAAAATAAGGAGTCTACAGTGTTCTTGTGTCAATTTAGCACCTTTTGGAATTGGACGAAATAAAGGTTTCCTCCTTATAGAAGGGGCTCTGCCAGTTTCATAATAGAACATAAATAAAAGGATTAATTATTTTTGAAAACTTTATTAAAAATTTGACCGATTGCAGGACTCTAACTTCCGTTTGGATTAGTGTATTGCTTCTTGAATGCAGACTTCCAATTTTGTAAGATTTTGTCCTCATTATATAAAATTGTTCCGTCATCATTCACAAGTTTAATCGTAATGCTAACATTTCTCTCCGATCGCTGTTTCTGTAACGCCTTCCAGAAGGCACTTGAATTCTCTGTATTAAGTGTTTCAATGTTCAGGGCTAAATCACGTTTATGTTTTCTCTCGTGAAATCTGAGTGAGATATAAAGAAAACGAACGGCAATCAAGCTCAAAAGTCCATTGAAACAATACAAATTAGGAACAGACTAAACACAGACCTCTAAGAACATCAGAGCTGGGATCAGGTGCCATGGAGGAGTAAGCATCTCCTGTCGAACGGTCACACCCGCCGTGATCGGGCAAGTGGAAAAATCCGTAGACAATTCAGTGAAAATAATGGCCTAACAATTTGTTTGAAAACGTCAGTCAACATTCAACTTAATGATAGAATTGTATATTTAAAAAAAAAAGTCGTCGTTATATCTAAATGTTGAATCGAATGCCACAGCAAGAGACTTCTTCTTTTCATGTAGAAGTGCTTCATATGAATACAAAATAGATCTCTTAATAAGAGGATGGAATTAGTACCCATTGGAATTCCGAGTCATATAACAAAATATCTCTGTGCCGCTTAAAACTTTTTCCGTGCATCTTGTTTTAATACATTTTCCTCCTACGATTTGACGGAAATATTTTTCATTTTTAGAACAACTTCTTCCATAATTCTGAGAGTTACCAAATGTATTGTATTCAGCTTCTATCTTAAAACAGACCTATCTGTAATTAAATTCTTTTGTTCTCCTCCTGCATTCCATTCCCACTTAGCCAACACAGATTTACCTATTTATGAATTCTTATTGATTTTTTCAGCGATTTTCTACCTCACCAACAACAGCCAATACCTGACAACTATTTTTGACGGTAAACAACAACAAATAGTGTATAATATACATGTTTAATGGGAAAAAACCAAATGATTCAAAGTGCAATTTCTAGTACAAATGACCAAAAGAGTTAATCATTATATAATTATATGGTTTTTCTGAATAATGGAAATATATTTCTTTTCTTCAAATGATAAAATTTAACAGACACAAACATAGAAAAAGATAACAATAGTAATTTCAATAAAATAAATATTAATAAATAGAGAGAAATTAACGGCGGCTAAACAATCGGCGTAGTCCATCAAGTAATCCTGATTTCTTGTTCTTTTTCTAAAACAAAAAAAAATCTGAAAGTTATTGAAACAAATTTGTGCGGTCTGTCTGAGAGTTAACAAGAAAGTTTTATTACTGAATGTCTTTTTCCAGTTGCTTTGTTTTATTTATTTATATGTAAGGCTCAAACATCTAAAACCAGTGTTCTTCTAGCTTCGAGTACTACACCGATATTATGATTGATGTAGAGACAACTTATGCTATTCGTTTTTATTTGATTTCGATCATTTAGAATCTGTCACAAGAGTTTTTCTTAAAGTGGAGACGGGGGTTGAAATTTTTCCGCTATACAGAGTACAAAGTTGTACCTTTAGTTTGTTTGTCTTTGCACAACACAGGAATCTTCTCCAGCCTCTCACAGGTAACTCAGAATCTACTTCCTGTAAAAAATGTTAATGAATTCATTTGATATTCTCATTTAATGTAAGTTTCTGAATAAAAAGAAGAAAGAACTCGAGGAATGTTGTAATTGTAATATAACTAGACTTAGTCATGTACGTACTTCTTCATAAGTTACCCCTGTTTCAAGCACATTTTGTACGCTGCAAAGAAACCAAAAAAAGTTTACCTTGAATGCAGAAAGGTATAGTTTTCGTTTCATTTTTTTTTCATTTTCATACATGTATATCAAAAATAACTAGTCCTGTCCACGTGATATGTATTATTTTCTATTAAATGTGATCGATATAAGGGAATTGACAAACCTTGCATTATTGGCTGCGCAAGAGAACAAATCCTCGACAATTTCCGAGGCCGTCTTGTACATAATCTAAAATTTTAAAAGAATATCTGTGTGGTAAACCAAAAAACTTAAACGTATACATGTGAAGAAAAAAATATGCCATATATCATACTTATGAATACCTGTTTCATTGCCAGTTTCTCGGCGTTTATTTGTTCCACATGCGCTCTCATTCTTGCATCCAAATCTGCAGATCGCAGAAAATCTAATGGATAGACAGCATCCAGTTTTTCTTTGTCTTGACTAAAAAGAAAGAGAAAATATTAATACGCATGCATTACAAAGATATAAAATAATTTATTTTTCGTCTTCGAAAAGTCAAAATTCAAGCCGGTGTAACGACGAAAAGTGACCGGGGATCATTTTTCTATGTAGAAATTTGACCCCTGCTCAATATTCGACGTAGAAAAATGACCCACGTTTTCGTAGAAATTATGGCCTTTGGGTCATTTATCTCCGTGTGGATTGTAGAAAAATTACACCGTAGAATAATGACCCTCTGTCATTTTTTGATAAAATATGGTTTTGTTAAGAAATTTTTTGTTAGGCAAATACAAAGGGGTTATTAAAATCACAAAGTCTTATGATTTGAAGTGTTCATTTCTAAAAGCTTTAAAGTTTAAATAACAAAATTAAAAGGTATTACTATACTTTACATAAATAATACAAGGTGGTTTATCCCAATTAAAGGAAAACATAACAAGGCTATAATGATGTTCTTTGACTATTAGAACAAGAATACGCACTTTCTTTGATTTGTTTTATCACATTTAAGGTTTTCCATCCCTAATAGGACCAAATTCTCTATCCTTAAATGTTCATCATGCACATAATACTTTGATATTAATTGAAAGCAATTTATAGTACAAAAGGATTTAACAAGAGAAAGTTTCAAAAATGTAATTTACCAATCAGTAATTAATTAACAAAAATTGCTTTGAAGTCTATGGGGACAAGAAATTTTTTTTAAAATTCAAATAATAATATCAATAAATATTGTGGTAGAAAGATGCATTAAACATTAGAAATAGAATGACAATTGAAAACGGTTATTTTTATAAGATAAGTTTTTAAGATTTATATTTTTTTTAAAATTAAAAACAGACGGAGATAACTCTTATCAAAATTCAAGATCATAAATTAGGACATATCCCACCCTTCCTTGCTTATAGTAATAAATGGGAATTATGTCTTTAAATATACTGAGTATTCAACACCTACACATCTGATATGTATTCAATTTCAATGAATCTTTTGCTATTAAGGATGGAATACCTTAATAACAATACCTTAAAAATTTTCAGTTTCCACAGTTTTAATTATCTAAATGTGCAAAAAATCAAAATAAAGTCATCTTTCTTCTTCATAAGTTATAAGAAAGATTAACGTTTTAATACTCTTCCCAATTAAATCTAAAAAGGGCGATAAAGAAAATTTGATCTCATAATTATCTTTCAATTTCTATGAATGAAGTTTCAAACTTCTTTTCATAAAAATATAGGGAAGATTAAATATGTGAAAAAAATATCACACAGGACTGAATCAATATGCCTCTGACCTTCGATATCAGGGGCACAAAACGTGATTAGCTCAAAATCTTTACCAGTGTCTTTTGTTGTTTGCTAGTGTCAACAAAGCCTTCACAAAATAAGACTTTTTACATAAAAAAGAGGTATCCCTCTCCTCTCCCTCTATCTCTCCCACTCCCTCCCCACTCTTTCTCACCCCCCGCACACTCTCTCTCTCTCCTCTACCTGTCTCTCTCCCCCTCCCCACTCCCTCCCTCTCTCTCCACCCCCTCTCCATACTCTCTCTTCACACTCCCTGTCCCTCTCTCCCCACTCCCTGTCTCTCTCTCCCCACTCCTTCTCTCTCCATACTCTCTCTCTCCATACTCTCTCTCTCCATACTCCCTCTCTCCCCACCCCACTGTCCCTCTCCCTACTCCCTGTCTCCCCCTCCCTACTCCCCCACTCCCTCTCCCCCTCCCCACTCCTTCCCCCTCTCTCTCTCTCTCTCTCTCTCTCTCCTCCCCACTATCTCCTTCTCTCTATTCTTTTGTTTGACCGTCTGACTCATTTATTATGACGCCTTGTGAAAAAACTAATATATATGCATAATACTTAAATGTTTCAAAGTTATTTACAATAAAATTAATGAAAAAAAAATACTTATTCTAGAATGAAGACAAAATTCGTACCGTTATTATAAAAGAAATTTTAAAATGTTTATTCTTGATCTTTTTACTTTAAATGGGATTTGGCAAATTTGTTTATTTTTGCAAAAAAATGAATGTAATTTAAAATTATAAGGGCGATAACTTCAAACAACAGAAAATACTGCTTCCCAGTTCACAATTTGTTCATTGCATTATATGTTTGCGCATTCAATTTTTTATGCTTGGAAAACAATATTTATACCGTATGCTTACTAACATGTAAGGAACATATGTCAGCTTGAAAAATCTAAGTTGGATATTATTTGTTGTACCTTTATGAAAAATAGATGTGCGGCTAGTGCCCCAAATTATCCACATGCAGAGAGGAGGTCTATAAATATCCTTTATTTGATCTAGTATGTTTGACATTCACTATCCTTTTCCCTTTGTATCCTTTCAGTTTACTAAATTTTCATAATTTTTATCTTGTTCAGAAATCGTGTCGTTGCTTTCAATGTTAACCAAAATGCACTTGCATCATGACTCACTCGTTGTTCTACGCATTACCCGGCATTTCATATTTTCTTATTGCATATAAACGTTCGTTGGGTGTTTGTTCAAATACATACTGTTAATAAAACTATGTATAATCTTTACTTGTTGCATGGTTCTACACTTTCCACTTAACGGTTTTGAATGGACAGTGTTAAATGATTAAAAGTTGGGCTATCAACGTAATTTGAGTAAATGTTCACCTTATTACAGGTCCTACACAAAGCTTCTTGGAAAATTAAAATCATTCACTTAAGTAATAGAGCCATTCAATCAAAAAAAAAGAAAGTCAAGCAAATTGTGGGCTTAAAAAATTGTTCCAAAGTTGCCTCTGTCGCGCATAGGCATCCTCCTCAATCTACATGTACTGTACATAACATTATAGAGATAAAGTTTTATAAATTTTAAAACACTTGAAATAAGCATTTAATTCTAAGTCTGAAGGAAGAATTTAAGAAGGAATGACACACCAATTTTTTTTTCATAGATCTTTAAGACATCCCCTTCAAACTGTGGTTTCAGCATTAAAAGGCCGATATTAGCTCTAAATTATTTTATAAGATTTTTTTCCCCAATTTTTCATAGAAAATTAAAAAAAAGATTTTATTTGCAAATAAGATGTTTTAGAGTTAAAAGTTTGCTATTAATAAATGTAGAAAATGAATATCTAATAAAATATGTAAACAAAACCAAGCTGGACATTTTATTTTTTTTAGTAAAAAGATTATTTATGAAAATAAAACACAGTATTTTGTGAATATTTTCGAAACCTATGGATAATATATTAAAATAAAATAGTCACAGCTACAATGAATATGCTAGACAATCATATTTTAAAAAGAAATTAAAATGAAAATGCCAAATTTTAGAAAAAATTATTTTTTTTTTAATTTCGGCCAATCCCGATCGAAATTTAAACTGATCCCAACCAGAATTTTATAATAATTGGAAATTAGGGATGTCAATTTTATTCGGACAGCTTAGTCGTATAGTCGGAGGCTTTAGTCGAACGATAGTCGAACATTCGTTGAAATTTTTATTACAATTTTTCATGTCATTTTCACTATTTGTCTTTTATAGACTAGTTGTACAGTATCTAACCTACGCTATCACCATTATACAACGAATTTCTGAATCGTAAACATTTACGTACTACAATAAACACTGTACATCTACATTTATCTAATGTATTTGATTTCAAAATTAATATAATTTTTACTGCACATTTTATCTAAATGCAGGATATCAAACGCTCGCATTTGACAAGTCCTTTCTTTTCATAACGATAGTACATGTACCCTTTAATTGAAGCCATTTCTACATGTCGTGTCAGTGACCTTTGACTAGTAAACAATTAAAGCGTGCCTCTTATAAAAACAGAGAGAGCTTGCGAAAAATTTTAATTATGAGATTTTGTGCAAATAATCAATATAATCTTAAAATGACTGCATGACAAAACCAAACAATTCTTGAACGTCCTCTCCATTTAAAATAATAAGTGGTAGACAATCCTTGATAATCATGTTTGTGATAGCAACATCTCCTTTCCGACTCTGTTTTTTTTTTTTTTTTTTTTTTTTTGGCATTTTTGCGGAGTACTTACTTAAGAAAAGTTTCGCTTGAAGATTGTGTTTACTACATGTATGTTTGACGGATTCGGCATAATTATGATACATCATATTTGATGTTCCACTGCAGAATACAAGTTCAGTTTCACATAACCTTGATAACGTACTTTTAACTGCTTTTCCATCCTGACATCTTTTAAAATATACCAAAACTGTAGATTTTGGAGGCATATTTGCCGAACATAAACCAACATAAAAAATAATTTCCTTTGAACAGTTAAACCATACCCTGAGTTTTACTTACGAGAACATTGATTTGTAAATAAATTAAATGGGCGAATCAAGTTTATTACCTTGAATTTAAAATTGCTTTTAGGTAACACTTTTTTAACGAATAACCGACTAAAGAAATTTTATTCGATAGTCGGTATTATCGAACGATAGTCGAGTACCCGAATATTCGTTGACATCCCTATTGGAAATAGATAACATTTTCACAAGAAAACTAGTTTGTTTAGGTGTAATACGGATTAAAAGGTAATTGAACTTGACAATCAAATAGATTTCTTAGAGGTAAATACATAAAAAGGACGATAATTATCATTTTATCTATTTTGTGTTAATTTTGATCGGGATCAGTTTCAGTTTGATCGGGATTGATCCAAATATTAAAATAATGATTTCCCCTTAAATTTAGCAATTTCATTTCAATTTCTTTTTAAAATATGATTGACTAACATATTCTCACTAGTTGTGACTAGTTTTATGAAGATTTTATCCATAGGTACAAAAAATATTTACAAATTATGTGTTTTATATTCATAAATAATATTTAATTCAAAAAATTAAAATGTCTGTCCAACCTCTCTTTACACATTTTATTAGACATTCATATTAATAGCAAATTTTAAACCATAAAGAATCTTTGATTTGAACGTATTTTATTGTCTATTAACTTTACAGATGGGATTGGGCAAAAGTTCTAAAAACTTAATACGCCCTTTCCCTACATATAAATTATACCAAACATATTTACATATATGGGTTTCAGCTTAAAATGAATAAAACACAGGAAAACATAATAATCAGAGGAACAATATTCAATATAATATATCTCTTATATAATACACAAGCTGTATAGAATTCGTAAAAAGTAATAATTGTATCAACCAAAACGACCTGACTTTTTAATAAATGTTTGTACAATGGAAAATAGGTATTCATTTTTAACATCGATTAACGTTTCATCTTCCCACGGTAAAGTGTGAGTATCAACAGTATGTAATTTTCCCGTTCGCAGAAATTTGTCAAAAAATTCTTTTTTGGCCTCTGTATATTTTTTTTGCATGAAAAGAAATAATGATGAGTATCCTTCACTCTTCCACAAGAACATAGGGGACTCAAAATTACATTACATCGAAAATTCTAATTGGGGTCTAAGAAAGGTTGTGTACATGAGTGAAAGAGTTTTCCGATTTACAACAAATTTGAGTTTTGTTTTAATGAGCATCTTTGCAAATGAAAATTTTATTTTTCATTTTCTCAGGAAAAATACCCCCAAAAATCGTATAAAATAATTAAGAGCTAATATCAGTCTTTCAATGCTGCAACCATAGTTTAAAAGGGATGTCTTAAAGATCTATTAAATGAAATTTTGGTGTGGCATTCCTCTTTAAATTATGAAAAGGACTGGGGAAGGAGGTATACAGGCGCGGATCCAGAAATTGAAGTTAGGGGGGCGCAGAAAGTAGGCAGGGGGTCTGGGGGCCGCCTTGAGCTCCTGGATTCTATAGATTTTGTAGAGTAAAAATGAGGTCTACCAAGTAGACATTTTTACATTTTCTTGACGAAACTATGATTTACGCTAACTTTGACAGTTTTTTTTTTGGGGGGGGGGGGGGTATACATATTAGCCACTGGTATACATATTAGAAATTCCATAACTGCAGTGCATGATTTGGAGACAAGCGAAGGCCATCTTCTAAAAAATGTTTGTTAACCCTCTCCCGACCGACTGGCTAAAATGGCCCGACTCAAATCTTTTTTACCTCCAGAAAACAAAATATCTTTTTTCTTTTCTCACTAGTCTACATGTATGTTGAAATTTTCTTGAGAAAAAAATTAACGCCGTGTATCACATCTCATTTCTAAAGGTTTTTAACAGGTTTTATTATATAATATTGTGAAAAAGTATGGGGGGTTCAGATTTCTATGGGGTCATTTTTCAACGTGAGAGGAATCATAGAATTACCGGCCTAGAAGGGTTTTCTACGGTCGAAAAATGGCCCTACTTGTCGTGGAATATTGACCCAGGATCATTTTTCTACGTAGAAATTTGACCCCCTGGTCAATACTCTACGGGGGTCACTTTTCGTCGTTACACCGGAGCTTGCCAATACGTAATATTCTTTGAATGGCATTGGGTTCACTTTCATTCTAGAAAATGAATATCCTTTAATTTAATGAAATCTTGTACAATGAACAGTAATAGAAGAGTCTTCGATCTATTCATTTACATCATTTTTTCTTCTATGGTTCAATAAAAATTATATGATGGAGTTATCTTTGATAGATAGAAATACTCCCCAAAGGTAACGTTAGCGTGTTTCATAAGAAAAGAAGTCCTGGTTATTATTTAATAATCAAAGACTTTGCACATGTACTTACCTTGGATTACATTGTGCTGTTGCTCTGATTATCAAGTCCTTCACATTTTCCTGTGCTGCTCTGTATAACAACTGTCAACAAAAAAATATAAAGTTTATTTGAATTCGTCTCTTAAATATTTTTTTTAAAATATAACATGTCTGTGAATATCAAAATTCCAACCTCCTGTGTTTCTCTTCTCTGGTCCATGTAGAACTTCCGTGTAAATACCACCCTTTCGTCAAAAGCTGCCATGAAGGCTTCGGCCAATGCATGTGCCTGTTCATTTGCAACGCTGGAATAAAGAGCATTCTTTAATTAACCTTTTGATCATCAAGTTGGACTTCCATACATTCTTAGGATATGCAATAAAGATTTTTAAAAGTTGGGGATCAAACTGCATTACCTACCTGTGCTCAATAGCAATGCATTGCCTGGTAACTGTGTCAAATACATTATCAAGGATGCTGCGTACAATCTAAAACAATAAAACAACAAATGATTAATGTCGCGTAACCATATATGGAAAACTTGATTTATTTATTATCTTCTCATTCCCTGATTAAAAATTTTGATATTTATTGATAAAATTGAAAATAATACGTTTAAGCATATAAACCCTTACTTCATCAGATTCTTTGTGTTGGGTGTTCATTTCAAGATCTCTTCCTTTCGGAACTGTTGTGGTCTTTGAAGATTTTGTTATCTTTGACGCCTTCGTGGTGTTTTTTGAATCTTCCATAGCCTCCGTTTTAGTTGTATCGCCATCAGCTGCCTTTTCAGTTCTTCCAGTCTTTGTCTTGCTTCGCCTCCTTCTTCCCTTTGAGGATCGTCTCTTTTGCTACAAAAGTTAAAGGTTTGACAACATTTAATGGACTCCTGACTTATTTGGTGTTGGAGTGAGTTTTTTTTCTCGATAAAATGAAATACATTTTATGCAGATGTGTCATTCATATGTACTCGAATTTGCCCAAACCTCTAGCAGTATACTAGCTTACCTTTTTATCGAGGTCTCTCAGAGACAAGGTACCATTCTTCAGACATTCTCTCAGATTGACAGATGTCTACAATAAAATGCCAGCATTCTGAGAATCAATTTGTCTGAATTAAATGTTTTCCTGGTTAAACCCAGTTAAGATGTAAAATTCAACCGCATGACCATGCTAAAACGATTTTTTATTTATACGAGTATACAACATCTAAATTTTAAGGGTATGCAATATTTCGTTTGTTGATAATGGGGTGAGTTTCAACGTTTGCAAAAACATGGCCGTAGGAACTGGGGGGGGGGGGGGGGGAGGGGGGTTATCCAGACGCCGATAATTCAGATGCTTCACCCTCCTGACGAAATTCATGGGGAACAATTTATATTCATATGTACCAAATGTGTTTCGGTAATCCGGACTCTCCATTAATCAGGACGATCTGATCGGGAACATAAACGTTCGGATTAAGGAGGTTCGACTGTATACTGTAGAAAACATAGCTACTTTATGTTTGTGCCCCCTCAATAATAACGTCTGGTGACCTTTTTTCTTTCTTAGTAGTGCCCCCCTCCCCAACTCAAATGTTTGGTTGTGTCTCCTGCAAACTGCACTTGCTTCCTACAGGCCTTTTAAATATGCGGTAAGCGTCCATGGTAAACAAAATGTTGAGCATAAGAAGAATTCAAGAAAAAAGCTTTTCCTGGTAAGTATTTAGTTTAATAAAAAAAATTGTCTTTTCTAAACTTTAGCTAGAACATCGAAGTAATGTTATTATGACGTTATAAATTATGACGGTATAATGACGTCACTCAGTCTGCAATACTTTTTTTAAGATAATGATATACAATACTATCAAAAATATATTGAAAATCAATTATTTAAAGCCTTTAATATATTTATACAATAACAATACACCATAACAGCAGATAACAGACAATTTATTTTAATACAGCTCGTCTGACACCCTCCCCCCCCCCTTTACCATCTCCTCAAGTCAAATAAAATTTATGTTCACATTAAATGATTTCCTTATTGATATAACCTTCACCCAAATCAAATGAGTATATGAATTTGACAAAGATTAACAATATTTCCTACCTCAGGTTGATTCGCCGACATCTTTAACTAGGATTTTACAATGATGAAATCCCCGTTCGAGTTGTCTCCTGCAAACAATGTTGCTAATATAAAACGCGCTTATTATGACGTAAGTCTCATTGTGATGTCTCATAGATTATGACGTCACATGTATTCCTTTGCATTGAGAAGTGAGGGTTCTTTATCGTGCCAACGCCTACCGTGACATGGGGCCTCGGTTTTTAAGGTCTCATCCGAAAGACCCGCAACTTTCACTACAAAGTGCCGAGCGCTTGGCGAAGGAACAGTTGCTACCAGTCGCGGCCGTGATTCCGATCACGGAGCGAGCGCTCTACCGACTGAGCTACCCTGACGGTCTAGTCTCAAAGGAAAATGATACTCAGGATTTTTATTGCTAGGATTCGAACCCTAAGAATACCACGCTACTTTTAAAATAACAGAATAATTTTTGCCGAGAAAATCGTCCTTGGAGTTTGACCTTTTTTAAAAAAAGAATTTAACCTTGGCCATAACTTTTGAACGGTTAGTGCTAGGGCTTTCGTTTTTCACAGGTGTATTCCTTTTGACAAGACCACCTCAGGGTACCATCAATTTTGACCCTTTGAACTTGACCCTTGAGTTTGACCTACTTTCGAAAAAACTTTAACTTTGGCAATAATTTTGAACAGTTGGTGCTGGTGCTTTCATATATCACAGATATATTTCATTTGACAAGAACTTTCCTTGGATACTAATAATTTTGACCCTTTGTCCTTGACCTTTGACTTTGACCTACTTTTGAATAACTTTAACATTCAAGGCATGGTCATAACTTTTTAATGCTTGGTACTAGGGCTTTCATATTTTGCAGGTGTATTTCTTGTGACAAAAACAACCTCCAACCAGTAAATGAAACATCCCTTCTTGATTCAGTCTGTTTTCCACCTAGCCTTTTTTTCAATATTACATTTATTACTTATGTACGTTACAAGGTTAGGTTAAAAAAAAACTTAGAAAGTCAGCGAGTAGCATATTATTTCATGCTTTGTGATGAACACGGGTTTCCTTTTATATAGTGACAAGAGTGTAGGTCAGTACCCGTACAGGAATGGGCTTCACTTCCGTAAGTTTCTAAGTAAAGAATCGGCAAAATGAAGAAGACATCATGATCTGTACTGGTTTTCATTTCATTAAAAAGCACGTTATTATAAATATGAGAAAGGTCCTGAAATCGGTTGGAAAGAAAAACTAAACAATTTCAGAACTGTATATAAAGATGTATTTTAAACTCATTTATAATACAAAATGTACATGTGTATGGTAAGACCATCATCGCATGAGTTTTGTCCCGGGGGGGGGGGGGGGGTATTAGTATCTTGTTTTGCGCTAGCTATAAAGTGTACAGGTCATTTACTTTGATTTCTGGAGCAGCATTGAAGCATTTTTGTCTCAAACACTTCAAGACATCTTTCCCGGTTAAAACTGTTCATAATTTACTTCGTCGTCGAGAACGACAAGTCTATAAATAGAGGCCGTCATCACTGACCAGGGAGTGTGCATGAAGAAGCGCGCCCTCTAGGAAGAGAGTACATGTAATATGAATTTCTTTAAAACGAATCATCTAACTTTTTTCCCAGAATTATCAGTAGCGGATCCAGGAATTTCATAACGGGAGGGCGCAGTAGAAGGCAGGGGGGTCTGGGGGCTGTATTGAAACTCTAGTGGGTCCAGGGAAAAGCCCTGATGGGGGTTCGGGGGCGAAGCCCCCGGAAGCTGACGAATTATTACAAATAAGAGGTGTTTTTTCCTTGATTTTAGGATAATGAACATATAAGTTCTACATACAAAAAATTCAAACGGGGGGGGGGGGGCACGCTCGGCGCGCCGGTGCTGGATCCGCCTTTGATTAAAATCTACGCTAGCGCACTTGCAGTTTCATCCCAACGTAACTAGTCAGCCCGAGGGCTAACTAATAAATGACCAAATAGTGGCATGTCTTAGATATTCGTTAATCTGTAGTATTTGGTTATGACATTTGAGAAAGTCAATTGTACATCTTGTGTAATGAAGTATCGCAACTATATCGCTCCTTGATGACGGAAACGTTTAGCACCTCTCTTGCACATACGTTCCATAGATATTGATTGATTAGTCAGGCAAGCTTTTTGAAAAGCTATTACTTGGTTTCATTAAAAATTGCAAGTAGCTTAGATCCGCCAACCGTCACCACCATCGCACTCTCACCCCCCCCCCCCCCCCTCTCTCTCTCTCTCTTTTTTTTTTTTTTTTTTTTTTTTTTTTTTTTTTTTATTTAACGGCTATTTATCGAAAACGAAAGTCCACTTTTAATTAAATTTGCGATAATTACAATGCGAGTGAAATCTATAGATTACGGACATCATCTTATACCTAATGTAATATAAGAGGAGTAAGTATGAACTCTGGTGCGAGCGTCTTTTAATGTATAAGTTTAGATAATTTGGACTAGATTGTTGGAAAAAAGGAGCAACCTGTAATTTAAGGGTTTCTTTTAGTCATAATTTCTACATCTACATTACAGCTGTAAAAAAAGAGAAAAGAAATGCTTGTCCCACCCTGATGAATGTACAAAAAGTATCTGTTCCATCATACTTTGCACCAGTCCCACTCTGGTAATTAATATTGCCTGGTCCCTAAAGAAGCCTTCTTTCTTATCAGTCAGTATTGGAATACTTCGCTGATAAGTATTGAAAAATAATTCACAAAAATAAGTCGAGCATACATCCTTAAGTTTATTTATACGGAGTGTGGGGGAAAGGGGGGGGGGTATCCCAAGCTACCCGTGGTGGAGGAAAGGGGGGGGGGGTATCCCAAGCTACCCGTGGTGGAGGAAAGGGTGGAGGTATCCCAAGCTACCCGTGGCAACAGACGCTTGACTTTTACCAAAACCATAACATACCTTGCAAGTTTTAGAATATGCTCAATAAGATACACGAGAGTTGGTTCATTCCAGTCTAGAACTGATCGGGAACAATTCGTGATGGACATGTATCATGTAGCGTTCATGATGGACATGTATCATGTAGCGACAACAAGATAAATGAATAATCGTAAATAGCTTAATTATGTTTCTGTTTCGAGATTAACTTTTTTCCAAAATGTTAGCATCTTTTACAAATGCATATGATTAATAATTTTTTTCATCTACATAGCTTATTTGTTAACAACTGCTTCATGTGTCTGCATAGCAGTATATTAGATTTTGTGAGAATTTAAAGAATTTGGTGTAGAGTACGTGGTATGCATGCGAATTTTCTGAGTATTATGGTCTTCAAACAATTCTGTCTGAAAAAAAGCTAACAAGCAAACGGTAAACCCCAACCCCCTACACACACACAAACAATGTTTTTTCATATTAAAATGAAATTTACAATTCAATACTCCCATTTAAGATCGTATGTAATCTTTGAAATATTACTAACTATAATAAATATCTGTTAATCAGCATGAAGAATTCCTAGAAATAATCCCAAGATTTTCTATCCCAACACCAACTAAAATGAATAATTTTGATGATTAGAAAATAAACAACAACAACACATTGTATAATAATTATACAAGTTTATTGAAAAACCAATTAAGTCTAAGTTCCAGTTTTAGTACAAATAACAATGGAAGTTAAGATATAAAGTTTTCCTGAATAATAAAAACATATCTCTCTTCTTTAAATGAAAAAAAAAAACTCAGTTGAATTTAATATATTGAAACCGATAATGATAATTATAGCTGTTTTCAAATAATATAAAAACAATTTTTAAAAAAAATTAACGGCGACTAAATAATCGGCGCAGCCGAGCAAGCAATCCAGACTTCTTGTCCTTTTGCTGAAATAAAAAAAAAATATGAAAATCATTTAAGAGAACAATTTCTGCAGTTTATATGAAAACAAACAAGAAAAAAAATCATTTTACATGTAAAGGGTATTTCAGGAAAATTTATTACAGATATAATTTAATTGTCTTTTTCTTTGTTCCTTTGTTTTGTTTATTTATTTGAATGGTTAAACATTTAAAACGATTTCTCCTTTTTGAAAAATTCTGCTTATTTAGTTGTACTTCACTGAAATTTATTTTTTATGTAAAGTTAGCTTGTACTGTTCACATTATTTCAATCATTCAGAATGAACGTCACAGAGTTTTGAAAAAAAGGGGGGGGTTAAAATCTTTTCAGTATACAGTGTCGGACTGTCCAAAGCTGTACCTTTAGTTTGTTTGCCTTTGCACAGCACAGAAATCTTCTCCAGCCTCTCACAGGTATAAACTCAGAATCTGCTTCCTGGGATATATAAAAACGAAAATGAATTTATTTGGTATTCATTTTATATCAAGCATGTTTCTGAATTTTATTCAAAAGTAATACTGTCAATAGAATTACATGTAGATAAGCACGTACTTCTTCATTGGTCACCTCTGCTTTAAGCACATTTTGTACCCTGCAAAAAAAAAAAAATAATCTGAATGCCAAAAAAGTATTTATTTTCGATTTTTAGGCACATTTATCCAAAATATCCTATTCATATAGTACATGTATGTATTTTTGTATTAATAAGGGAATGGACAAACCTTGCATTATCGGCTGCGCAAGAGAACAAATCCTCAACAATTTCCGAGGCCGGTTTGTGCATAATCTAAATATTGAAAAAGAATATATGTGTAATCTATTCCAAACTTAAATGTATAGTTAAGTAAATATTACATATAAGAAATTTATATAATAAATAGTGAATAATAATGAATAAATTGAATACCTGTTGCATTGCCAATTTCTCGGCGTTTATTTGTTCCATTTGCGCTCTCATTCTTGCATCAAAATCTGTAGATGGCAGTAATTCTACGGGATACACAGCATGAAGTTGTTCTTTGTCTCGACTGAAAGTAAATTAAAAAATGAAAATTGCAAAATGTATAAGATAATTTCTTTCCTCTTGGAATTTCAATCTATTTGAATCAAAATTTGCCAAAGCGCAATACCTTTTATGCTGTGATTTTAGTTTGATTCAGTATAAAGATTTTTTTTTAAAGTCTTGATTCAAGGTATGTCACTCGTCAGCCTTTTAGAAAATTTCAGTCAGAAACTCTTACTTAAAAACTATTAATTACAATTAAATCTTCATAACATATTTAAATTAAACAATGTAAAATGTTCAACATTCAATTAAAAAAAACTGCTCAAAAATTCATAAAGAAGCAAGATTTATAAGGGACTATTTCTTGTGGTGGAAGGATATTTAGCAGAAAATTCTGCAAATCTACACATTTATTAAATTTAATATCTTGGAACTTTAGCCTCACATACTCTTACTCAGAGAATATTTTCCGTTATGATATGCCTAGAATATTAAATATAGGTCTCAATTTATATTTTTATAACAAAATTTACACCTTCGCTCAACAAACTTTGCCAAGAAATGAAGATATATTAAGGAAATCGAGATAAAATTTACACAGTTTTTTGCCAGAAAATCGCATATTTTGACCAATATTTCAAAATTTACATCACTGACCTCAACTTTTTCTTTCATTATTTTAAACTTCTCGATACTTTTGACCAATCAGCACTTAAGTCGTAAAAAGTTTGATACAAGAAAATATTCTATTGCCTATTTAGATTTTTAATACCCCAAATATGAGACTTTTTTAGTGCAAAAAGGTCACACAATAATTTACGCGCATTAATTTGCATTTGTTCAATGATAAATATTATTCAAACTGTTTTACGTAAAATAAGATTATGTTTATTGTCATGGTTACATCTGATAAAATATGATAACGGTTAAAGTGATTAACCAAAGAGTTACAATTTAAGTGCAAAAAGGTCAACTTAATTGTACCGTAGCTCAGTTAGATGCACACTGACCCCCCATTTTCTCTGCGATTTTGAGTCATACTATATGAGTACTTATCCAAAAGATACTTCTCAAAAAATCCTTGATACAACAAATTTCACGGGTGACATACCTTAAATAACTAAGACTTGTTGTCATCTACCTTGGATTACATTGTGCTGTTGCTCTGATTATCAAGTCCTTCACATTTTCCTGTGCTGCTCTGTATAACAACTGTCATTAAAAAATCAAGTTTATTTGATTTCGTCATTTAGATATTCTTCAAATACATGTACAACATTTCAGTGAATATCAAAATTCCAACCTCCTGCGTTTTTCTTCTCTGGTCCATGTAGAACTTCCGAGTAAATACCACCCTTTCGTCAAAAGCTGCCATATAGGCATCGGCCAATGCATGTGCCTGTTCATTTGCAACGCTGGAATAAAGAGCATTCACATTTTTTTAAAATAACCTCTTATAATAAAGTTGAACTTTCATACTTACTAATGACACGCAAAAAAAATGTACGAATTTGGGGATCTACTATATTACCTACCTGTGCTCAATCGCAATACATTGCCTGGTAACAGTGTCAAAGACGTCATCAAGGATGCTGCGCACAATCTAAAATGATAAAACAACAATGTCGCGTAACCTTACTTGTTTATAACTTTTTCATTCCCTGATGAAAATATACCGGTAGTTATTTCTATTAATATTTAAGGTAACTGTGTAAGCCCTTTCCTCTTCAGATTCATTGTGTAGGGTAATCACTTCAAGATTAACATGTTTTCCTTTCGGAACTATTTTGGTCTTTGAAGATTTGGCAATCTCTAAAGCGTTCGTGACATTTCTTGGATCTTCCACAGCCTGTGCTTTAGTTGTATCACCATCAACAGTCTCTTCAGTTATTCCAGTCTCTGTCTTGCTATAAACATAAAACATATAATGCAAGAAGGTAAAAAAAGATGCTTTATGTACATTTATCCAAAATAAACTGTCCATATATTTTTTTTTTCCGATGCCTTATGTCCAAAATAAACTGTCCATATAATACGTTTTATTTTCTGTTAAAGGTGATTGTATATAAGGGAATGGACAAACCTTGCATTATTGGTTACGCAAAAGAACAAATCTTCGATGATTTCCGAAGCCGTCTTGTACATAATCTAAAAAAAGTTTTAAATGCGTGATATTTGTATATCCCAAACTTAAATTTTTATCAGTAAAAATATACTTTCAAACCACACATCGTTCTTTTGTGATACCTGTTGCATTGCCATTTTCTCAGCTTTTGTTCGTTCAACACGCGCTCTCATTCTTGCATCCAAATCTGCAGATCGCTGAAAGTCCACGAGATAGACATCGAGTTGTTCTCTCTCTTCACTAAAGAAGAATTTTGAAAAAAAAAAAAAGTATATTTCGAAATGTACCTAGTATAAGATAATCAGTCTTTCGTCTTAGAACAAAGACCGAAACTTGCCAATGCGCAATATTCTAAGACGATTTAAAATGATTTTACAACATAAATACATGTATCACAGAGCGTTGTGGAAATACTGTACAATGAACAGAAGAAGAAGAGTCTTTTATTCATTTACACCATATTTTTTTTATGAATGGTTAAACAAAATAATAGAATGGAACTGCTCTTCATAGAAAAAATATGACTTGCCAAAAGAAGCACAACTTTACCTTGGGCTACATTGTGTTGATGTTCTGATTATCAAGTCATTAACATTTTCCTGTGCTGCTCTGTATAACAACTGTCAACAAAAAATATATAAAGTTCATTTGAATTCGTCTCTTAAATATTCTTCAATACAACATTTCAGTGAATATCAAATTTCAAACCTCCTGTGTTTCTTTCCTTTGGTCCATGTAGAACTTCCGTGTGAATACCACCTTTTCGTCAAAAGCTGCCATATAGGCATCGGCCAATGCATGCGCCTGTTCATTCGCAACGCTGGAATAAAAAGTATCTAAATATTACCTAATTTCAAATTTCGATTCTTACTAGTGAAATGCAATAAAGAATTCATAACATTTTTAGATCTATTAAATTGCGTTACCTACCCTTGCTCGATAGCAATGTATTGCCTGGTAACTGTGTCAAAAACGTCATCAAGGATGCTGCGTACAATCTAGAACAATAAAAGAACAGTGAATATACTTACCATATATTGATATCCCCTTTATTTACCTTCTCATTCTTTGATTGAAAATTATAATATATTTTGATAAGTAAAGAAATAATACATCAACTCTTACCTCTTCAGATTCTTTGTGTTGGGTGTTCATTTCAAGATGAACATCTCTTCCTTTCGGAACTGTTTTGGTCTTTGAAGATTTTGTTATCTTTGACGCCTTCGTGGTGTTTCTTGGATCTTCCATAGCTTTTGCATTAGTTGTATCACCGTCAACTGCCTTTTCAGTTCTTCCAGTCTTTGTCTTGCTTCGCCTCCTTCTGCCTTTTGAGGATCTTCTCTTCTGCTATGAAAGTTAAACATGTGGCACAACTTAATTAATGGACTTTGACGGTTTTTGGCGTTGGAGTGAGTTCAGCATTTAAATATTTAGCTTCTTTCAGAAGATACATTTTATGTAGATGTGTCTTTCATATGAGCGTTTGCCCAAACTTTTAGTCGTACACCCACCTTGTTATCGAGGTCTCTCAGAGAAAGTGTGCCATTTTTCAGACCTTCTCTCAGCTCGACAGATTTCTGCAATAAAATACCAATTTTCTTAGCACTTTATCCGAATTAACTGCAATAATTGGAATTAATAATATTCTTCGACTGAATAAAAAATAGTATACCTCGTTCCGAAGTAAAGTTAACTTCGTGATTATGCTAAACAGTATTTACTATACCAGTATTTTCTGGTAGATTTTTTATTTATTTTATGCAATGTAATTATGAAGTTATGCATATATTATGAAGTTATATAATAGTGACGTGACGTCTCGGTCCGACATACTTTCAAAGATGAATGTAATTGATAAACTATTGGAAATAAAGTTAAAATATTTTATTTATAGTTCAAAGCCCTCAGTGAAATTACAATGCATCTTCACAGCAGGTAACAGACAAGCTAAAAACCAAACTTTTTTCTGACTTCTTTGGTACACGTACCACCCTCGACCGGCCACCTATTCATGAATAAGACCATCTGAAGTAATTTCACATACATCTATTAATTTTCACCCTGGCTATTATTTTGATTTTTTGATTTAATGTGAACATAATCTATGTACGAATTTGACAAAGGTTAACAATTTCTTACCTCAGGTAGACTCGCTGACATCTTTAGTTAGGATTGTAATTGATCAAATCCCCTGTTCGACTTTTCTCCTGTAAACAATGTTGCTAATAAAGCGCGCTGGTCATGACGTTAATGTCATTGTGATGTCCCATTGATTGTGACGTCACGTCTTCGTTTTTCCAACGAATTTGAGACAACGAGAAAATGAGCAAGATTTCTACTAGAAGCTGGAGTAGGTCATAGATTCACTCTGATTTCTCTACTCTGATCTTGAAGAAAACCATGACCCCATCTTAACCAAAACCATGACCACGTATATCGCAAAATGTACAAAGGCATTACATGTACATGTAGTAATAATGGGAATGATTTCAAAATTGATTTCCCTTGATCTTGAACATGGAGAACAGAGCATTCTTGGGCCCTGGACGAGATTGTCATGACGGACAGAGTATCATATAAAGGTGTACAGACAACAAGATAGCTACTGAATATTAAAATTGACAAATTCAAATACTTTTACATTGACGAGTTTTTCAGATTTATTTATCAATGTTATTTATGTATAAACCTAGGACAAACGTTGACTTTCAGACCCAAGTTGATCATCTAAGAAATGAACAACATGCTCTTGAATTAAGCTTAGAAAAGCAAGATCATGTTTACTTTACACCGTCACCCTATCTATTCCCTACCCCCATCGAACAACCAAGGGAAGATATAGGTTTTTCCTATTGTCACCTATTGTCGACCTCTGTTGATCATATCATGCCTCTTAGAGTCTAGCCAAATATTTTTGCTAAAACCATAGAAACCACTGGCTCTGAACCAAGCTGAATATCTCAATCTCATTTTAATGATTCATTCAGAAATATTATCGTGTAAGCGATATACATGTATTTGTTGTTTGGACATCAGTGACAATTGTGTATTTTTTATCCTCAGCTTTTCCATATTTCTTGCTGAAAACATCAAACTCATTTTATTGATTTATTCAGAAATATTATCTTGTAAAGTACAAGTAGAACAAGACAGTTTACACAAACTTCAAAGCGAAAGATGAACAAAAATATCACACTCTCAGATACTGTCCAATATGAGGTATGATAAATATTGTCGTTATATATGGATCTTTTCGATTGTATCTATAATATTGACGACAAAAGCATTGCGATCAATTTGTTCAATTACACATAATTATCAATACACATTAAACAAAATAAATCAATTTCACTTTTATATTATGGGCACCATGATATGATATACATGTATTTTTTAAATGATGACAATAAAATATGGTTCACAAATTAAGTTTTCTCTGTGCTTTCCAAGTTATGTTGTGATGGCGGACATTTTCTTTTCCGTTGTTCACTAAACTACATCATCCACATCATTTGACCGACATGACTTGCAGGCTAGAATAATCCCCAGAAGCTACAATAGAATATTAAAGATGATGTGCATTTTCAGAAACTTCATTTGGCCATTTACTGGCAATAAAAACCAAGATTTTGGCCATTTTTTCAACGATAGGATTTTTGCGTACATGGACTTCATCGTGATGAACATCGTAGTAACATTTTTTTAAAAATACATTGTACATTTATATCAAGTAAGAGACGAGTTCTTTAATTTAAACAAACGAGTTCTCTAATATAATTAATAATTTTAAATTGCTTAGTTTAGCCTCCCCCCCCCCTTTTTTTTTTTTACCGGAGACAATTCTCTACCGATACAAACTTACCTTCTCAATCCTAGGTCGGTGCAAGTTAGAATGTGTAATACCCTGACATTCTGTTTGTTATAATACTTGAAGCCTATCTAATTTTGAATTTCTATCAGAACAGAATTTTCTTAATACATTAAAAAATTGCATATCCAAGGTGCATGCATGTGTATCCCTATCCATGAACAGGGACGTAGTGCAAGTGTATAAAAAGTGATGAAAGTTAAGGAAGTGCATTGTTTCGGTATTAATGAGATAAATGTATTCATGAGTATCGATATTAGTTAACAGGATCATAGTGTACCTGTGTCTTTATAAAATAACAAAGAATTTAGAAATGAAATGTATTATAGGCACATGAAACTGCACCTAACAACTCATAAGTTTTATGTACAATTGTCATGGATTTATATCAAGTTTTTTTTGTTATGTTTTGATTTTTTTGTTTTGTTTTGTTTTTTTTTTATGAGAAGGCCATAATTATTGGGGGTCCTATTTGTATAACGTAAAAATTTTGTTTTCTTTTGTTCGGTTTCGTTTGTTAATTCTTGAGTAGCTACAACAATAAGATATGATACAATGAGTATATATTATAAGACAAATGAAAACTAAGTAAAAAATTTATTGTTCAACGAAAAAAAATCAACAGTATATTACAAAACTTTATTGCCAATATAATATTGAATTAAATAAAAATTAATTTTACACCAGCTTAATAAGACTCGTATCTTTAAAAGAGGTTTTATTTCACCAATTATTATTCCTTTTATTGAATGTCAGATGATTTTCTTTAAAAGAAAGAATTTTTCAAAACCTGAAACATTAATAAACAATACAAAATTTTATGAACTAGAAAATGTAAAACTAAAAGAACAATGACTTTTTTTTCAATTTGAATGTGATCACATTATATGATGATCAAAAAATATTTTTACAAGTTTATTTTTGATATAAACAACATTGATGTATGACGACATGGCCTTTTCAATGTTTTTATTGTATGTTACTACGCAATATTGTCCTCGTCAGCAGAGCGAAATGACTTGCAGGCTAAGATGATTCCAAAAAGCTGAAAAAATGAAAATTGGTATTAGGTTAATTATTATTCTAAAGGTTACCCTGTCCTTGTTGTAATAAAAGACGATGATAATATAGAAAAGGTGGAAGGGGGTCCATGGCCAGCTGATAATGTGTAAATTTCTACTTTATATCCACGTACTTTATTCTTGTGGCAAGTGTGAAAATATTTGTCAGTATTTAAAAATTAAAGATTTAAATCAATTATCAAAAATCTGTGACCGTTTTTCTGTTTACCACTCTCCTGGATATGCAAGCAGTAACTAATCTTAATTTGTTTCCGTTTTTTGTTTTATGAGGAAGAAAGGCCCAAATCTAATTGGACGACGATACTTGAAGGATGAAAACAAGCATAGACCTTTTCGTCGATTGGAATGCAGAAACCGAATTGAGATATTTGTATTGTGATGAATTTCAGTTAAAGTTCGAGATGTGTTCCTAAGATTTATTTTTCATGTAAAAATTTATGGATATTTTCTTTTCCTTATTTTTATTAACCACAGTGCTTGAATGTGATTAAAAATTACCGTGATTTAACTGAATAACGTTCTGTAGGAGCATTGGATAGATGAAAGGAATTTTTATCGGATAAATTGTATGCATTGCAAACTCGGTTGAAATAATGAAAATTTATTTTGAAAAATATATGGCAAATATATTCACCTGAAAATTATTCAACAGATAATTTTTGGAGATGTTGTTTTACATTGGTGATTACATAAAAACACGTGTATTATTCATGGAACTTTATGTTATAGATAATTGAAATATTTCTTTCAATAAAGAAATATGCCATATACATACCGGTAATATGCCAAATACATGAAATAAATTATAGTACTCAATAATCATATTTTTTAAAATCAACTTTATCTCGCACAGTTTTAAGGATGTGGGGTGGTGTTGGTGATGTTGGGGGGGGGGGGGGTGTTGCATGATGCAAACTTTGTAAATTCATATCATTTTTGTCTGAAATTGACTTTTGTTCTCTCTTCTAAATGTGAAAGGTGTACAAAGTAAAAGAAAATGACAATGATCAAGTGTACCTGAATCATTGCTATCCCGATGGCGACTCCAATAATGATTGACAGATTACTCTTCAGCTGGTCTTGCAAGGAATTCAGACAACCCTGTTTCAATGAAATAGAGTCAAAACCTAAATCTTATCTCATTCCTATTTGCTGAACTTGAAATATAAACATGTATTTTTTTTTTAAATCAAGGAAGTCTTTTTGTTTCTTTGTTTTTTTTACCTCATTGTACAAGTTTTGAGAGCCTGTAACATTATTAAACATTGCCTCTGTTCTACAGAGCTTTATATTGTTGTGACAGCAGGAATCCGGAACAGGCTGTTAAAAAAAAGTTGAGCAAATTAAATATGTTGTTATAATTTTGCATGTCCTCACAATATTTATCGAAGAAATCTTTGAATTTCACATAGACATCGCTGTAATTGTAGACACTGTAGACGGATGCAGACATGACGCTGATCTAAATAACACTCCGGATAGATGTCAAATTGCGGACGGCGACACTAATGTATCGTTCCTTCAATTTGATTCATGGCAACAGGGCATCGCTTTTGTACAAATGTTATACCTAATATAACCATGTATATGTAAATTTTGCTATTGCTTGTAAAATATTTTGGATTCACTACATTTAAAGCGTGGTAGAGGAATCTCAAAAAGATCCAAAATAGGACGTTAAGTTCACTCATTCTTTGCTGTTTCATTGTCGTGGACCTTTATTTTTTTGTTTTAAACAATTTAATCAAGTCGTTTGATTTTATCCACTAGTTATTAGAATTTATAAAATAAAGTTTAATTTTGATTCTGTTGCACCGAAGTGAACGCAATATCCACCTATTAATAAGCTTGCATTGAACTATACCCTATTATATACTTTTTATCTTATACTGTTTATTAATAACGTGAAGTGGTACTACGTTATCGAAACTGTTCAGATAAGTAGACTTAAATAATACATTTTTGACACGGTATTCAGTATAATTCAAAATTGTCTGCTTAACTGGACATTTAAACTATGAATGATTCGCATACACGATTCTTGAAGATTACACGTCAAATACGCTCAATTTCTTTGCAATCACAATAAATTGAAGAGTAATTTCAAAAGTTAGGATTCAGCAAAATAGTCAAAAAATTAAGCTCCATTTGTTTAATTTTTTATACCTGAAAATATATGCAAGAAATCAAACTTGATTGAAAACACTGTAAAGGAAAAAAATTACCACAGTGATATTAAAATGTGCAACATTCCGATAATCTGTATAGCTATCTACTCCACAGCAATGAATCTGAAAAAGAGAAGATAAAACATTTAATCAAGAAACTACAAGAATTACAAGATATCAAGCATTGTGAGATATTATACAAGCAGATTTTTTTTTCTGACTCCCAATTTTTTCTCAAATTGTTGCAACCGTTAATTCTGCAATAACAGTTTATATTTACATGTACGTCTGTATAAATAATCGTAAATATCATATCATAGGCGTCAGAATCGGGGGGCTTAACACCCCCCCCTAATTTTTTTCGCAATGATAGACATAATATAGGCATTGAAAAATTGAGGCTAAGCCAAGCTTCTTTTTTTTTTTGGTTGGTTTAGCCCCCCACTTTCAATTTGTTTCTGACGCCTATGCATGTTGTAAATTTTGAATTAACTATAGGTGGAGGTAAATGCAAAAATTATAATATGATGACTTTAATATTGTATTATTATTGATCTGTACGTTACTAATTGTATGTTTCATTGATGGAAGAGCCCACTGTCATACAGATGTCCTTGAAAAACCTGCTCTAACTAATGATTTGGTAAAGATATAAAGCAGAAATTATCCGTCAAACTGACCGTTTTCTGTACGTCATCCCAGGCCTGTCTTATTAGAGAACTGTTTTTGTACTGTGCCACGGATTTCTTAAGCGTTTTACTGAGCTCATCAGTTACCTAAAAAAATACATTCATGTATTACGAAATAAAAGAGAATACTCAATGATCCAATGTTACGTTTGTATGGAGATACTTGCTCTTAAATTCTGTGTGACAAAATACATGAATACATGGTATTATATTCAAATCACATATTTTAGGTAATAAATATTATATTTCAAGTCATATTTTTGGGTAATGTATATAACCAATATATATCTCTGGATTTAAACAACCGATTTTCTCTATATTTATAATATTTAATAATTTTTTTATAATTTCATTGTTTTGTGTGTTATTTTTTAATACCTTGGATTTGTATACCGCCGCCATTATTCCTCCAGAGAACTCACCAATGAAAATAATAACGAGGAAGAAGATATACTAAAATAAACCAAGTATAGGAATTATTTTGTTGTTGGGCTTTTTTTTTTATACATGAAATGTTTACTCGGTACTTTTGTTTGCAAACTGATTATTATATATAAAGTTTAAAAATAACACAATAAAATGATACCTATGCCAACTATGAAATATTGATTTGAATGCCATTTTCGTGTATAGTCACGCGTACAAATATATATATATATATATATATATATATATATATATATATATATATATATATATATATATATATATATATATATATATATATATACACACACACACAGAAACGCATGTTAATGTGACGTCACAATGACGCGATGGAAATGATTCTAAAAATGGTTTAATTTTGTTGGTTTTAAAGCTTTGAATATAAATATAAGGAATGTTTTTCAGTTTGTGAATGTTATGGGTGTAGTAAATCACAAATGCAGACTTTCAGGTTAGCATTTTTTTTCATAAAGCACTATCTTCAGAGCGCTTCATGAAAATGTCTACGTAACAAGCCCGTGTGATTTACACACTAATAACACTCAAAAAACTTTAAAAAAAAAAAAACAAAAACAAAAACAAAATATTCCATATATATTTATAAATTGTAAGGCAGGAAAACAAATCTCGCAGAATCTAAGATTGCAAAGTGATAAAAGTGTACATGGAAAACGGCACTTGTGAAAATGAAATTATCACGTGTCCTTTTATGAGGAGAAATACATGTTCTATTGTTAGAAATGAATTTAATAATGTACATGTAAAAATGAAAGTACTGATACAAACCAAACCAAGGGCCCATTTCCATTGTTTACATCCCCCAATACATCCTAGAAACCCCACTAAGAAAACGACACTCCCAAACCCGATAAGGACATAGGCTGTGGAGGAAATTGCTTGATCATGACTGTCAACTGAAATTAATTTCTGTATATTCACAGAGTCGGGGTCAACTTTTAGCCAGATTCCTGTGCCAAGGATGCCGCCTCCGGAAAGCTGGAATTTCAAAGAATTATGATGAGAACAACTGTTGTCTATAAAATTAGTTACATGAATATATAATGCATATATGTACTATTTATTTTTATACATTATTACATTTAGATTTTTCTTTGTAGCGATGTAGCTAACAAAAATGCTAATAAAAAGGCAACAAATATAACAGGAAAAAATGAACTTTAGACAATTTTATAAAATGTTTCCTCACCACAAAAATTATGTTGAAAACCACAAGAATAAATCTGGCAAACCCCGTACAACACCCGTCTCCCATGTTGCTTTTTCTTTAACTGCCAAGTAACGAGAAAATTACGATTAAAGAGTTTTAAATTATATACCTCAGAGTCAGAAAGAGAGAGGTTAGAATCAAATGTAAAAAATTTCCAAACCTTTTTTATTTATTTAATATTTCAAGTGCTTTCCTTCTAATAAAAAAAATCCTTTGTCGATGACACTAGCTATAAAAAGGATGTTCAACAAAATTCGATCTTCACATCTACTCTTACATACCTCTTGCTACCGCGCGTCCTCTCGTGCATTCACTCTCCAAAAGGAAGTGCGCGATATACTGATTTACTTTTGTGAACTTTGATCAATAGGGAAGATCATGTAACATAAGATATTCTTACGCTGTTTCAGTCTTAATTCCTTTTTTTTTAAATATCATATCAATTCATAGGTTAAAAATCTACAAAAAAAAAAAAAAAAAAGAGGAAGAAGAATATTGCCAATGCATACATAAATATATAAAATGGACTTACCTTCTTTATATATCGAGGTGGAGACTGGACTCTTTAAAGGGTTGTGATAACAAAAGGCCAAAGGATATGAAATTTAAGTTTAAATTCTATGATATTTCTTTTAAAAATGTAATGATACTGCACACTTTCTCCAGCACAAACACATAAAACTCCGCAAAATGCTCCAAGTATAAATTGTAATAATATTGATAACTACGGTAATATGAACGTAAAATCTCGTGATAATTACACTTGAAATATATATTAATGTTCATGTGACCTTTTGGTCAGTATATAGTATATGCAAGAGAAACATTTGAATCTGTATTATCAGTGATGAAAGATAAACACGATCGTCTGGTTATGTATGAATCAATTGTTATTAACATAAGGCTATTTAACTGATAAAAAGTGTAACAAACTATTATCTACGTGTGATACATTTTGTCTGAAAGCAAGATGTTGAGGACCACGCACTTTCCATAATGCACTTGAAAATATACTAAGGGAAGGACAGATTATTAGAGGACATGCATTTTTACAATATGTATCCTTCACTTTCTCACCCCAACCATATTAAACATGCGTTTTGTGTCATATTTTCATTTTAAAGTGCTAAAATGTTTGAACTTTCTAGTCTTTGTCTGTACGTATACTAGATTATTATAATTATTCCAGATATATTGTCATTTCAAATAATGAGTATACGACACTTATAATTGTCGTCTACTCATCCGATATGAATTTTATATTAAATAATTCTAGTAAACGACAATATTGAGTACAACAAATTAAAAAACTTCTAACACCCCCCCCCCCAAAAAAAAAAAATTAGGTCTCCCTCTTAAATGCAAATTTATATCCAGAGCATTGAAATAGAAACTGTCATCTTGAATATCCGGGGGTTTCAAGGGTTGAATCCCCACTGTCCCTTGGAATTCATGCAGTCTTAATACCGCTGATAACGTTGTCTCCTGAATCATTTCAATTAAGTCTGCCTCACTCCTTCCTAGTAAAAGATGCTAGATCCACCCCTCACCAAATAAAGACCTTAGAACGCCTATCAAAAGACGCTATATATCGCAAAAAGTCGTTATTATCCCTTTCAAAAAGTACATTAATATCATAGGTTCAAAGAGTAATCATGCGAACTAATGTAACGCAAATCCAATGGCACAACAGCGAGAAAAAGTTATTGTGATTTTCAAAAGTTTCCTCGTCGTATATTAAATAAATATGCCCTTAGCATGCTTAGAAAGGCATGATTACGCCTCTGAATATTATGTTACTGTGCATGTTGAAAGACATAATACCGCCCTTTTTCGTAACATTAGTTGAAAACATATTCATATTTGATTGAAAATAAATAGTAATTATTACAAACATACAGTGTAGGAACAATCTGATTTAAGGATTCACAGGCCTGTATCAATGGTTTCAAAAGTGAAGGGGGGGGGGGCTAATTCCAAAAGAAAAAAAATCCTGGAATTTGTCAGTGCTCGACCTTACTGCAACAAAAAGGTTGGGAACCAACCAGCAACCAGCATACAAAATATAAAGGAAAATTTACTAAAGCAAAATACTATACTCGGAAAAAAGTGGTCAAATATGTGGCTATTTAGATTTAATCCATCAAAAACAAAGGTTGTATTTTTCAGTAAGAACGACATTTCTATTATGCCAGAGTTATTTTTTAAAGGTGACAGACTGGAGTATGTTCCAGTTCATCGTCATCTGGGTATATCATTCTCACAAAACCTTAGTTGGTCTGAATACATTGCTGGTGACGTAAGCAGTGCCTATAAAAAACTTGGCCTTTTGAAAAAGCTTAAGTTCAAAATCTGTTGGAAAAAAACTATCAAAAATTGTATACATGTATTACGATTATCAGACCTATGCTTGAATATGCTTCCATTGTTTGGGATGGCAGCTCTTTAAACAAAGATTCTGAAAAGCTTGAAAAAGTACAACTAGCTGCCGCTAGAATTGTAGCAGGACTTCTATTTTTGTTTCTAGAGAAGCTCTATATTCTGAAACAGGATGGGAAACATTAAAAGCCAGGCGATATATTGCAAAAATGACCTATGTTCAAAATTCACACGGGAAGAGTACCTGAATATTTGCACAATAGTGTCCCCAATAAACGCGAACATGTATCCAAATACAATGCTCGTAATAAAGAAGATTACATTGTTCCAAGATGCAGGTCAGAATTATTTAGAAATTCCTTCGTACCCGATGCTATAAAACAATGGAATTTACTAAAAATAGAGGTTAGGGAAGCCTTCTCAATTAATTTATTCCAAAAAAAAACTTGGTAGGAAAACTTAAAAAAACCCCATCATACTTTTCTTTTGGATGATTGATTGGTTGTATGTTGTTTTACGTCCCATTCGAGAATTTTTCACTCATATAGAGACGTCACCATATACGGGTGAAGGGCTTCAAATTTTGACCTTTACTCGGCACTTACGGCCATTGAGCAGTGAGGGATCTTATCGTGAAAACGCCTGCCGTGACACGGGACCTCGTTTTTTTAAAAAAGGACTCATCCGATTAAGGACCTGAAACTTTCACTTCAAAGTGCCGAGAGCATGGCGAAGGAACAGTTGCTACCCATTTTTTTTATCGACTTAGGTCAGTCGCGGCCGAAATTCGAACTCACGAACTTCCGAACACGGAGCGTTTTTCTTTTGGAAAGCGATATACATACCAATATATCATTCATACTAAGCTAGAACATTATTGTATACTAAACTATGTTTATATAAACGAAATATTATTAGTAATAGTTAGTGTTGTACCGATAATCAGAAAACATCGATTGTCGACGAAAAAATGCTACCGATTCGGATGATTGATTATGATTTTTCATAATCGATCATCGGAAACATACTTTTAATACAATACATTCTGGAATTATCAATTTCTGGTTTAAAATTTTCTTCTTAATGAAAGAAAATGGCATCTGCATCTAATACTAGCACGAAGTAGAGGTTATTAAGAACCGAAATGTGCATATATATATAGGAAGTGTAAAAGAAGCAAAGCAACAAAGAAAATAATATATTATATATTTTATAAATTCATGTTAAAGAAATAATATGAAATAATTGTAATAGTCTGCTTTTTATATACAAAACTATGACATTCGATTATAATCAGTAAAATCGCATCAGAAGCAGTAACCGATTCCAACCGATGATCGATTATGAAAATTAACTGATCATGTCCCATCACTAGTAATAGTCCTTCATGTTCATGCGGAAAATGCGAAGATATGTACCTTTTTTTTAATGCAAAAATTATTCCAATGCTAGAAATACTCTTTTCAATCGCTTGTTCATGCTTGAATTGGTCTCTATTGGATAAAACCTATTACTATATAGTGATGAAAATTTGCCTTTACTGATATATACATGCACCAGTATTTTTGCTGCTGTTTATAAATTTATTGACAAAACATGTAGATTTTCTTAGTTCATATGTTAAATTTTATTTGTATCATTTGTATTATTTTTCTTTAATTTGCGTGACATATTGTATTATATAAGGAGAGGAACTAGTAAGTTATTTTAGAACTTGTTTCCAATCCTTTTGATTCAAGCAATAAAATATGTTCAAAACAAGAAAAAAGTGGAGGGGGAGCTTTCCCCCCACCCCCACCCCCACCCCCCGAAAACAAGTTTTAGAACTTTATTAATCCCACTCCTTAATATTTTATATTGTTTCTTTTTTTTGGGGGGGGGGGGCTAAATAGAAGTATATCGACAATAATTTGTCGATTTTTTTCTTCTGGTAGCAACACTGTATCTGCTGCTTTCCTTGTCTAAATCGAGTGTGAGTCTGAGTCTTGATCTCGATCCATTTTTCTATCTCGAAAGACACCTTTACAAAAACAAAAACAAGACTTTCAAGCGATTTACTAAATTAGTATTGTACAGATACCCCTTAAATCATTTTCTGAGAATGCTTGCAGAATGTCATTCACCTGTTCACTTTGGACATTCAGAGAATGTTAATCCATTGTACAAGTCAAATAATGGATCCGCTCCTCCATCTAACATGCGCGAAATGATGCGCAGTGTTATCGCAAATGGAAACAAATATGGCTGCGCCCATGATATTCTTTCAAAGATGAACATTTCTACCCATGTTTGCAGATATTCAAATCTCTCTTGATTATTTTCTTGTCAACATTTACATTTACTTCATATATAGGGCTGCAAATTAAAGTTTTTGCAAGTAAGTATCGTATGTAACGAAATTCAATGAAATGGGCGTTTTGTTTCGGAAAGGAAAAAAAAAGTTAACAGCACCAAAGATAAGAAGTAAGATGAGTCGACTACTATTGTGTGAATATTCCATGACTGGAAAGGATAAACAAACTTAAAAAAACCTTGAATGACAAAAGTTTTTGATGATGTGCTACAACTATCAATTACAGGTGCTTGAGGACAGACACCCCCCCCCCCGCCCTCCGGGGGGGGGGGGAATTTTCCTGGAAAACTCTATCCCCGGGGCTACTGATCAGTAAAAAAATTACAACCCCAAACTTCAAAGTAACTAGCCCAATAATTAGCTATGCAAAAAGAAAACATAAAACAAGCCAGAGACATATGTCTCTGCTCAAGCCTGACAAGTAAAAGTTTCGAACGTTTTCAGCCTTTGGTAACAGAAAGTTCAAATTAAATTAGTTCTGATTCAAAAACAAAAACAAATAAACAACCAAAAAACTGATGGTATTTTTTTCTGGTTTGCTAGTTTGAGGGAGTATAGTTACATTTAAATAAGCTAGCTTGAGTATTAAAATGTCTAGCCCTGGACATTGGGCTACCGTATATTTCAACCCCTACTATTAATTAGAAAAAATTACCTAACTAAAAGAAACATTTTATAAAGATTTCCATCCCACTGTATAAATATACAAGGTTGCCAACTTTTTTTGCAAGTCAAGAGGCACTGCCAAGGAATTTTTGTTTAATTGTCTCTTGAAAGTTTACCAAGCCCTAAAATCAACAATTCATATCATGGGTTTGATATTTATTTCGTTAATAATTGCCAATATTTATAAATGTTTAGACATAAATTTCTGAGTCTTCAACACTCATAAAGGCAAATTTTTCAAAGGATGTTAACATATTTGAACTGCAGATCCAAGCTGAATCAACATAAGTGATGAGGAGATGACTTTCTACCCAAATGCACAACCTCTGCACTCGGCAGAAAGTCTAAAACAGTAAAAACACTGTTTTAGAATAAGCATTTGAAGAAATTGATAAATATGCACTTTAAAAATGCATTTCAATAGTATTAGAAGCATAGAGTTCAAAAGCACTGATGTAAATTATATTCATAAATAAAAAAAATTCCTTCTCTTTATAGAGGACTTACTGCATGATATTTATATTTTGCCTTTTTTGTAAGTAGTGGGGCCATTGTATAGCTTCTGCATTTAATTAATAATTATTTTCTCAATGCTTAAGAAAATGGTGCAGGTTTATTGTTTTTTCAAATTGTTTATAACAAATCTTTCACAGAGCATCAATATGGCCTCCATTTTGGATCAGTATGAAGAGGAATCAGCGAGGGTGACGAGTATGTCCTCCGTAACTCCAATGCAGGTCCCTGTAAGTAAGATCTTGTGAATTTAGCAAACACTGAATACTGTAAAACCTTTTTTATTCACGAGAACTTTATTTTCATGTAATTATTTGAGACAGTCTGCTCGCGCAAAATTTCATTTTTAAGCATGTATTATGTACAACAATATCCAGAAAATTTTGTCTCGGAAATTCCAAATTCCTCGGAAAATAAGGTGTTGCAAAAATTTGGTGATTTACAGTATGTGTATGCACGACCATCATTAATGTCCATTACAAATGCTTCAGACCAGCTAAAGATCTCCAGCTTCTTTGTCATCGGAGATGAATTATAATAAATTGTTATAATGTGAATCTTAAATACAAAGCAGAATAATTTATGAATGAATTAATCATTTTTTACAAATTCAGTTGAAAACAGTGATTAAAATACTTAATTTTTACAATATTTCAGATTGGACCGGGATATATTGATGCTAGGACAGATTTAGACATTCCAATATTCAGTAAAAAGAAAATAAATTTTAAGTAAGTGCATGTATATATTTACATCCAAGGGTATTAAGATATTAAAAAATAATTGCTTTTATCACCACAGATGGAACTCCTGGTTCTATAGTGTTGAACATATACAATAAAAACATGCTTATAACAAAATGCCAGCGATGGACAATTTTGCACCATTTGTTATATCTGTTAAGTTTACAATATTTTAAAGCCACAGGGAATGAAAATCACAAAATGTCAATTCATTATAAGCCTGTTTGTTTTACTGTATCTCTTATTAGTCTTTATTTGCTGGTACATGTAGTCATAAAGAATTCTAAAAAATGTTAAGTATGATTAGTTGCAAACCATGGTTTTTATGTCTCCTAAGTGGGCAAGTACTATGACTTCCAACCTCTTAGTTAGCACTATATCACTGTTGATATTTCACAAACTTTTTCCTCTGATTTTCACTATTCTTTCTTGTAAAGGGACTTTGAGTTCTAACATAATTGTCTGATTGGTTCTCTGTAACCACAGTGCAATGACTGATCTAAGCTCTGAAGTTGTTATTTCTACTGGGAAAGACATGTTTTGACAGATATTTGCTATTATCTACTAGTCTGCTGTTTTTGCCATATCATTTCCTTCATTTCGAACCACTTCCTTTTCACCAGCTGTAGGAAAAACTCATCTTTTTATTGATCTTTTTCTTCCTTTTCCAAACTACATTTATTTTTGGCCTATTGTTTCAGAACTACACACAGGATGAAAGTTTAAAAAAGAATTTGTAACAATAGGAATTATCCACATTGTAGTGCATTGAGTATTGCATCTACATTTGTTTTTTTTTTTCACTAAGAAGGACAAAAAAGGGAATGTCAAAATAAAATTTCTCATTTGAATGGCACATACTTCATATACATGTACATGTGTAAGTTTAGAGATATTAGGATAGGCACCTGAATTTTAATCAGTAAGAAGCAAATAAAGCCCTAATTTAAAAAAAAATCCAAACCCTCTATTTATAAATAGAGGGGAAGGATTTTTTTGGTCTAGGGTTTATTTGCTACTTACTGATATAATTGTGTACAACATACTAAAATTTCATAATGTTTTATCATGTTTATGGAATAGCGACAATGCTGGTTTAGATGCAGTGGTAGAGTACATGTAACTCTTAAAAAGAGCCCTTGCTAAAAGTTCAGAGTAACAAAAAAGTTATATATTTCCTGTCTTTGAAGTAAATTGAAGATTTTGAAAAGAGCTTTAAAAATATTTTTCTTATCTTGATCTTAGGCCATCTGACCCCATTACACATTTGGCAGTTTCTAATAATTTTCTGGTGATGGCCATGAAAAATAACCTTCTGTTAAGACTGGACCTGGAACACCCAGACCAACAGGAGGGTGAGCTATTTATACTGACCAATGGGAAGAGCTGAAACAATTGAATATATACCTTTACATGTACATATTTGCTTATTGTTAATCATCACTAGTGTTTCATTTCCATCAATCATTTTTAAAAAAAAATCTAGCAAAGAAAATACATTTCTAAAAACATATTTATCATATATTTTTAAAGATATGCCGGTAATCTTTGCAAATGGTGTTTTCTTTTTGGGGGGATGGAAGGATAATTTTTCTTCTTAATACATTATTTTCAGAGATTGAATTACCTAAGCCTACAGAAGACAAATTATACAGGCTGTTTCTGGACCCTACAGGAAAGCACTTAATTATTTGCATGGAATCTACAGAAAACTTGTATTTGTCCAGGAATTCAAGAAAACCTAGATCTATAGGCAAACTAAAGGTTAGAAACTTTTATTTAGATCTCTAGACAAATTGATGATTGGATCTAAAGGCAAAGTTCAAAATCTTTAACTTACATAAGTAAGCAAAATGAAAGAAATTTTTTTCTGAGCCAAAGGCTCACATTAGATTCTTTGGTTAAAGTTTGTGCAGCATCTATATATTTATCTGCATCTATCTGCCTGCCTGTTTTCAAAACTTTAATATTTTCTCCAGAAACACTGCTAGTTTCAACCAAACTTGCCATAAAACATCCTTGTGTAAGTGGAATTCAGTTCTGTTTAACTGAAGGGCCACATCTGATATGAAGGGAAGAAAATTAATAAATGGCAAAAATTAGTCACAATTGTTTGAACCATGGACCCAGGGGTCAGTGTACTGCCTTGTTAGGGATTGAAAGTTGAACTTAAGAATATCTAGAAAAATTCCAAGCCAAGGTTACAGACTTGGATAAAGATTGTTTCATTTGAATGGATTTTGAATAACTGACAAGACTGTCTAAATTTTAGGGTCATCTGATAAACACTGTAGCCTGGAACCTACAGAACACAAATGAAAATACAACAGGAGCAATCCTACTGGGAACCAGTAGAGGTTTGTTATCATATAGAAAAGACTTAGAAGATGTCTGTAATAGGTGCAAGTCTAACAAGTTTATAAAATTATATATATATATATACTTAAATGTAATTCTGTAAATGCGAAACTGAAAAAAAATGTGTTTCAAGTTCATATGCAACTTTTCTCTACAACCAGAATGGGTACAAAACAGTAGAGCTACAGTGTCATCAGAGACTTTTTGGTAATACCTGTATTTATCACTGCATGTACATTGTATTTATAGGCCTCATATTTGAGACAGAACTGACAGATAGTGGAGACAGTAGGTTTTTCCAGGGCAGTCTAGATCAGTACCTGAAGCAGGTGAGACAACATGATGATCAGGTCTTTAAAAATGTTTTTTACACATTTTCCATTGTTCTATACTGTTGAAAAAATGATATTATTCAATGAAATACTGAAGTATGTGGTACTTTCAAAGTTCAAACTGCTGGTTAAATCGGATGAGGTGAGGTACCAAAGTATTTATTGTAGCTCATTTGTTTGAATTTCATTAGTTTGCTGTACATGAACTAAGCTCTGTAGAGAAAGTGCAGACTTTTCTCCTTATTTGGAATGGGTGTCAACCATTTCATTCAATTTTAATCATTACATTTTTCACATTTTTACATGAGTAATTAATGGAAATTGAATTCCTTTCCTTTCTTTTTTTTTTTTTTTTTTTGGATGTGATATTAAGTTGATTATGTGCTGTGAACTCTGTTGTGCAGATATTTTTTATACAAGTACATGGATTAACTTTTTCTGCCTTAATGTTTTTATTTACGTAGTTCTGTTTGAATAGCCAAATCATTTAGTTATAACATATGTTGTAATAGTAACCAGACAAGATGGGGTCCACTGAAATTGCTCAACATCCCTTCTTATATCAGATCAAATTTTGACTTTAAAAAGGCCAGTTAGTAAAACTTTTTAAGTTTAAATTGCAGAGGTCAGTTAGCAATTTTCTGGAACAGAAATTAACATTTGCAACCAGTACCTGTATTTCATTATGCAAATATATCAAAGTTACGTGATATTTAGTGCACAGTTTAAGTTTAAATACAATTCTTTCATCCATGTACACCTGTTGTAAAGTACATTAATTTTTGCCAGTTCTGGTTATATTCATGATCAATAAATGATTTTTCAAAGAAATTAAGAGATGTTCCAGGCACTGAGAAAATTATTCTAGATTATTAGACTTTTTAATCTTCTTCATAGCTTTTCAACTTGGCCAAAGACAAGATAGTCCCAATTACTGGACTGGAGTTTGACAGAATGCCATCAGACTCCATGACAGAGTACAAATACTACATTCTGGCCACTACACCAGGGTATGTACTGCAGTATGATATACAAAGATTATCATTACAGACAATTTATGTAAGGAAAATAAATATACTGTACTTTATAAATGTTTTGAGTAGGGATGTCAACGAATATTCGAGTACTCGACTATCGTTCAATCATAACGACTATCGACTAAATGTTTTTTAGTTGGTTATTCGTTAAAAATTTGTTACTTAATAGTAATCTTAATTTCAAGGTTAAAAAATCGGATCTGCTCAGTTCATTTATTAACGTATCAGTGTTCAGTGTTCTCGTGAGTAAAACTCAGGGAAAGGCTTAACCGGTCTTCGTTAATTTTTTTGTTCGGCAAACATGCATTGGCATACTTTAAAAGATGTCAGATCCAAATTGTAAAGTTTCAATTCAACCTGTAATTCCTTAAGATCTCGTATAATGCAACTATCAATTGATGAAGAATAATTAAACAGCTGTTACATATTTGAAAATACATGTAAATTGGGGGACAGATATGAGTGTAATTTAAATGTGTTTCTTTCTGATATTAATATCAATCATTTTAAAATTGTATTCATTGTTTGCAAAAAATCTCATAATTAGAATTTATCGCAAGCTCTTTGTTTTTATAAGAGTTATACTTTAATTGTTTAACAAACACGGGTCACTGACAAAACACATTCAAATGGCTTCAGGTAAGAAATCAATAACGGGTACATGTACTAGCAGCATGAAAAGAAAGGATAAATGTGAGCGTTTGATATTCTGTATATAGATAAAATGTGCATTAAATATTATATTTGAAATCAAATACATTGGATTCATTTATTTATTTATTACAACGTAAATGTTAACGATTCAATAATTCGTTGTATAATGGTGATCGCATAGATTAAATATTGTACATGCTAGCAGTCTGTTAAAGACAAATAGGAAAAATGACATGAAAAATTAATTTAAATTTCAACGAGTACTCAACTATCTTTCGATTAAAGCCTCCGACTATTCGACTAAGCTGTCCGAGTAAAATTGACATCCATAGTTTTGAGCAATACAGGTTTAGCCAAAATTTTGAGTTGAGCATGAAATCCTCTTTACAATTGTGTTTACCAATGTTTGTTGTAATTCTAAGGGTTTATTTATTTTTTTTTTTTGCAAGCATGGACAGTAAAGTCTTATTGATCTATTAACAGCATCTTTTCTGTTTTGTAACCTGAATTTGACCCAACATTAATGTATTGTTCCGTGTTGTAGGAGGTTGTACCAGTTTGTGGGAAATGTGCCCAAGTCTACGGATCCCCCATTGTTTCAGCATCTGTTTATGCAGTATGAAAGTGGGACAGGTAAATAACAAAGACACAAAACAGCAAATAATGACCACAACAATAACAGTGAATTCAACATCACACAAAGTCCAACAAACCACATACCTGGACATTGTAACAAGAAACAGTGACTTTATAGCAGCAAACACTAACTACATGTACAATGGTACAACAACCAAACACATTACTACATCTATGAAAATGATTTTCAATGACAGGAATGCTGTGACTACAATAAAACAATGACTGCAGCAAGAGACTGTGGTAACATAATGACTAAACCAGCACTCACTCACCACAACAGCTCATAATAATATACAAGTACAAGACAATAATACTGAATACAATTTCACTGGAATATAGTAAGTTAAAAAAGTATGCATGTATCATGCATTTATCGATGCCTTTGTGCGTAGCCTGTGTCTTGGGTTATATATATATGTAGAGAATCAGGTATAGGGTTGATTTTGGGAATGTGTACCAACATGTGCTCCTGAAAATCTCAAAATTCAAGTTAAAATTAGGAAACTTGGTTCACTTAATTTCTCTTTTAATTTCTTCATATTTAGAATTAGAATTTCTTTGATTTCTTTCCAAATAAAATGTGTATAGATCTTGAAATTCAAAACTTGGTAACTTCAGAACAATTTCTGGAGCTTCCTGGGGAATTTGGTTACAGTGAATTGAGAATGTTCCGGCCACGCTATGCCAACAGTGTCAAAAGTTTTGCTTGGATGACTGGTAAGGAGAAATACAATTTCCAGTTAATGTTGTAGTTTTTATTCACCAAAGATTCATATACTGTAAACCAACTATTTTTTGCGTCATCTTTTTTTTTGCGATTTGTCAGTTTGAAATCAATCTGCAACAATTAATTTTCAGGATTGAGGAAACATTCTCTACGAATACAAAGCAAAATAAATGAATAATATTCGCGAGGTAAAGTAGGTCGTGAAAATCGCGGATATTTCTCGCAAGCGAATAAAAGTTGGTTTACAGTATATGTATTTTACTGTCACACATTCTTCTTAACCAGGTCCTGGTGTGTACTATGGGGAGATTGACGTGTCAGGGGCTGCTGGACCTCAGTCCGTTACTATCAACACAAAACTCATCAGGTCTGTCATTTCTCCTCTACTGCTGAATTTAATGCATTTAGTGATGTTTTGTTATGTCATCATGTACATGTAGATACATGTACTAGTACATGTACATAGTATCAATTCTACTTACATCCATATGTACATGTAGATGTCAGTAATACTTTTTGATTTGAATACTTGTACATTTAAAGTTATCTCTGCCCTATTTTGATATCTGTAGGTATTCTCTTTATTACTGTAGATGCTGGTAGATATTATCCTCTCTATTTCTGTAGATATCCTAGAAATGGTAATGAGAGAGCTCAGAGTGCTATCTCTATGGTGATGTTTTGGTTATGTCTATCTTGTTTATTCCTGTAGATATCCTAGAGATAAGAAAGCACAGAATCCTATCTCTGTGGTGATGATATTGGTTATATCTGTAGATATCCTCTTTGTTACTGTAGATATCCAAGAGATGGAGATGAGAGAGCTCAGAATCCTATCTCTATGGTGATGACAGAGTTCCATGTCCTTCTTCTCTTCTCTGAAAGGTAAGACAGAGCTATGGGGAAAAAAAAAGACCCTGAGCCAAACATCATTCCAATCAAAGTGGCTGGAACTTGTTGGCGGAACCAAGCATGTATACAGTATAACACACGTAAAATGAATTCAAATAGCAGAGGCTTTTAATATGTTAAGCAGCCTATTAGATTACTGAGACAGTGCACATTGAAGATTTCTTCAATGTCTCTTTAGATAACATATACCCAGTATGTTAGAAAAGATTATTCTTAAAATATCATTTCTATTTCATTCAGTAATTCTGTTGAGATTGTCCTGATTAACTTTTATGATAGCAATGCCAATGTGTTCACCAAATATCTTTTCTCTATATTTTCAGATTAAAAGTGATGTGCATTTTAAATGAACAGCTGATAATTGAGGATGTATTTCCTGATGTAAGTTTCCTTTTTAGAAGTCAAAATTGATTCCTTCACATTGAACAAACTTGTTTAATACTTGATATTGACAAAAGGTATACAATGTTGGATTTTTTTTTGTTGACAGCGATTTGGCAGACTCCTTGGAATATGTTCTGACCCAGTGAAGGGCACCATTTGGGCTTTCACAGAGCAGAATATCTTCAAATACAAAGTCACAAGAGAATCTAGGTAAGACGATCAATTTATTTTTACAAAAGAAACTATTGAGATCTGTATTTTTCAGTCACTTAATCTGCTTAACACATATGAGTATGTTAAAATGACCAATACAATGACAGTGTATTTACATGTACATGCTTTTGCTGCTGCAGAGATGTTTGGCAAATGTACTTGGACAAGAAGGAATTTGAACTAGCGAAAGAATACTGCAGAGTAAATTTCCTTTTATTTCCTATTATTGAAAATTATTGTAAATGTCACTGTTCTTGAATTTTGTAGTTTTCATACCATTATCATTTTAATTCACTGTTTTGCCATGGAGAAATTGAATTGTGCTTGTTTGAAATGGAATTTTAATTTGGAGTAGTGAATGATTTGTTTAAATTAAGAACTTGAGAATGGAATTTTTTTAACCTGAGAATTTTTTTCATGAAACAGGACAATGCTGCTCATCTTGACAGAGTGTTGACCAAACAGGCTGAATATCTCTTTGAAAAGGGAGCGTAAGTTACAAATAGTAAAACTATTTAAAAATAACCCAATTGTCATCTCTCTCTTTCTCCCTCCCTGTCTGTCTCTCTCTCTCTCTTGCTCTCCATCTCTCTTAGAATAACATTTTGTTTTTTTAGTTACCAAGAAAGTGCCATGATGTATGCACAGACACAAAATTCTTTTGAGGAAATTGCATTGAAATTTATTAAACTGGACAGAAAAGATGCATTAAAGTCATTTATACAAAAGAAACTTTCATCTCTTAGACCACAGGTACCTAGTATATTCAAATAAGTATTTAAAATGAATATTCCTTAAGATCTTTTAATCAAGGGTATAACCAGAAAAATGATCCTTCTTAAATTTATAGATACAAGCATCCAAATAAATTAACCCATTGTAATAGGGATCTGCAGTCTTTTGACATAGAGGAACCTCACAAACCAATCCTTTAAGCCTTTGTAAATGATTCTTTTCTAGGACAAGACTCAGATAACAATGTTGGTAACTTGGTTAATAGAGATTTTCCTGAACCATTTGGGAGAGATGAAAGAGCAAGGACAGGATGAATCCAAAGAGTATCAAAAGACTCAAGAGGAGTTCCGAATGTTCCTGGCTGAGCCAAAAAACAAGGTACACTAAAGTCTGCAAGTTTATAAGGATTTTAAAATCTATTTTGAAAACATTTTTATGTCCCTTTCTGTTGCCATGCAAACAGTTTGATGGGGAGTGAATTGAAATCATAATTGGCACAGAGATAACTTTGACCAGAAGATGTGTCTAGGCCAGGCTCCGGGGCCATAAAATTTAGATAAGCTCACTTTTGGTCTCAGTTTCCCTTTTACAAAAGGAATATATAGTGGAAAAGTGAGACTGAGATCAAAAGTGAGCTTATGTTAGTTGTATGACCCTGGTTCCTGACCTTGAAGCAAGGTTATATAGGCAAAGTAGGGTCATAGGGCATCAAATGGTAAAATTCTTGTCCAGACCCTGATTTGTAATGGAGGAACATTAGAGATTATTTCTTGGTGCAAAGGTTGTTTTTGACCAGAGGTTGTGTCATGACCCTGGACCAAGGCCATACAACATAAGTTCACAGGGTTAGGAAGTGTAAAATTCTTGCCTAGACCATAATTTATCATTGAATTGAAAAACATTGATACTAAGATTTAGTACAAGGGTTGCTTATGATCAGGGTGTATTTTTTGGCTTTAAATAGTTGTCTGCATAGTAAAATTCATGTCTTAGACCATAAATCTGTAATGCAGGATAAATAAGTACTCATAGTGGCTTATTTACTAGTATTGATCATGTACAAGAGTCAAAAGTTTTTGGAAATAGCCATGGTATACAGAAATTGCAGAAACTTTACTTCAAACAAAGATTTCTTATAACCACAGGATGTGTCATGATTTTATGCAAAAAACACCAGAAAAAAATTCAAGACTGCAGAAAACTATACAGTTCTTTCAATATGCTCTCTTGTGCCTTAAGGGAAGCTGCAGGTATATGTATTAGTCCTGTTAAGACAGATATGATTTATCTCTTTATTCAGAGGATTCTGGGGAATGGATATCAAAGGTTTTCATTAACTTCCTGATATTCTTGTGAATTTTTGTTTTGGATGTCTTTTGGATAACTTCTAAATCAAATAACACAAACATTTTTCACTTAATTGTTTTTCCTACGTATTTGACTTTTTCTTAAATGACAGGAATGTGTCAGTAACAATCGAGGTGTGGTGTATGACTTGATAGCCAGTCACGGAGATGTGGAGGACATGGTCTTCTTTGCTGTATTAATGCAAGGTCAGTTTTTATTAGAAGGTCAGATCTGTTTACAAGGTCAGATCTGTTCACAAGGTCAGATCTGTTTACAAGTCAGATCTGTTCACAAGGTCAGATCTGTACTAATGCAAGGTTAAATTTCTTTAAATATAATATCAGAACTGTTAAAGAGTAAGGTCAGTTCTCAAGTGTTTGAAAACAAGTCAGATTTGTGCTCATCTCTGTTATGTGCATGACACTGGGAGGAGAAATGGTATAACATTGTGTTGATTCTTGGAAAATAGAATATATGTAGAATATATGACTCTTGAAAATTGTTTCAGTGTTATAAAGTGGATATTCATGTACATTTACATATGATTTCATGAATATTTTTGTTTTTGATGTAGATTTTGAGAAAGTAATCACCCACCACATTCAGCATGACAACTACAAAGGAGCTCTGACACAGCTTATGAAACAGGTAGGTCTATGAGATTACAGGTAGATCAGTGAGATTACAGGTAGGTCTGTGAGATAACAGGTTGGTCTGTGAGATACAGGTCGGTCTGTGAGATTACAGGTCAGTCTGTGAGATTACAGGTAGGTCTGTGAGATAACAGGTCGGTCTGTGAGATTACAGGTAGGTCTGTGAGATTACAGGTTGGTCTGTGAGATTACAGGTAGGTCTGTGAGATTACAGGTTGGTCTGTGAGATTACAGGTCAGTCTGTGAGATTACAGGTAGGTCTGTGAGATTACAGATAGGTCTGTGAGATTACAGGTAGGCCAGTGAGATTACAAATGGATCACTGAAATTATAGGTAGGTCAGTGAAATAACAGAATAGGTTGGTAAGATAACAGATGGATCAGTGAAGTTATAGGTAGATAAGTGAGATTACAGGGGTCAGTGAAATTACAGCTAGATCATTGAGATTACAGGTAAGTTTTTGAGATTCTGGTGGGCTAGTGACATAACAGATTGTGAGATTATTTGTTAGTTACTGTGATAACAGATTTTCAGTGAGTTTACAAGTACAGGTATGTTTCTGAATGTAGACATAATTCATTGAAATAACTAGTTTACTGAAATTACATGGGTAAGTTACATATATTACAAGTGGGGCTCCGAGAATACAGAAGTTACTGAAATTACAGGATGTAATAAATTAAGTACATGTATGCATGTAGGTTCATGAAATTACATGCAGGAAACTGAGATTACAAGTAGTCACTGAAATTATTTCTGGGTTACTGAGAACACAATTAGTTCATTAAAATTAATGGTAAGTTATTGCTGTTACAGGTACAATTACACTGTAAATTACTGAGATAACAGGTAGCCATTGAGTTAAAAGTTTGGATAAAATTCTTGATCATACCTGTTGGGCATTATGCTGTCAAGCCTTTCAGTAATGCAAATGTTATTATGAATGACTGCTAGTAACTCCTTTATTAGCATTTTCAATTTCTTGGCTAGAATAAGGCTACAGAAGAATTAAGCAGGTATATATATATGGTAAAATGTGTATGGATGTATTGATCATTTCAAATACCTTTGTTCCATGCTTATAGAGTGACACTGAGTTGATCTACAAGTTCTCTCCCCTATTGATGCAGTACATTCCTAAGGAGACTGTTAGTCTGTGGATCAGTCGGAAAAATTCACTGGAACCAATGAAACTCATCCCAGCCCTGGTCCAGTATGACCACAACAAATACAGGGAGCAGGTCAGTATGACCACAACAAATACAGGGAGCAGGTCAGTATGATCACAACAAATACATAGAACAGGTCAGTATGACCACAACAAATACAGGGAACAGGTCTGTATGATCACATCAAATTCAGGGAGCAGGTCAGTATGACCACAACAAATACAGGGAACAGGTCAGTATGATCACATCAAATACAGGGAGCAGGTCAGTATGACCACAACAATACAGGGAACAGGTCAGTATGACCACCACAAATACAGGGAACAGGTCAGTATGACCACAACAATACAAGGAACAGGTCAGTATGACCCCCACAAATACAGGGATCAGGTCAGTATGATCACATCAAATACAGGGAACAGGTCAGTATGACCACAACAATACAGGGAACAGGTCAGTATGACCACCACAAATACAGGGAACAGGTCAGTATGACCACAACAATACAGGGAACAGGTCAGTATGACCACCACAAATACAGGGAACAGCTCAGTATGACCACAACAAAAACAGCTCAGTATGAACACAGCAAATATGGGATCAGATCAGTATGATGGTTTCCAGTGGGAAATATTTACAACTAAAAGGAGTTTGGGAAACATGAATATTTCTCACACGCAAATAAAAGTTGATTTACAGAATACAGTCGTATACATTTGTTCAAATTGCAAACCCTCTGGCATTTAAAAAATCAAAAATGGTTAATTGGGTAAGTCAGTTTATAACTAAACTTGTTATAAAAAAGTGTTCATTTTCAAGAACTTTGAGCAATTTTGCTAACTAGATATAATCAAACTCCTTTCACATGACCAAAAAATATAGATGTAAAGCTGTATCAAACTTGAGTAGTTGTTACATGTACCCATCACCTAAAAGATATATTATGGTCTTGACTCTAGATCATATCTCTTGGATCACAGGGCATATTGAAATTATTTGAGGGCTATAAACTTTTAAAATGTTTTTGCCCATGGCCTAATAGGTGTTTATGACCTTTACCCAAAGTCATACTTCAATGGACAAGGTCATTTGGTGATGAGATTTTGAAATCATTATGAAAATCTTAATTGTTCTATAACCATCATATAAAACATATATCCAGTCCCTTGTCTGTTGTTAACCAACATTGGGGAAATATTCCTTTTTGTGAAAAATGAAGAAATGAAAAGAAAAAAAAATTGATTACTTTAAGGATTTTGGTGGTTTTTTTTAGATTTAACTAAAATAATGTACTAATTTAGAACATTTTAAGATGATCAAGAGAGTAATAAAAGAACCTTTGTTGTAGGGAAATGAGGCCATTAGATACCTGGAGTTTTGTATAGAACAGCTGGATAACAAGGACCAAGCCATCCATAATTACCTGTTATCTCTGTATGCCAAAATCAAACCTGATCAACTCATGACGTATCTCAACATTCAAGGAATGGTAAGACCAACAGCCATCTTAGGTTATCTTACCATAGTACCAATTGTTATAGGACAGGAATCAAAATAAATTCAATTTTCTTTCAAAAAGTGGTGAGTTTTTGCTTCAGAAATGAAGAAATATGGGAGATGTTTAATGTTGTAGTGGTTTTATTTTGTGACAGGATGAGGATTCCATTTGCTATGACCTGAAGTATGCTCTGAGACTGTGTGCTGAGCACGGCCACCAGCGAGCCTGTGTGCACATCTACTCACTGATGGGATTGTATGAAGAGGCAGTAGATTTAGCTCTGGAGGTAAAATTCCTGGGGGATTTTCATATGAAAATTAGTTATTCTACATGGGTTCAGTGGAAAAAAAATATATTAAGTACAAACAATATTTGAAAGTAGAAAAGATGTGTGATGAATCAGTTGTTTTTGAAGGTGGATGTAGAATTGGCCAAACAGCAGGCAGACAAACCAGACGAAGACAACTTAGACCTCAGGAAGAAACTTTGGCTCAGAATTGGTAAGACGTGTTTTGTAAACTTTCTCTCTGTGATGAACTGTTTATTTGGCTTAAAGCTACTAGGAAGAATTTAAGATGTTGATCCTATGGTCAAGCATATAAAAGATTATGACAATGTGGTTAAATGCTGGAAGAAGTAAATGTTTGGTTTAGGCCACCTTTAAAAATTGTCTTTTTGCCATCTCTTGACCAACTAAAAAGTGGCCCGACTCAAAACTTTTTTAGACCTCTTGAAACAAATCATTCTGGAATTTTCTCATCCTGTGAACAATTATTTATATTGTATTAATACATTCATTTTCATTAAGTTTTGAATAAACATTGGTGTTGAAAACTACTGAAAAAAAATTTTCACTGCCTATTTACCCAATTTATTTTATCCTGAATCAGTAGAGGGCAAGTAAACTTTTTTTTTTTTATAAAAAAGAAAGTCTTACTTAATGCTTAAAATATTTGCACATACTTGCATTTTCATCAAATGAAATCTTTCAATTTCAAAAAAAAAAAAGAGAGACTTCATACTGTTGCAAGTGTTTCATGATATCTTTTCGGATTTATTCCAAATCTTTTTCATTTAGCCCGCCATGTTGTGGAAGAAGAAAAAGATGTAAAACGGGCAATGGAGTTCCTTCACGACTGTGAACTACTTAAAATTGAAGATATTCTACCATTTTTCCCAGATTTTGTCACCATTGATCACTTTAAAGTAATCAATTTTATCATAAAACAAATGCATGTACATACACATGTTAATTACTTCAAATTAAGATAAGATTATGGATTATGAGTTTATTTTTCTATGAGTTTATTCTTCTCTGAAGGAAGAATTTCTCAATTTCACAATTAAAAAAAAAATGCAAAGCACACTTCATTTATATACCATCACATGTGTAAAAAACAAACAAACAAACAAAAAGTTTCAAACCAAAACAATCTTTTCAAAAGCTTAATAGCTGATAAACATGTACAAAACAAATGATTCAGTGTTTTGAAAAAGTTAATTGATTGACCTACTTTTCAGGATGCTATAGTGACCTCCCTCCAGGAATATAACCGCCACATTGACCAGCTGAAGGAGGAGATGGATGATGCTACCCACAGCGCCGAGGAGATCAGGAAGGAAATTCAGAGCTTTAGAAACAGGTACAGAATTTATCTAAAACATTTGTATAATTATAAAGAAGAGGTATACTGTAAATGTACTTTTTTTCATGGGTCATAGTTGCACGGAATCACAATTTCTGTTCAATCTGCAGGTAGAAAATTACTCGTATTTTTCGCATTGCCATTTTATGTCTTCAACATACTTTAAGTACGCTGTAACAAATTTCCGCAGATAAATTGTTCATAGCATAAATAAATCCCATGTGGAAAAAATATGTCTACAGTAGAAAAAAATCTCTGTTGATGCTTTATATGCAAAAAAAAAGAAAAGTTCATTCTTAGATTAAATCAATATTTGGACAAACTTGTTAATCATAACAAATTAAGGAAGAAAAGTTTACTTCACATGCAACCTATATTGTACCTTCTTTAGAATATTGCAAAGGTTAAAGGAAATGAATGAGTAAACAGTCTGTGTAAAAATCAAATAATGTACCATTTTTACATGTAAAGAGGGGAACCACATTAAAGAAAAAAGTTGCTTTACAATGGTTGACTGTTCAATTGATAAACTTCTTCTGAGAATAGATGGAACTACAAGCTATTTCCTTTTTAGGTATGCTTTTGTGAATGCCACAGACAAATGTGCAGCCTGTAACTTTCCTCTAATGGCCAGGGCATTTTATCTGTTTCCATGCCAACACAAGTTTCACAATGATTGCTTGATTGGGGAGGTAATTCTTTCTTTTTTATACATGTATAACCGAATCTATGATATTAATGCAAATAAAGTGGATACTGTGCATTGATTTCTTTTATTTTGGAGAGAGGGAAATTAGCAAAAGCCAAAATTCAATACAGAAACAAATTTTGAGTTTTTAAAAACACTTTTTAGAGATGTATCCTTAGGTTTTCAAATAATTTTTTTTTAAATGTGGTGTAGGTGAGTGTACATGTGTACTCATTGAATAGAAGATTTATATTTCATCCAACAGTATGTGATCTAGAAAATTGAAGTCTTTTCAGGAACTTCACTAATAAGTTTCCTCTTTGTGCAAAAATCTTGTCTCAAATACTTATTGATATCTAATTTAGTCATTGATGTACATGTATCATTTGTTAATGACTTCAGTAAATACATGTACTTATGTAGGAACTTTGAACATATGATAAGTTCTGAATTATTTTTTTTTTAAAATACATGTACATGTACCAGTAGTTTGCAAGAATTAAATATATATGCACATGAAAGGTTTAACACTTGCAATTCCAATACATGCATATTTTTGAGTTATAGTTTTTAACTGAATTTTTATATGTATTAGTGCTCTGATGACTTTAAACATACCCCTTTTAATGGTAGGACCTGGTAGTGATTCACAATACAGTTATACAGTAAGAAAAGTGGTTTTGTAGGTTCTGCCAAACCTGACCAGTAAGAAGCGTCAGAGGGTGGAGGAGCTTCAGCGAAAAATGGCTGAAAACGAGGATATGAGATCAGCATCAATAGTGAACAGGGGAGATAATCAGTCTGACAAAACACAGGACATTAAGGTTTGTGTTATTTATCTTGTTTATGTAATGGTTTGGGCCATGGATATTAGTCTGAGCAGCTCAGTGGTTAGAGGAGCTGACTAGTGATGCAGGAGTCCTGGGTTCAATTCCATTCTCCTTTCCTGTTACATAAGTGCCATTGAACACCCTGGATTTAGAGTCCTGCCAGGGACAAAAAGAATTTGGGTGTATCTTTGAGGGTGAAGACAATTTAAGGAGGGAGGAATGTAAGGGTTTAGGCCTTGAATATCAGCCTGGGTAGCTCAGTAGTTAGAGCACCTGACTAGTGATGCAGGGGTCCTGGGTTCAATTCATGTTCCAGTCAAACACTTTCTCCTTTCCTGTTACATAATTGTGTGCCATTGATCACCCTGGACTCACAAGTGAAAGTCCTGCCAGGACAAAAAGAATATGGGTTGTGTCTTTGAGGATGAAGATAATTTAAGGAGGTACATGTAGGAATGTAATGGTTTAAGCCTTGGATATTGGCCTGGGTAGCTCAGTGGTTAGAGCACCTGGCTAGTCCAGGGGTCCCCAGTTGGATTCCTGGTCCAGACATACTTTTTATTTTTCTGTTACATGATCTGAATTCAGTAATGATGTACGGTAGTCAGTTCCAGGTATGCAATACTTACTGTGATTGCCGTTTTATTTGACAGGCTGAGTTGGATGACTTAGTTGCATCAGAGTGTATTTATTGTGGGGACATTATGATCAGGTAAGGTGAAACTTCAATGGTAGCTTGTAAATCAGAAAAACAAGGACTTACTTATAGTTAGTAAAATGTTTAACTTGAAATTCTCCACAGATTATTGTGCATCTAAGGTATTCTTACTTCAGTACGTTAAATCTATGGGTAGCCATTTTGAAAGACAAGCCTAATTTAAATGTTCAAAATTAATGAGAATTACTAATTTAAATTTGAAATTTGGGGTTAACGTAGAAGATTTAGTACATTGCTTTGTCTGTATAGGATTCTAGAAGTCATCACCGCATTAAAACTGCTTGTAAAATTGTTTTCCTCTAAGACTGACGTGTACTTCCCGTCTTTTAGGAGTATAAGCAAACCATTCGTGGATGAAGATGAGCAGGATGTTTTAAGTGGCTGGCTGTAAACCAAGAAGGGTCAAACAACAACATGGGGATTAACGAGAAATAGTGCGAAAGTTAAACATAGTGCTCTGTCATCAATATTCATCCGTTTGTTAAGCTTAAAATATTTCTTGATGCTTTGTTTTTTTAATAACTTGTGTTGAACTACGTGCAATATTATATGAATTAGCTAATAAATTTTATATTTGTAAATGTTTACTTTTATTCTTGTATTCTAAATTCAGAACCTGTTTTATTTACTGATCAATCAGTCATTAAAACAGGAGGTCCAAGGCTACCAAGGCAGAAGTACACATACACATCTCAGATATCATGGATGTGTTGAAGTGTATTGGACATCCCAACCATAACAATTATTTGATTCACAACATAGATTATTTTTAAACCTTTGCATGTATTTTTTAAACCTTTGGATATCTCTGGAACTATTTTTGGATAGTCCTGCTATGTTCACAATAAGATTTGACTGTAGTGTGGCATGTATTTGTAATTAGAACAGTGCTGGAATTATCCCCCATTTCATTTACCAGCAATCAAACTTGATGGACTGGTTTCTTTCACAACTTTCTTTTCTTATAGATCTATTAATAAAATTATTTCATTTTGAGTAAGGTATAAAAGAATTGCACAAGAATTCTTAATGATATTACAAAACGTACTTTCACGGTTTTTAATAGATAAATACAACCAGATCTAGAATCGAGGACAACAAAATGAAACCCTTCTTAGACTGTGTAAAAAATGTACAGAGTGTACTTATCAAAATAAATTTCATTGCTCATTGAATTACATGTTTGATAAAATTAGTTTGTAATATTGTTAATATTGAAGTTAGTTAATGACCTAAGAAAATTGTCTATGGAATGTTTATATTTTCAAAACATATCAAAGATTATAATCATATCTCTTAAAAGGCAGATAATTGTAATTAATGACGTATTTAAATCTGAACAGTTTACGACAATCTTGCCCTTGGTAAGACGACTGGTTCGTCAGTTGGAGCTTGTACAAATATCATTTGTTAAAATTATATTTTGGTTTTATCCATTTAATTCAATTATTTATTTCAAACATTAACAAATATCAAATGTAGAATTCCTTATTGTACACCTAAACAAGTCTACATCCACTTTACTTCCAAATACTGACTCAAAATCTGTCATGAGATTAGGATGATGCATATTTGAAACAAACCAGATTTTATATATTTTATTGAATATTTGAATATATTCGAATACATGTACTTTCAATGAATAATCGAATATGAAAATTGACATCCCTATTCAAAACATACTTCATCTGGTTACATGTACCTCTCTTCAGCCCTCAACTCAAAGGATTTTTAAGTTTCACACGTTTAAGAAGAAAACATCTTATTTCATCAAACACATTTATTGATGGACACTAATACATGTATCTAATTATAACATAATAAAAAATAAAAACATCATTAAATTTGTTGTACTTCTTAATAAAACAAAAGATAAAAATAACTTCAATAAACATTGTTCACCATGAAAAGTGATTGTGCTGAATACCATTGAGATGCTTTGCATAAATTCCCATTGACCACTATAATGAGTCAATGCTTAATGTGCATAAAAAGCAAACCCTGCATAAACCCTGAATTCAATAAACCCTTCTTTATGAAAGAAGGAAACAAACTTGCTTTGCTTGGTAATATTTTAAGAAATAGGTTTTGGATGTAGATTATGGATTATCATCCATGGCATAGTGGTTTTGGTCACCATTTTCAAATTGATCTGAACCTTTTTCATAGGTATCCATAGAAACGCACAAATCTTCAAATCCCTGAGCAACATTGTCAGATAAATTTAACACTTCCCCCGAGGGGTCTTCAGTTATGTTTTCTGTTGTATCATAATCGTAGTTCCCTTGAGGATCAATTGACCCACTCCCAGTCATGTGATTCATATGACCTGAATTTCCATCTAAATGATCCATTTGATGCTGGTTTCTTTCCAGATGACCCATATTATCCTGATTTTCTTCCAGATGACCCATATTACCCTGATTTCCTTCCAGATGACCCATATTATCCTGATTTCCTTCCAGATGACCCATATTACCCTGATTTCCTTCCAGATGATCGATATTACCCTGGTTTCCCTCTGTATGATCCACATTACCCAAACTTCCTCCCTGATAGTGCACATTAATCATCTGGTGTGACAGCCGTTTTCTCCTTTCTTCGAAGAGTTTACAATGTTCACTTGTTCTAGAACAAATATCCTCTGCAGTTTCACCCAAACTGTTCCTGATTTCTGTGTTCAGATTGCAGTTAGATAAAAGCAATGAAATTGCCTCTCCATTTTCTTTTTCTGAGGATGCTAAATGAAGCGGAGTTTGTCCGCTGTTGGTTCTGGCATTAATATCTGCACCATGCTCCAGGAGAATAGAAATCACTTCTGCTTGGTTCCATCTTGCTGCACTGTGAATGGGATGCCAGCCATCTTCTGTTTGTGCCTCAATGTCTGCATTGTGGTCTATGAGAAACTGTTGCAAATAAGTGATAAATATAAGTGTAAACATTTTATGCCTAAGCAAAATATGTTTGTTTACTATAACATACAAATTTAAAATAGGATTGGTAGGTAGGAATTTTGTTGCATTGAGGTTCTCCTGTGGCTCATAAAGGCCACTTTTTTTTCTAAATAGTATTTTTTCAAGACCGACAACTAAATTTTTCTTTAGGGTTGGTGCATAAATTTATGGTCAGTTGGTAACCATAAAGAAATATACTGTTTTCTTTGACTTCCTTGAAAAGGACAGAAGTCTGGATTACATTATTCTAACAATATGTATACTCTTTTATGTTGTGAAATTGAGAGACACAAAAAATATTGTGGGTCATTTCATTACCTCTACCATGCCTGTGTGTCCATTATAACATGCCCGATGTAAAGGAGTGTAGAGATCACTATCGCGACTGTTTACCAGGGAGGGGTCGGCATCTAGTAAACTTTTGGCGATGTCCAGGTGATTATTCTCTGCGGCCCACAGTATCTTCTTCTTTGGATCCTCTAGGGTGACAAAAAATATTTACAACAACAATTTATTTTCAAAATATGTATATATTGTATATATTCCTTAAAGTTTTCTTGAAGAATGGTTTTCAGAAAGTTTGCTATCTTTGAATAATGAAAGATAGCTGTAAATTTCACAAATTAAAATTGAAAAATATAATGTTTAATTGTTATTTTTGTATGAACTCCCCTATATGTAAGATATGCTATACTTTGAATTTCTTCCTCAGATTCTTCCTCAACACCTTGTTCATCCAACTCCCAGAAGCTCTGGAACATGCCAGGGTTATTCATTCTAGCAATCATCAGCTGTAGGGTTAGATAATTTCTCATTATAATTATTAGTTTTACTTTATATTAGGGATGTCAACGAATAGTCGACTATTCGACTGTCAGTCGAATGGACCGACGATCGAAAAATGAAACGACATTCGAATATTAAAATTTTAAAAAATACAATTAAAGAGTGATTACAATATGGAATTCTCATTACAAAATTGAGAAACCGTCTTTCTTCGGAAACAGTTGATAAGATAATTTTCCTCTACAAAAAACTTGATTTTCCGTGTGTGTATAGAAACTACAGTAATTATAAATGCTTCACACGGCGAGAATGATCTATCAGTTACTGTTTGTGTTGTTTTTGTAATAAATCAACCATCAATATATATACTGGGCTTTGTTTGTAAAAGAATTAATTTGACTTGATTTTTTATGATGTACCAATTATCTTTTGTTTTAAGATTGCTCAAAATTTGATTATGTTTATGAGCAAATAAATGATGGACTTCATAATAATAATCTAGTTTCTTTCTAATCATTATGTAAAATTGAATTTTTTATTTTATGTTTATCAAAATTTTGTACCACCCTTCTTAGGCCAACTTTTCAGTCATGAAACACACATTTATTATATTTCAATCTTTGTTGTTGGTCAATAATAAAGAAAAAGATTGTGTGTGTCATTAATTAAGTTCTCTCTTGTTGGAAAGATGTTAAATTGCCCTCCATATCACAGCTGTAAATTGCAATCAAAACAAATCAACCCCTCTAAAGAGGTAATCATTCCATGATTTAGAAGACAAAGCCAATGGTGATAATTATTTCAGTTAAAAATGCCCTGCTAGCTTTAGAAAAGAAAATCTTTCAATTTGATAATTATTTTAACATCTAAAGAGATTTTTAATGAATAAATTTTGTATCTGAAAAAGTTATGTTCTGTACTATGATTATTTTTGAAGTAAAAATGTTCACCATAAATAGCAATTTAGGATGTTCAGGTTACTTTCAAAGGAAATATTTAATTAGAGGGGTTACAGTTGCAACTCATTTACTCTTTTAAAATACCCACTTTTAATCAAATATCATAAGCCATGCAATTTATGTACATGTAGGTTTTGCGCATCAAACTGATCTCAGATAGTTCTTTAATGTTTAGTAAATAAAAATTATAAATTAAACCACAAAATACACAATGCTTATATAGCTTATTATTTCTTGTATTGTTTGTGCAGAGGCTGAGCTTATATACAGATGAATGATGTTCTGTATATTCAATGACAAGGATTATAAAAATTTTCAAAAAAAATGAAAAATGTAATTTGTAATTTAATTAATTACTTTTGCAAAGTAATTGTAATTTAATTAATTACATATCTTAGAAAGCCTGTAATTTAATTGTAATTTAATTGAAGAAAAAGTGAAAGTAATTGTAATTTAATTAATTACTTTTTAAAGTAATTGACCCTATCCCTGGCTCAAATGCAAGGAACAAACCATAGCTGTGACATGTTTTCACGCTTCAATAATTATTAAAACAATTTGCTTGCATTTTTAAACTGTTTATAATTAAGGACATTCTGATAGCCAGAGCAATCAATTAATGAATAAGCAGTTACTACCTGTTTAACAATTTAACAACCACCCAGCGTTTGGATAGTGTGAAATTACCCCCCCCCCCCCTTCCCAATTTATTTCATAATAAGCTTTTATTTAAAAATATCGGCTAGCAATTTTTGAATGCTCACTCTGCATGTACAGACCAATTTATGAATTCAATTAATGGGGAAATCATAAATTTTGGAGAATTAGATTTCTAAATTTATTTCATATAATCATGCTATCAAACGTTATGTTGCATTAATTCTTATGTTACTTTTTAAATATATTTAAGTAAAAGGGTTTTTGGGTTATAAATACGTCATGAAATCAAATTTTATTTTCTGAAAATGTTCCGAATAATCAACTATTGTTCGAATAATGGAATCGAATAATCGACTAAGCAAAATAAATATTTTGACATCCCTACTTTATATACATATATCTGAATCTGGCCTTGGTTGCTTTATATTATCTATGGCTGCACCAATATTGTATAATTCTTGTTCCACGTATTTTATATTAGCACCTCATAAAAACTGGTACGTTGAAAATAAAACTTTTTTATTTAAAATGGTACAGTTGTTTATTGTCATCATAATAAAAATATTAACAGTTTATTCTAGCATATCATGTATACTGCATTTTCATGATAATGATGTCAGATATTTGTGTTGTAATTTGACAGTCTATTCATGAAAATTGAGCTGGCAAACATATCAACTGAAGGAATAATTAGTGAATGAGTAGAAAAGCACTATAACGGAAAAAAAATGATTTAAAGTATGTTTTTAATTACGCTGTCGCTCAGCAAGCGTTGTGTGTAAACATGCCTGACATGGCACTGATTTTTTTCAGTCTAAGAACCTTCTTAAAATAACCTATGAATAAAAAAAATTAAGCAATGTTTTTCATATTTACATACAGCTTCTAACAGCTCTGGGTCGAATGGGTTCATCTTCACTTCAACCTTCTGTGATCACTTTTTTCAAGTTTTGCTGCTTTGTTATTTTTTGATCTCTTTCAAGGCCGGGCTTTTGTTTACCTCCATTCGGAATCCCGAACCCGATCTTTTATATTTTCCCGGGAACGGAGGTTTGTGATCTACAGTCTAGCCCAGGCACTTTTTAAACCTTTCTCTTTATTGATAAAAATATCCCCATACTCTAATAATAATAAGGGACTTTGTTATAGTATGAGGATATTTTTATCAATAAAGAGAAAGATTTAAAATGTCAAGTGTCTGTGTGATTTAAGTATGAGTACGGTTTCACCGGACTCGTCTCATGATGTATTTAAATATTTATGAATTTTGCATTATATATTGTTACGCAATTCATAAGCTCATACAACATTCATGAACTTTGACTAAAACTGATTACGTACTGAAAAAGGGTAAAGGCTTAATCATTTTTAATCAGTTAATATAGTTGGGAGGGGGGGGGGGGAGTGATCTGACTAATTGGGAAGAATTGGTATGCTTTTATCTGTTTACTTAGGGAGAAAAGGAGAGGGAGGAGGATGTTGAGGGAACAATAGGGGGATATAGAAGATGGAGAGTGGGGGTGAATGAAAGGAGATGGGTGAACAAGGTGTGCAGACTGCCTATAGCTTCAGATATATAAAATTCAGTTTGTGAATTTGGTATTAAGAGTAAAGTTCTCATGATCAAAATTTATGAAATTATGGTAACACTTTTCTGTGGAAAATTTTCTTGACAAAATTTTTTTCTGTTATTCAAAAATAATGTGATACTCGTGGAGTTCAAATCCTTGCAATAAAAATTTGAGTATCATTTTCCTTTGAGACCAACACGCTAACCACTACACTACAAACTCTTAATGAATAGAGGCATCGTGTTTGTGATATGACCCTTGACCAAATGGACTTCAAGTATTTCTTGGAAAGATTGTTGTGTCATAAAAGTGCATTTTTAAGGTTTTGTGGGTCTTAATTTGCTCCATGTTTTTGTTAACCAAAAAATGAACATTTTTATGCAAACTTTGAGGATAAACTTTCAAAAAAAGGGAGCAAAGACCCACTCATATCGAAAAATTATGATATAGTATGAGAAAATTATCCTTTTTGCCCTCTTTAGTGTATGTATGCTATTTCATAGGCAAATAATTTCAATCTTTATTAGATTTTTGCAAATTGCGTAGATTTTTTATTAAGTATACTTTAATGTTAAATGAAATATAGAAGAAAATTTTGTTGTAATTGAGATTTAATTTTTCACCTTCATGTTTGTTGCACTATAGGCATGTCGCTTGCCTTGTTCGCCCATCTTTTTTATACCCTTGTCCACTTTCATCTCTGTACACTGTACGATCTGCATGGTCAGCTGCTGGTATGTATAGCATTAGCATATTCATTATTGAAAATAGTATTTGGACCAAATTTGTGCCAATGTGTTTGTATAGATTTGTATAAAAAATATTCAAAATATACTAGATTTTATTCATTAGTGTTAGTAAAGTGTCCATCTGTCTGTCTGTGTCTGTCCATCTGTAAAAATATTTCAAAACCGTCTCCCTCCTCCTACAGTTTTGGTCTGATTTCAAGACTTGGTACAAGTAGACTAATACTAAGATATAATTCTGATTTCGACACACAGTGTTGCCCTGATTACTAAAAATTATAGAAATTTCTGTGAAATTCTTTCAAAATGCTACTTCTATCTTCTTAGCCAGTTTTGGTGTGATTTCAAAAACACTTAACTCACTCAGTCTCAAGCAGACTATACAGTGCTACCTCAGTATATTGCCCTCCATTATATTACCACCCTCGTTTATTGCCAAGAATTCTTGAAGAACGGATTTCCCCCTGTGTTAATACACCCGTTATATTGCCACCCCCACTTTTTGCCATCCGCCACTGGTTTTGGGAAACAAAAGGTCAAATTATATAAGGAAAACCCTCGATAACAATGCCAATTATCAAGAGGGTGTCTTTTCCTACAGCTTTAGTCCAGTTTTATTCAAACTTAGAACTGGTACACAATAAGACAGTTTTGGTCTGATTTCAATAGGATTTTTTACACAAGTAGATCACATGAAGATACAATTTTTCTGTTTATCGGGTCTTTATACATGTTATACACATGCATGTACAATGTTTATTAAAACAGGATAATATGTTGGAATTCTTTCAAAATATTACTCCTCTTCTGTTTTTTGTCTCCAGTGTAATAAAACCTGGTATACAAGTAAACTGAACCAAGGGACATAATTCTCATCTGTTGGTGTTACCATGGTTATTAAGTTTCAAAGCCTGGTGCTGCTTATATATACAGTTAAACTTTGGTATCTCAAACACTGATATCTCGAATACCATGGATATTTAGTGCTTTTGAAGTCCCAACCACTTATTTCTTAAGTATTTTACCTTGGATATCTCGAATCCTCGGATATCTCAAAAGTATTTTCTTGGTCCCATGGAGTTCAAGATAACCAGGTTTGACTGTATTGTACTTTAGTATAAGTTTGTAAGGAGTGGAAGTATGGATCAAAAACACTTGGCTAGGTACATGTAATATGGCCTAGTAATAAAGCACAATATTAATTGATCATTGCTCATCATAGTCATTGATTCAAGTTGTTCTGAATCAGAATGTGTTCAAAGAAATTCTGAAATGAGTGCTTTCATTTAGTTACAGTGTCTTATACACATTGATAATTGATCATGATATAAATCACAAACTTGGAAATTTATTGATGTTTTCAATAAAAACAGGACAGCTAGATGTATTGAATTTTTATTGTTACATAAACATTCAATCTAAATCTATCTTAGAGAAATGATAAACCTTAACCTTAAAAATGATACGGACAACTTTAATGTTGGTGATTATGCCCATCAAGCTCAAATCCCCCCCCCCCCTCTCCACCATCTCCCTCTCTGAAAAAGCAAAATATGAATTAAGATCATTTGTTAAACTTTAAATTGTATTCAGACACTGAGTATTAGAACCAGGTACACTAATGTATTGTTATAAATCATGAATGAAAACCTGCATTTGAAGTGTTGACAATGCATGTAATTGTCATTTAATGGGGTGTAAATGTGAAATTAATCAACATAAACATTTAAATTCTTCTCTGTATGTATCATGACTATGAATCTTAATTTCAGACCTCCCCTTGATGATTCATGCTTCAACTCCAGACAAGGTCAAGGCCACGGAAACTGTGAGTGTTTACACCTTGTCCATCACATTTCATTATTTACACCCTTAATTAGGTCACACATTGTTTTATGACAAAGAATTTAGAAAAAAGTTTCTCCCATTCCCCCTAAGGAAAGGATATTAATATAAGTAAAAATAAAATGTCCATTCCAAATGCATGAAATTCATGAAAATTTAATTTACATCATAATTTTACTTCTTGTGTTTTTAATATTTGTTCCTAAGACCATGATTTAAACTTGTTTTTTTTTAGAAATGATTTTCAAAAGAAAAAATGTAAACAAAAAAAAAAATTGTCCAATAAAAGTTGCAGAATGCTTTGCCCCAGGAAAACTAGCACATATTTTGGAATCCATGTAATTTAGATGCCTTAAGAATGTTTTCTCTGAAACACCTTTTTTTTAATGACTAATGTTACACACTCTCATTTAGTTTGCCATTTATCTTCCTGTCAAAGTCTAGTCAAAGACTTCCTAACAAATATTTTAAAAAGAAAATATCCTTGTATATTTTTGTAATAAAATATGGTAACATTATAAATTGTTTATTTTATTTCCTTAAATCAAACAATGTTATCAAAAAGAATTTAAATACCTAATTTTGCAATAAAGAGGGGGGATTCAAAAATAGAATTTTATTGTTATTCATTGTACAGAAAAGTGATTTGTATACATTTTGAATTTACAGTATCAATTTTATAAACATAAGCAATCCATATTCTTTAGTGTAATTAATTTTCATTCAAGTTTATACGGAACTTAAATTTCAATGGAGACATATATCATTACTACCTCAATAAGAAATGTAAATTTATTGTGACAAATTTGTAACATAAACTGTCTGGCGTTATGATTTCGAGTCCCAGGCATTTTGCCGACAAAGTCTGATGTGGTTTAATAACTATTAATCACCCAATGATCTTGTACACTATTTTCTTGTATCTACCATGTTCTTTATGTCCCTATAAAGTGTATCAGCTAGCAAAAGCTCAGGTAAAAAAAAAGTCAGTGTTTATTTATACAGGTTACAGTAAGCGACTTGTCGGAGGCTCAGGAATGCGGGAACAGAGATGATGTGTCGTCTGGTCAAATGTCTCATGGTCATCTTCAGTCATGCATGACCGAATGGCAAGTAACAATATAACGAATTAGCATCAATACACATAAGGCCAGCTTTTTAATAACTGACTGGAATTTTTCGCTGTGCACGCCTCTTCTTTAGATAATTGAATTCTTGGCCACCTTTGAAAAGAAAAACTTAGAATTTATGTTTCACCCAGGATAAGAGCTTTGTGAAAATTTGCAGCAGTTCAGGTCAGGTCTATTTTCTTTTATTCAATTCTTTAATTTTTACTGAAAATTTTTAAGGTGCTTTAAATATAAAAGATTTTTGTCTATACTATTTCAGTTACATCATGTACATAGATTGGGTTGACTTTTTGCTCCCCTGTTGATAATTAAATCTCACTTTTAATTTGTTGCTCATTATGTTACAAGTAAAGATTGATGGTCATTAAAAAAAGCTAATGAAACCAATTCAAATTTATTTTAAATATGTATTACAGTACTGGGTTGTGTTCATTGATTCATTGATTTATTGCATGAATTAATGATCAATGACATTGATGTTTATTATCAATCTTTAATTTTTTTAATTAAGTGTGAAAACATTATTCACTTCAAATAAGTGAAGCAATTACCATCTGATTACTGTATATGCCCAATAAGCAATCATGCGTCTTTTTAAGCATATATACCCTCATATGTGTGTCGTTAATTCTTCAATCTGAAAATTGGAGGTGTCTGTCCTGTGACCCAATATGTTAT